ACTCACCAAATTGGTAGACACAGGAGGAAATAGTGTTGCTTGCCACTGGTATCTTGACAAAACGATCTAGCCAGTGTCTATGATGAGACATGTACACTTCACACTGTACTTATTATCTCAATAATAAGCTGGGGAGAAAATCACCAATTCCCCTGCAGCCAAATATTTCTGTGCTAATGCTGGGAAGCATCCCATCTCAATAGAAGCTATACCTCAATAAATTATGTCTGAAAATGCTTTAACAAATGAGCATCAACTCTATGGACGATATAAAGGTAACTTCCAGAACTGTTCTAAAAGACACAGAATTGTTACATATGAATAAACCTTACTCCTCTAGGGGAGGTATTACTACAGATGAGTAACTATTACTGTGAAACCAAAACAACTTTTCAGTGAAAGGAAGTTTTCATGGTAAAAAAGGGATATTTTGAATACGACAATACCTACTTTGTTACCCATCAACAAATTAACAGCATTTCATGTGCTATATCTGCTGTACGTTTCTACAGTTATCTACTAATGACCAGAAAATTACAACAAAGCACCACTCCTGGGAGCAAAAATTAGCAGGGGCTTAATTTCATTTCAAGAAAAAGAAAGACAGAGAGGGAGGTGCGGGGAAAGGAAGAATGTGCACACTCAGCTTCAACTCAAGAGAACAGCATATAGCCCCTCTACTGTTATGCATGGCAGCGTCTAAACAAAGGAACAATATTCCTGTTGAATTCCCCTTGCTAGACTGTTGCTGGTATATTTTGTTTAATTATTGTACATACTGGTGAAGTCACCTTCCAATTAAGGAAGCTGGCTTCTGAACTATACCAATCACTTATAAAATCTGTGGACCTGTTCCAGCCAAATGTCAAGCCCTTCCTGGCAGTATAATGCTGACAGTTTTCAAACAAATCTCTTTGCTTAGCATTAATTCAGCAAGTGAAGATTGTAACAAGAGCTGCAACTGTTGGATAGGGCAAATTTGAAGCCCACCAACTAAAGCAGTATTAGCATCGTACAATAAAGCAAACAGCAACAACTGGCTGCAGACGGACACAGAGAAAATCCATAGCTGACAAAGTTTGTCAATAAAGAAGAATAAAAGTTGGGGAAAGAAGTGCCTTCTTGTTGCTTGCTGTAGAATTAACTTGAAATTCTCCTGCCTAAGAGCTCCAGATAAGTATATCACACGTGATGGTTGAGAGGCGAAGTTATCAACCACAGATTAGAGTAGTGATCATCTATAACTCTTTACTAGTTTCCTCTGATGGATAACATTTTTTTAAATGCCATTCTCATTAAGTCTCGTCCTTTGAATGCTGACTTCTGTGCAAAATTCCATGCAAAGCTTTATCTCCAGCCAGCATTGAAGTATAGACACACCCTCCAATTTTCTAACACTTGAGCAACTTTGGTACTAAATAAACTCTTAAGGGACTATTTTGAGCATAGCATAAGAAGCAACTAGAAAAAGTACATCACAGAATCCCATTACCACTCATATTAAGAGGGGTTACACAGGGCTGAGAAGAGCAATAATGTCACATTCCGTGAGTTTCAAAAGCCCTGTCAGCCTTATTTGCCCTGCACTAAACTTTCGGTCACTGATGGGCTGTCAGCAGCAACTAATTGACCAGGTTCAGTTCATGGACACCTTAATGTTCTCCAACTAGATTTACAATAAGAGCCCCAGTGTAGTAGGTCACAATGAAACAAATATACTATGTTTCTGCTATATATCCAAGTAAGCAAAGCTCTCTCTCTCTCTCTTTTACACATGGTTTACAAATATGAAAAGATACACTAATTCTAAGATTAAAAGCAAAGATAGTTCACAGCTGCAGAAAGATTTCGCCTTCGGGCACTGCACAATTACTCATATCTTTCACTCACAGAAACATGATTGACTCAACAATTACTGTGTAAACCATTCCTTACAGTGTTTAGAGTTCCAACACTTTAGCCTTCATATCCTTATTTGCAGTACATACAAATTCAAGGTATCAAGTACACCCTATTATAAATGTGGCATTTTGCATCTAATAATGGCAATACCTCAGTGGCAGAGCACGTGATAAATACACAGAAGGCCCCAAGTTCAATCCTGGGCTACTCCAGTTAAAAGGATCACACAGCAGGTGAAGGGAAGAACCGCTCTGAGACCTCCAAGAGCCACTGCCAACAAGAGAAAATTCCGGGGTAGATGACATAGTATAAGGCAGAGGGGTGTGTGTAGAAAGCCATGGTGTGAACAAGCTCCATTTTGTACAAATGCTTGGGAATCCACAGGCACAGATGCCAGGATAGCAGGGGCAACCAGAAAACTGATATTTGTAAAGAGCAAGGAAAGCATATGCAGGTGTAGCAATGTTTGTTCTTTTTAAAAACAATAGCACAGGAAGGTGGGGCATTTGATATAAATACAACACTGCATCTAATCTTGAAATGCAGTATCAATGAAATGGGTGGAAGGCTACAACCAAGACCCACACTTCTCATTGTTCCTCCTCTATAACGTCCCCAGCTAGGTACACACTTTACTTACTGTGGAGCAGAAAATGAGGAAGGTGAGCTCTGCTTGTTTCTAGTAAGGCAGTTAAATGCAAATGTGACAAGCAAATAAATAGCATCCACTATCTCTTTTAAATATCAAGATAGAATCTTGTGGTAAACTTTTAAAAGGTGTAACATTTGACATTCATCTCACTGTGGAGCTTGCAGAAAAGTAAGTATAAAAACTTTTCAAAAGAAAAGAGTGAAATGCAGGACAATCTGGGTTCACCCCAATATAGTTTGCTGCCCAAGGCACAAAAACAATATGATGCATTCAAGGTGGTGAAAGAAACCCAAAGACAACAAACTAAACAACTGACAACTGACTACCCTTTAGGGTAACCCTTCCAATAAATCCAAATTAAAATTAGAAGAGCTGGGGGAATATCTAAAATATTACTTGAACTGTTGACCCCCACATCTCAAAAGGAAAGACTGTGACCAGCCCACCATAACTAATTTAACGTAATGCTCTCGGTGATTATGGAAATACAAAATACAACAAGCTGTTAACAATACAGGCATAAGGGACTTGGATCAATGTTGTAAGCAGTTAAAAACAGAATCCAGAAAGTTATTCCCATGTCAATTACTGTATAATTTAGTGCCACAAACCAGAATTTTAGCCTTTTGCTCCACTCACAGTTCAATCCTATTCAAGTCTACATTGAAATAAGTTTCAGTGAATTCAATGGGACTCTGCACCTTTAAATCATGTTGATTAGAATCTGCAGCTTATTTCAGTTCATCCACAGAAACAAAAGCAGGAATGTTTATGTGAACAAGACACCACAACACAAATTAATTAGTATTGCTTCTTTCTGCCAGTGATGTGAAGAGGTACCATTTTCTGGCATGATCTACGAAAACATGATTCACAGAGCTCACACAAATGCACCTGCCATTGTAAACATGAATTACTGCAGGGAGTGACCATTACTGTCCCATAAATAAAATTCCCAAATGTCTAAGATACAGGACACAGACTCTGAGGCAAGTCCACACTAAAACAACAACAAATAAGTCTTGAGAAACATCCCAGGTACAGGAGACTTTTGGACAGACACTACAAAATCCTGGAGGAAATCCAACAAAAGCAAAAACTTTTCCAAGGTCGGCCTACTATAAGAAGCCATTACATTTCATCTTCAAATTCCTAGTATTTCCTCATATACATATCTACCTATGTCTGATGTACCAAAGGATAAACGAATACTGTATAAGGCAGTGTAAAAATCAAACCTGGAGACTTCAGCGGATCAGCTACTGAGCCACAGCTGAGTGGTAAAGCATCTGATTTTCATGCACAAGGCCCCAGATTCAGATTCAGACACAAGTTGATGAGCTTTCCTTTGCAAAGTTGTTGAGCTTTTTTTAGTTGTTGAACTTTTGGCCAATGAAGTTTTGGAGCTATTTTTAAGGGAATTTGCTTCAAAACAGTTAGTTGGGCATGGTTCCTAAGCTAAGTTAAACAACCGATGGGAGAGTTTGCGATTATGTTAGGCATGTGCACTTAGCTTATTTCGAGCACCATATGTGATGGGGAGGTTAAAAAATTGGAGAAAGGAGAGACAGTGACCAATTGAGCTGGGGTAGGAGGGTGGAGATATTTTTCTCACTTTTCCTACAACACTCACTAGTTAATCTACATGAACTGCCTATCAAAAAGACAGAAAAAACAAGAGACAGTACTGACAGGTAAAATGCTAAGGAAATGGAACTTTTCTTAGCAGTTTACCTGTCAAACCTGTATTCAATTCCTGACACACCAGAGGGGGTGAAAAGGAGGCAATACCCCCCCCCCCAAGATAATAGGCCGCTTCTGGATGGGCGCAATGAAACCCCCCACCACTTTTCAGGAATCAATCACCGCTTTTCTTCTTCTTCAAATCACACGATGGTTGTGTCGTGTATCACCGTATTTTTCGCTCTATAAGACGCACCAGACCACAAGACTGTTTTTGGAGGAGGAAAACAAGAAAAAAAATATTCTGAATCTCAGAAGCCAGAACAGCAAGAGGGATCCCTGCGCAGTGAAAGCAGCAATCCCTCTTGCTGTTCTGGCTTCTGGTATAGCTGCGCAGCCTGCATTCGCTCCATAAGATGCACACACATTTCCCCTTCCTTTTTAGGAGGGAAAAAGTGAGCCTTATAGAGCAATAAATACAGTATGCTATACTTACACACACCCTCCCCTCGTCTATCAGGAGGAAAACGCATTTGACAAGAGTTCAGTTGGGCAGAAATCATTAGGAGGTCGCTGAAGGGGTAAAGGACTGAGTGGGAAGCAGGAAAGTGCCGCTTTCCCAGGAAGATGCCCAGGTGGCCTTCCTCCCCTTGGGGCAGAGGGAACAAAAAACGTAACCTGGGCTCCCTCAGAGCCTTTCCAAGTTGCCAGGCGGAGCTGGGGGGGGGGGGTGTTGACATCCGTCGGCCCTGCGCAGGCGCACCCCGCGCCTCCCCGCTCCCGTCCACTGGGGGACGCCGCTGCTTCCCTCGTCCTGCCCCGGCTTGCCCCGCGCACTCGGCCCCGCGGGGCGCGCGCTTACCCAGGCACTTGATTCGGAAGCCCGCGGGGGGCTTGAGGGACCTGCGCATCCAGCCCTCGCGCAGCGCCTCCAGGTGCTCCTCCTTGCCCTGGATCAGCAGCACCTGCTCGTCGATCCAGCCCAGGAAGAAAGTCTCGGCCACCGCCGCCGTCACCTTCTTGTTCCAGAAATGCTGCATGTTCTCCTGCTTGAAGTCGGCGAAGATCTCGTAGCCGATGTGGTGGCGACCCAGAGAGTCGCTGCCCGGCGGCGGAGGCGGCGGCGCTCCTTCCCCTTGCTGCTGCTGCAGCCGCCGCCGCCGCTTGCCCTCACCTTCCCCGTCGTCGTCGTCGTCCTCCGCCTCTCCGCCGCCGTCCTCCTGCAGCTCCTCTCGGTGCCTGGCCGGCCGCGAGGCAGCCTCTTCCCCGCCGCAGGGGCTCAGGACGATGGCCAAGGAGTGCGGGGCGATTTGCAAGAACTTCTCCATCCGGCGAGGCATCGCGGCGTCGGAGCGCCGAAGAAGCAGCAGTCGAAGCAGCCGCTGCCTGGCCAGGAGCGCCGGGCACGGCACTGCGCGCGGCGCTGGCAGCCTGGCGCGGTTCCCAGCTCCGCCAGGACGGACCGCCCCCGCCGGCCCAGCGGCAGGTTCCGCGTCTCCCCGCCTTCTCCCCGCTCGCTGCACGTGGACGCCTGGCCCGCCTCCCGGGCGACCCTCAGCGGCGCCGCCCTCTCCCTGCGCCGCGGGCTCCCGGCTCCTTTGCCGCCTTTGCTTCAGGTTATAAAGCCGCTCTTTTCAAAGCAAAAGAAAAGTTTTAAGGGCGGCACACAGCATCACACAACACTCGAGGAAATTATTAAACTACTTTCGCCCGCCTCCAGTTCAGGGTTGCCACCCACAGGGCCCCGCTGTGTATTTTAGCTACGGGAAGGTTGGGAAAGGGAACTTAATTCACCGCCTGGAACTTGGGGACTGTTCAGTCCTGTCATGCAGCTCTTGAAAAGCGCGCGCGCGGGCGCTGTGAGGAATTGACAGCCCTGATCCACTGCTAGAGAGCGAGAGAGTGGAAGCGTGCTCTCCCTCCTCCCGGTCGCACTCCAGTTAAACAAGTCACCTGGGCCATTGTAAATTCCTTTAAAACTTCAAAGGATGAAATCAAACCTATAGAACCTACTCGCAGTTTACATGTCACTTGAAATAAGCAAGATACCGTACAAGACGATGGTTGTGTACCTTTTCTGTTTTTAATTCTTACATAACATTCTCTTACAAAGAGTGTAAGACAAACGATGACAACTGTATAATTGGTGCACTAAGATATGTAATATGCACACACACACACACACACATATATATCACACACATTTTTTAAAAAAACATTCTTTTCTTACTACCTGAATAGCAAACTTGGCGACAGCTCCTCAACTATTATTACTGGTCATCTTGTGACCAGAGATAGTATTTTAAAAATTCTGAATTGACAGCTATTTAAATACTGAGGGATTATTTTAATTATTATATATCTCACCATGGGTATAATTTAACCAATGCAGTATTATCTTCAAGCATCATTGATTACATTGGAGAGCCAGTATATATTGAATTTAATTGTTGCTATCTAAATAAGATGAAGTGTTTTAATTTTGCTGATTCATGAAATTTACATTTTTATCACTTTAGAAACATGTTACCTATCTCAAACTTTAGGTTCTGAAAGGTACAAACTTTAAGGGTTGGGTGGGTTTTTAAAACACATAGCAGCTTAAAATGTTTAAAATACAAAAAGCCCAGTAAATCTAAACACCCAAATAGTTTTACCAAAATCCACCAAACCAAAGCAGAGAAAAGGGGTTAAAAAGGAACAGTATCCCAATACCGTGCCCAGTGCACAACACTTCATCCTAGATTTATTTTTAAAAATGCAAAATAATGGCATGGTGAAAGCATTTTGTTTCTGTTATAAGGTTGTGTTTTACTTTCTATTATCTGTTACAGATCTGATGTGCATAAGAGTCCATTCTTCCCAGTGGACTTCAGGGAAAACTACTATCTGTAAAACAAAATTCTAAATACTGACTGACTCATTTGTGGTTAAATAGGAATGTAGGAGACAAAACTCGAGAGGAAAGTAATAACTGTACTACCAAAAGTAAAGTTACAGTTAACATTAATGCCCTTGATAGCACCAGGCTATGGTTGATAGAGGCCCTAGGCACCATGATAACTGTTTTAACAAAAGCTTTAAAAAGTATATTGTAAATTATACTCTAGTGTCCTTTCTTCAGTGCTTCCCTAGAATGGACTTGTTAGGGAGTCCATGTTCTCTTGTAATCTCTTCCTGCTGCAGGTATTAACTGCAGCTATAATTTCAGGGTATCACAGAATTCCCTGGATTGTGGCCATGTTCCACATTAATAACACCGCCATGAAAGCTGCAATCATATATCACTTCTTCCTTCTCTGCTTTGTGCCATTCCCTGTATTCGACTGGATCTAGCAACAGATAAACAAAATAACCTTGATGACTACTCTTACTTGTTGAAACTAGTCTAAATTAATTTAAGCATGTATGTGGGAAGGAAAATGTTGAGAACAAGGCAAATGAAGAGATAATTGTAGGTAATTTGTCTAAAGGTTTTCTGGCTGGGGATAGTATTTCACGCACACGTGGGCAGCGAGGCATACTCTTAGAACAGAACCTGATCAAGCCAGTACGTATAAATCTTTCTTATTTGACATTATATTGTGCCATATACTAAAAAATAACAAACTGCCCATGAATTAGCCGGAACAAGTAGCACTTCTGGGTTGTTTTGTTTTTCCTGCAGCTTCTAAACAGATAGTAGGCCAAGCCCAAACAATACCCAACTGTCTTTAATTTATTCTTTTAACTGCTACCACCATGCAAAGAGCTTAAGGTCAGTGGGAGACATAAAGGAAAATAAAGTTTCCTGCTAAATGAAACATATCCCTGACGTCATGCCACCACAATATTATTTTTTATGTATTTCTTTAGATTTACAAACCACTTAATTGCAAGTCTCAAAATGGTGTATGAATAAGACACAACTAAAATTAACAAAATGATTCCACACACACACACACAAAATTATATTATTTCTGAGGATTAGATTCCTCATTTGTACTGTTACAAGGATAATTAGCTGACATCACAACTCAGCACTGACTGAAGCTATTCCAGTGTGATTTTCCTATAGATTGGGTGGCTCCCAAGAATTAGGATTATAACGGCAGCCAAAATACCTCCTTTCCCCACACACATATATAATTACTCTCTTTTTTTTACACTCAAACAAAAAGGCAACTGCAGCAGTAGTCTATGTCCTTCTCATTGTTTTCTTCATTTTAAAAATGCAAATGTAAACACTTACTGAGGTAGGTGTAAGCTTAAATAAAGTGTTTTGCGCCTCTGTAGTCTATAAGGGTTGCCAGCACTTTCAGAATTTGGGTACCGGTATGAAAATAAACATCAGGATCCAAGTCTTTTGCCAGCTGAATGAAAGAGTAAGGATGGATAATAAGCAACTGCTAGCCATCTATTTATAGAGTTTGCTTGCCAAATCCGTAACCTGACCGGAATCACCTGGTGCTGTAGTAAACCCCTATTGCAGCAGTGGGGAATGTCTGCTCAGTGGCTTGCAAGTGCTAATAACCAGCTGATCATTGGGGCTCACAAAGCACAGTACATGGTGTTTTGCAAACCCCAGTGAAAAGCTGATTGCCAGGGCTCCCATGCTCAGAAGTATGAAAAATGGGTCACCTGGCGTAATTATGACAGGTGAATAATAGGTGGATGGCCTGGCTAACCTGTCAAAGATGCCCTGTGAGTGAGATGCAGCCCACCACCCAGATGCAGTTCCCCACCTCATCCTTATTGGGTCACATCCAAACAAACTTAAAGAGTTCAGCACTGCAGCTACTCCCCTCTTTAAAAAATAGTAATAAAGAATGTTTTTGATTTTGAGGGCCTAGTCATTTTTCCAAGACATGGGTAGGAAATGTATGAAGCTTCCGGGGTTACTTGGTTTCAATTATTTCTGAAGTGGGAAATAACCACCAGCTGTTACTTTGCTGTAAATATCAGCTGACCCTGATAATTTTGGGCTTGCACAAGTGGGGACATACCTTTGCTGGTGGCAAAGAAGGGATGGGGGCCCTTTTGGCCCATTGATTGACGTATAACTGGTCCTAGTGCTTTCTCTCTTCCCTGTAACTCAGCAATTATGTCCAATTGCTGAGCAAGCCATAGAGACACAACACTGAGAAAAACTTTATACTGTAGATCAGTGGTTCCCAACTGGTGGTCCATGGAACTCAGGGTATCCGCATAACCCACCCATGGCACCATTCACATAACAAAAACGACTCTAGAGATATAACAAATTTCAAAAGTAGGGGGTCCATGGCTTGGCTTTTGAAAAACCTGCTTTGCTTAGATAATTAGGAACTACTGCTGTAGATTTTGATCCTTTGAATGGCTTGCTACTTTTGTTATTTGAATCATTAGGAACAAATGAAAATAGGAAGAGCAAAACAGTTTTTAATATTGCAATGACAAAATGTACCAGTGATTTGTGGTGGGTCATATGTACATCTAACAGAAATAAAAAGGATTTATATACTTTTTATTTATTTTTTGCACAGAGTAAACATTTAAGACGTAATGTGCAAAGTTACAAATTAAAAAAAATGTTGCGCTTAATGCATAGTTTACAAAGAGATGGAATGTAGAAACAAGTAAAACCAAAATACACTACCAGCGGGTGGTGGCGGCTGTTTTTTTGGCAGCTCTTCACTTGTGTTTATATAATAACCTTTTAGTAAGAGAAGACAGACGGCTCCGTTGTACAATAGCCTACGGGTCTGGACACACCCTACAACATTGCCATCACAATGACAAGATCAATAAAGAAAAGTGCTATAACCTTGACTTAAAATGGAAAGAAAACCACTAACAGTGCTCGCTTCGGCAGCACATATACTAAAACTGGAACGATACAGAGAAGATTAGCATGGAAAGAAAACCACTAACCTATATTAAAAAGATATGCCATCAGCACAATGTATTTTTTCATTCTCTTCTTCAGTAGCTATTATTTTAGGTATATGTATGGATTTAAAACTATTTGCCACAAGATTGTTCACGCTTAAGGTTTCTGAAGGCCATAATTCCTTAGTGACTACCAGCATGAAAAGTTTTTAATCCCCCCACTAGATGTTTGGAAATTCTTCTAGTAAAGATTCCAGGACTCCCCCCCCCCCCCAGTTGCTGTTGCTTTTTTTATGTATCAGGAATGTTGTTAGGGGGCAAGCACTTCATGTCAGATCTTTCTCTTCCTTTTGAAAATAACTATAAAAAACTCTTTCTCTCCCCCCCCCCTTTGCTTACCGGGTGACCTAGCACACCCTGCTGTGCAGTGCCAATGAGACCATAGCCATCCAATATTTTAATTTGCCCACAGACACATTTATGTCATGGGCCTGTGATCCTGGTCTTTCAAATACTGAAGAACACCCCAGTTCTTTATTTCCCAAACCTGCTTTGTGCTTTTGCATGAATTGTTCATTAAGAAAAAAGAAACACGAGTAACAAAAGAGATTGTAAACTTCTTGGAGGAGAGACCAATAAAAAAATTCCAACACAGGGAAGGAAAATGGACAGAAGGATAAAACAGGGCAAGAATGTGTGTTCAGTTCGGTTCCACATAAACTTAGTTTCAATAAGGGTTGAAGATTAACGGGTTGTGCCAAAGGTTTAACTAAAAAGGTGGCTTTAGAAGGAAGACAGAATTAATGCAACACAATGTGCACTGAAATGGTGTTCCAGAGATGGGGCAGTAAAGGGTGGCATAGTGGTGCAGCAACACTCCCCTGACCTGACAGTGGAGTCGGTGCCACCCAATGGGAGGGAGGGTGAGGCAGCAGTGAGGTTGCTGTGGTGCAAATGCACTGGCAGGAGCACTAGATAGGCTCCCCTTCTCTCCTCCTTCCCAGTAAATAGCAGAACCTCAGCTGGTAGGTGGTCAGGCCACCCCAACGTGCCATCCATTACTGCATATGGGTAGAAAGAGGGACACAGTTCAATGAAACAGGAGACCTGTAGATGGCTGAGAGTGGTGAAGCTGAAGGAACAAAGGTCACAGATGGGGGATGGTGAAGGGATAAGAATGCTTTGAAGGTAAAGATGAGTTTGCTGGAGAGAAGCAACACGACCTGGTGATGCTCTAAAAAAGGAAAGCAAAGGAGATCCAAGATAAAGCCATGGTTACATGCCTAGTCAACAGGGTGGATGGTGGCAAAGAAGGGAAAAAGGCCCGGAAGGAGAGTTGCCCAAGTAGAAACCAAGTTTGTAATGGCGATGAATGAAACATCTAAGCTGAAATATCAGACAGAAAGTTGGTGGGGTTGGATGCAGTTGTGGAATAAAGAAGTAGAGATGGATGATCTCACTGAAAGCCACAAGATTTGATGAAGTCACTCAAGTACATAAATGGAGTAGCAGATGACCAAATACAAATTCCTGAGAGAGACCAGCAAATTTCCTGTGGAAATTTTGAATGAGGGATTAGGCAAGTAGGGGGGAAACCAACAGAGGACAGAGAGGGAGAAACCTAACACACATAAGCAAACAGCAGATATACTCAGCGGCATGAGAGAGGTAATAGATGAGGACAGAAGATCTGAAATGGGGAGGGAGTTCTTTTGAAGAGTACAAGTTAACTGGACTACAAAAGGTAGAATTCAGATTGTAAGGATTGGAGAGGAGCTGGAGAAAACTGAGACAGCAGTAATCTAGGATGAGCAACCTGGCATCCTCCAGCTGTTTTGGACTAAGTTTCCCTTCGGTCTCAGCCAGTGCTGTTCAGTAATCACTTAAGAGTGCATGCATTAAACGTAAGATGAATTTACTTATATTCCTTTCTTTGAAAGGCAGCCATTTTAGAGAGAGTTTAAATATGCTTTTTTAAAAAAGGATTTGTGGTCAGGAAAATGCTGCTTCCAAGCATCCCAGCTGGGGAAACTTATTTCACAGATAATTGACTGTTTTCAAAGCATTCAGAAAGATCATTATCAACATTCTCTGGTATTCGTTAGGTATGTTATTTCTCGTCTGCTTGTGGGCTACCAAGCACACACCTCTGTTCCCGTCTCCTGGTTGTAGTTCAAGTACAAAGCCAGAAAATACGCCCAGGTATTTATTTTCCATAGCCAGAAAACATGCTGGGGTATTTATTTCGTTTGTTGTTTATGCAATCAAGCATATTGAAAGCCTTCAAACAATAGAAGAGACTGGGGGTTCTTGAACAAGTAGATAACCATTTTTTTCTTGTCAAGTTCCATGGCTCTTTGACAGGGTCACATATAGGCTTCATATTGATGGCAAAAAGGGGGTCTTATACTGTTAATGCAAATGAAAAATCATGAGGACTTAATATATTTTCTACTCTTATAGGCTATTTTTACTCACATTGGTTGTAAAGGGTGCACTTTATACAGCGTCTGTGGGCAGATTTTTTCCTTCCTTCAGACCTTATGAAAGGCAAGCCAGCTTTTTAAGGGCTCAAGAGGTGGCATTTATAATGCTGCTAATACTATGTGAAGAAAAGCAATGTTGGATTGGTGGACTAGAAAAGCTGCCCCTCTTAGAAATGGCTTAAAGATGCTCACCCAGTGATAGACCACAAATAATCAGCTTGCATTTTAACCAAACATCAGAATTTTGAAGAAAATAAATGTGCTTGTGAAAGTCTTAAATTTAAACTTTCAATGCAGCAAAAAAACGCAAATAAAATTCAGCCTCAACTCAGCATTGTTATGCCTGGGATGTTACAGCTCAACTTATGCAATGGTTAGTAAGCATAAGATTTCAAGAGCAGCATTAAGATCAAGCTAGACTGATCTTGCAGCAATAACTGGTCAGTTTACTTTTAAAGCTTGTATATCCCATCTCAGTTGCACAACATACTTCTTCAGGATCAACACTGCTTTGTTATAATTATTTTATTTCCACAATTTGTTCTTTTCTGGTTTAAAGCAACTCTGATTTATTCATATTTTCATCAAAATGAGGTTCACTGCATTCATGAGGCTAGAGGAAGTTAGCCACATATTCTCTCTCCCCCTTGTTCCTCAGTAAAGTTGTGTCACTATTTATTTATTTATTTATTTATTTATTTTTTAAAAAGACATTTGGTTCATTTCCAGATAGCTGCTTACCCAGTCAGCTGGCCACAATAGTAGCACTGAGGCAGATCTTGCCATGGTGTTAGATTCCTTTAGAAGGAGGATCAAGACATACCCACTTCCACTAGGTGTTTGAAAGTGAGGAAGTATACTTTTTGACATTGGGTTGCTCATCAATACTACCACATGGGTGACCCTTTTATTAGTACAAAGCCAGCTATAATAATGTCAAATGCTAGTTTGCAAACCTCCTTCAGATTACAGGTGTAAACCTGCTTCAGATGACATTTATGCCATTTAAAAATATTATCTCCTAAACCTATATCATACCATAAAGACACTAATCGTCTCACAAATTGCTGTAAAAATTCAGGATAGCAATACTTGGTGCTTGGATTGCACTTCAAGCATTCTGAAGTGCATTGCCTATGTTATGCCAGCAATTGTCAACAGACCTGGAAATTAAGCCAGTTGTTATCCTCATATTGCAGATGAAGGGACTAAAGCTGAGAAAAAAGCAGCTTGCTTAAGGCAGCCTAGCAAGTTCATGGCTGAGGAGATATTGGAATGAGGAAATTTCCCAGCTCACATTGTTAGCTCACATTGTACCCTGGGCTCTGATCTTCCTTTAGATCCAAAAGGAGACACACTATGAGATCCAAAAGCCAAAGCTTAAATTAATTTATTGAACAATGAAAAAAATCACGAAACACTTTTATTTACATGATTTACTGTGACCGGCTCACATGAACATTGATAGGATGAATTTCTGTTAACTAATTGACATTCTGCATGGAGAGTTAACCCTGATAGAGACTGAGTGGATAAAAGTCTGAAGACTGGATGATATTGCTGCAGTGTAATGGCCTTTTTCTACAAAATGGCTTCCAGTGAGCAACTAGAGTTTACAGTAGAAATCATTTTTAAGCTAGTCCATGGTAGCAGACCTGGCTCTGAACTGCTAAAATTAAGCATATGGCTTCACACATTAGCCAAATGTTTCAGCTTCTCCCAAAAGGCCTACCATAGCAATAGGATAGTTTTGCAAGGGTGGCCAAGCATTTAAGATGCATTTGGCTCCTTGATAACAAAATCCAGCCATATCATTTTGTAGTATTGTGGTATTTAGGGTTTCTCTTCTCCCATGGTAAATGACTGTCAAAGGATGCTGAAAGGCTGCTTGAAAAAGCCAAGGGTTGTTCAGTGGCAAAGTTGCCATTAGGAACTATCAGCTTCTCAATACTGGTATCATTGCCTCTTCATGAGAAAAGGCCCCCAAAACAGCTTCGCAGCGGTTTGCACAGCACTACTAATAGCCAGCAACTCTCAATTATCACCAGATGCAAGCACAAAATGACACTTATTCATGGAATACTTCAAATTATCAATCATGCGTCAAGTAGCTAGTGCCTAATAAGACAATAAGCATATGAAGTGAATCCTGTTCTTTACTCGAAACATAGAAGGGCACAAAAAGGAGGTTCTAAAAGCAAGTGAGACTTAAATGCTATAGAAATCGAGGGCCAGTGGTGGAATCAGTTATTATAGCAAACACCACAGGCGTTGCACCTCAAAGACTGGCTACTGAAGGCAGAATAAATTTTCTTCTTCTTTTTAGCCAAGTTAACGTCATTCATATTGCCAAAATATTCCATATACATAATAAATAGCACTTCCGTTTCAGTGAAGTCCAAGAAAAAACCCGCACACTTAGAAAAACCCGCACACGCAAAATTAGAACACTGACTTTCCCCCATATATTATTTGTTCGAATCAAGTCCATAAAGAGACTTAATTAAGACTTTAAGCAGTTGTTTTGGCTCCTACGTTTTTCATTTGTAGACTGAGCAAAATTAGTTTGGAAAAAGCAGAGTTCTATAAAGTATGTGCAAAACTCTCCCCCTTAAGTGCATGAATCCACAGTTACGCAGCAGCAATAGAAGCATCATCTGGTTGACGGCCCTGTGGCTTTAGAAGGAAGAGAGAACAGATTTAATATTTAAGTTTAATCTACAAGTATACAGCAGTACAGTACAAATCTACATACCAATATTAGTTTCTTGCCTTTTAGAATTACTCAGCCCCAAACTGTAAATCCATTGTACTGCAATTCATGGCACAGACTAATATTACTTAGAAGCAGCTGCAGCTAGAGTGGCATCCTCCTCCTAGCAGCTACGTTGGGATTCATTGGGGTGGGGTTGGAACAAGCCAGTGGCGAGGTTCAGGAGCTCTGGACCTGCAGTGGTGGCATTCTTCACCACCAAACCAGAGCTTCGCTGACCTCACCGCCTCCTTGCCCCATCCTCATCCTAACAAACCCAGTACCCCCAGCCCTCTTCATGTGCAACTGCTGCTTAGAAACTCTGCATATTTATTGTAGAGAAAGTTGCCTAGGGTTCCACTCTTAAAAATATTTAATTGGAGGCACGTCCCATTGAGATTAGTGAGCACTGAAGGATTGTTAAAACAAACACTGTTAGGCGTTGGCTACAAGGAAGCAATGAAGTTCAGGCTATAATGGTGAAGAGCATTACATTCATTCACTGGTGGAAATAATGTAAGAGTTATTTTTCATATTTTCTTGTGTGTCGGATCACTTCTAATCCAAACAAAAAGGAGTTTGGATATCTGTTAGTTACAGCAGAGACACAGGCAGAAGAAGGCAATAATTAGATGCCAACTGCACTTTGAGCATCCTTCTCTTTTTTCGGATTTCCATCAGCAAGCTGCTCCACTAATAAAAAATGTTTATCTAATGTCTCTCATTCTGTGGGACTAACAATACTGCATTTTTTTTACTCTTAAAGAAGATAAATGCATGCCACTTAATTAGAAACTTTACAGCATGAGCAAGATGACTCCTATCATTCTTTCAGATTTGTAAAATTCCACCTAGTTTTCAAAAACATTAGTAGCAATAGCTTAGAATGAATTCTAAATGATGTCACTGGCTCCAATAGTCTCTATAGATACAATGCACAAAAGTATAACTTGCAAAATGACAATTCTTTAGCATTTAAGACCACAATTTTATTACATCTAAGTAACTACAATACTTATAATGGCAAGTATCTTTAACATTATTTCAGTGCTGAGGGATTATTAAGTCTAACACAATCCGGGACTCAATTTATTCACCTTTTTTCCTTTAGAGCAGAAATGGGATGAAATGTATCCCTTAAGGAAGCCCCCCACCATCTTTTAGGAAGAGAAACTAATATTGCCATGTGGGAAAGAAGAAAGTACAGCTCAAGATGCTACACATGCTTAGAGCTTCTTTCCCAGAGGCAGCAGGCTTATGTCTCTAGCTGGCAAAATGTGTAGGTGGTTCATCTCAATAGTATATTGATTGTCAGAATGTATGGGAAACACCCATCCTTTTTGGCTGTAATGCAAATCAAGTAGAATGAAGAGCTATGACAGGGGAGGGGATTAGGTTTTTTTTTTAACAATGCAGTTCACAAAAGGCACATCACATTTTTTCAACAATTTCACTAACACTGCCTGGACATGTCTCTTCCTAGCCACCAGCGTTACAGTAACATAATGAGTATGAATATTAACGTAGATCAATTCTTCCTATGAAAAAAAGGGCTTGGGAGAAAAGACTCATTAATCAACTTCATAGTACAATGGTACCTCTAGATACAAACAGGATCTGTTCTGGAGCCCCGTTCGCATCTAGAAGCAAATGTAACTAGCGCTGGCATGTCTGCGCACGTGCGTGTCGCTTTTCGAGGCTTCTGCGCATGTGCGTGACGTCATTTTGAGAGTCTGCACATGCGCAAGTGGCGAAACCCAGAAGTAATGTGCTCCGTTACTTCCGGGTTGCCGTGGAGCACAACTCGAACGCGCTCAACCCGAGGTATGACTGTACCTAATAATTCCACTAACATATGAATACTTTTAACAAATGCCAAAGAAGCCATTGGTGCTTTGTCTTCATATTAGACTCTTTTCAATTCCAGTTATTTCCAAGTTTGATTTAGCATCATTGTAATTCATAACCCAAAGAGATATTTACTCTATCTTGAAACTATTTCAACTAAGCATCTTACAAAGTACTGATATATAATACGAAATGGCAGCTATTGTTTGCCTAATTTTAATTTGGATCACAGAATACAGGCAGAAGCTTTAGCACATTTTAGAGACTAAATAGATACTCTGGTTCTCTCATAAAATGATGTAAGCGAGTCTTAACAGGAAATATTTCCTCAGAATCCCAATTAAATTATTGCAAAATGCAGTCAACAAGAGCCTTCTAATTGACTATACTCCAAATTATAGATTTGCTTCTTACATTTTGCAATTTCTGGGTAGATGCTATGCCAACTTGAAAAGTCTGGCCTAATATTCAACTGTCTTTAAGCATGACACATGTACTGAAAGAGCTCTAAGCAGCACAGGTGTCATCATTATATCTTACCTTTACAAATATGTGTGTTGGTATAAATCTTCTAAGCAGCTGGTTGGTGAAATTTGGAAACCGTAGCAGGTTGATATTAAGTGATGGCAGCTGTTGATATCCAGCCATGAGAGGATAGAAGTTGTATAACATTTCCTGTTCGGTACCAGGAAGGATTCGCAATCTTATCTAAAAATACAGTTCAAAGTCCATAATCAGTCCTTTTTTTGGATTACAATCTCAATCTAGGCTTTCTATTTTATTTAAACGTTTGTCTGAAACAGTTAATCATTAGTATGTTATTTTTATTCCCACTCAATTTCTCAACCTCCTCGCTCTTTCAACTTTAACCTTGTAATTTCAACCCTTCTGACCAGCACTTGCAAAGGCTCAAGTATATCTTGTGAATGTTACAAGTTGTCTGTTTCTTAAATGGCAGCTGCTGAAGTCACAACCGTATCAGAGTTCCCCATGGAAAAGGTAAAGGACCCCTGGATGGTTAAGTCCAGTCAAAGGTGACTATGGGGTGTGGCGTTCATGTCGCTTTAGGCGAAGGGAGCCAGTGTTTGTCCACAGTCAGCTTTCCAGGTCATGTGGCCAGCATGACTAAACCGCTTCTGGCGCAATGGAACACCGTGACGATTGCCAGAGCACACAAAACACTGTACCTTCCTGCCGCAAAAGTACCTATTATCTACTTGCACTGGGATGCTTTCAAACTGCCAGGTTGACAGAAACTGGGACAGAGCAACAGGAGCTCACCCTGTTACACAGATTCGAACCACTGACCTTCCGATTGGCAAGCCCATGTAATGAATGGGAGCATACAGTTTAAGGTAGTAAACCATACAATTTATCTCTTACCACCATCATTCTTTTCTTTCCCTACCCTCTCTCTACTCTAGTTTCTCTCTCAATTATAGCTAAATGCAAAGTTCCCCCAGGTACCTAGATATCTATATATACAAACTTACTATTTCAGATTTATGTAAAAAGTTATTCTTCCCTCAAACAAGAAGAGAAGAAGAAGAGTTTGGATTTGATATCCTGCCTTTCACTCCCTTTAAGGAGTCTCAAAGTGGCTAACAATCTCCTTTCCCTTTCCTCCCCCACAACAAACACTCTGTGAGGTGAGTGGGGCTGAGAGACTTCAGAGAAGTGTGACTGGCCCAAGGTCACCCAGCAGCTGCATGTGGAGGAGCGGAGACGCGAACCCGGTTCACCAGATTAAGAGTCTACCGCTCTTAACCACTACACCACACTGGCTCACACAAGGATATCTTGTGGTTTTTATTCCCCCGTTTCTCCACCTCTAAGTTTTGCAAACGGACACAATATTCAGAACACTATTGGACATGTTTAGGACAATCAATTTATCCTATGTGTGACTCAGATAATAGCTTGAAGGTGTGCAAGAGGCTGTAACAAAATATTTCTTTTAAGTTTGGAGTCTAAGCCATACCTGCTTAAGGCCAGAAAACATGAAGGCTTCACTGGGTTCCACTAAAACTTCCACATCTTGAACAATATTGGTCTTATTTTGCAGGTGATATTTTACAGGTAAGGATTCTCTGACACGACCAAATGAGGGCAAATCTTTGGAAAGGAAGTGTAACAGAAGTTACATGTATTTCAGCAAAAATAGCATTTATTGTTTCTTTCTCAACTTTGCAAGTATATATTAACACTATTTAGGATTATACACCTCAGAAACCAAGAAGATTAAAAATGTAATGAAAAGTTAACAAACACAGGAGTAACCATGAAAACATTGTAGCTTCACGTAGGACTGACGAAAATACCAGTCTCTTTTTAGACACTGTTAAGTTGCTGAAGTGCTGCAAGGCAAATTCCATCTGTCAGCAGTAAGTGAAAAGGGAAGGTTGTGCATTATAGTCTGGATTTTTAAAAAATGGAACTAGAATAGCCTATTTCAGTCTTTTGCTTTTATGAAAATTCACATCTGTAACAAACGAATGGAAGCCAGTGGCATGGCAGACCGACTCCCAAACCTGTCCAATGAGTGTGATAGGCTGAACATCCTGGGTTCAAATCTTTGCTAGGCCATGAAGCTGCTGGTGATATGGCGCATCTCACCCTAATTCAAGCAACCTCTCTTTGCCATTTCAAAGGCAGGATATAAAATGTAATAAATAAAAGTTTGTTTGCTAAGTTCTTTCATCATTTTGTATGTTTCTGGGGAAAGAAGTGATGTTCAAGAAATGGTGTGTCTTCTCATGGAAGTTTTATTAAGATGGAAACAGGTGACAAACAGAATTTGCATCTATCAATTGTGTGAACTCTGATCTTTTTTTGCCTCTTATATTTTAGAAACCGGAGCGAGTTGTGGCAGCACAAAGGGTTGGATCTAAACTTGGTCATACTTAGAGCAGACCTACTGAAATCAATAGGACTTATGACTAACTTAAATTGCATTGATTTTAGTGGATCTAATCCAAGTATGACAAAGTGGACCCAACCCAGTCCTTAACATTTAATGGGGAAATGACTTTGTCCACAAACTGTGTTAGTAAGCAACACTTTTGCAACATACCAGAATCTAATTTTGTGCTGCGGTAAGAGTTTGAGAGCATCTGAGGTCGAGTATGACTTTATGCATAAATTTACATTACCTGCGTTAACATGGAGTGGGATACTTTCTGCAATAACGTGGGGGAGTGTGATCACAGTATTAACAACAGGTATGCTCTTCTCAGCTGTGCGCCTTTAAAAGAAAACGGAGATAAATATTTTAACACTACAAAAAAATCAGCAGTAAATGACTTCTTAATTTTCAGTTTAAAAGATAAGAGGAAAGAGTTACAAGAAAATCAAATTATTAGAGGCATGGGACAAAAAGGGATACAGGATCTAGGTGACAAAAACTGATTTGCACAATTCAGTGCTTTGCATAATAAGTCAAGATAAGTATTGTGAAGAATGATAAAGGTTATAAAACAAGAACACCAAAATAGAGTAAGGGCAGATGGTTAGAGGAACAGAAAAGCATAGGGACCTTGTTTTTCAGCTTTTCATTTTGCCAACAGCTCTTTCTACTCAATGCAGATTTTTTTTTTGCTTGTTTTAGGTTTTTTTAGGTTGTTGCAATACAAACTTAGAATATACAATGACCATAAATTTTAGGGATGAGTAAAATGCATTAAATAAATTTTGCAGAAAGATCTATGTTCCTGAATTTGATAAAATACTACAGTGGTACCTTGGTTCTCAAACTTAATCTGGTCTGACTCCCGAAACCCTTCAAAAACCAAGGTGCGGCTTCCAATTGGCTGCAGGAGCTTCCTGCACTCAAGTGGTAGCCGCATCGGACATTCGGCTTCCCAAAAACGTTTGCAAACCGCAACACTTACTTCCAGGTTTGCGGCATTCGGGAGCCGATTTGTTCGACAACTAAGCCATTTGAGAACCAGTATTTGGATTCTGCCTAAAACTACAGCCTAGCTAGAATCCATAACCCCACCTCTGCTACATGAAGCCTCTAAAGTGTTGGGTCTGGAGGTTTGCACCGTGGGCTCTTCACCACACTAGCAGAAGCATTCATGGCCACCTGGCGTTATGGGCACAGATTCAGCACATAAGCATATGAGGCTTATATGCAGGCTTTGGTCTGCATGCTGTTAGTTACTCACACACAGGACTACACAGGTTGGGCAATGAGAAGAGCCCCATTCATGACAGGCAGGCCAAAGCCTTTGCAGAGGCCTCAAGGCACCAGGTGGGTCCTCAGAAGCCCGGCAAAACCTGATGAAGAGTTTTCCAAGCCCCCATCCCAGGTAAATTACAAAGTAGAGTCCACAATGTAAACTTAAGACTCCAGACAAAATTCTGCCTTGGGCAACATTCACTCCAAGCTCTTCTTTTCAGCAATATATTATGAAAGTTGTTCCTACCGCATTCTGCTAAAGAACTGGTTCCCTGAATGCTTTGTTTGTTTCACTAAGGAGCTGATAATGAAAAAACAAGCTCCTCAGCTGGGCGTGTGCCTTGAATAGTCAGAGAAATGCTGATCTGCCTTATCTGAACTGTCTAGATTCATGTGTTCAAAATTTGTGTGAATGGGTTTCTTCAGCAGCCCTCTGCCTGGGGTGTCCGTGTGAATGTTTTTCTACAGTCTATTTCACCCCCGCTATTATAAAGGACTACTGTTGGATCTGGCTAAAAGATACAATATTAGATAGCCAAGGCTTCTCTCGGTTATGCCCAAATTGTATGCCAGAAGGCTTGAACTGTGATAATGCTTATTGATATTAATCAATAAGGAAGAAATATACAAGACTAACCTATGGGATATTTGAAGAGGCAGATGGGAATATTTACCTTTTCCAGGAAATTACATAACTTCCAGTAGCCACTCCACTTTGACCAGTAGGAAGTGATGGACAACGAAGGCAAAAACATTCACTAGCACTTTCACCTGTCTGTAAAACAACTATCAGAAAAGTCAGGTTCAGTCTAAAGTTTCTCAGATACAGAAATCATTATGAATGTTTTATATGAACATACTCTACATTATTTACATACAAGTAAGTGAAGCAAACATTAACCTAAGAAGACTATAAAGAACACAAGCATATGCACAGTACAGAGCATTGTTTCACTTTTTCCTGTTCCCCAGCAAAAGCAGAGGAACCAAATCACATAAAGACAGAAGGAGCAGTCATTTAATGACAAAAGATAGGATTATATGTTATCAAATATTTCCAGAGTCAAACAGGACTTGGTGGGCCTTCACCATCTCTGCCAAGTTACTTTATTGTAAAAGTGCAGACATTTCACTGTGTAGCAACTATGATAAAATGTTGATTGTGGTGGGGGAAATGCAGAAAGAGTACATTTGCAAGGGAGTCAAATTAATCTCCAGGTTTTGCATTTTGAGAAAAGCTTACTAATTCTATGCAATATAAGTCAAAATAATCCTATTTAAATAAAATAAAAACACATACTGTATGCCTGGCGTAATGCAGTAACAATCAATGGGTTTCTTCCCAAACAACATCCCAGAAGGGTGCTTAAGAATACACAGGAAGGTTCTCACCATTCTCCACGTAAGATTCTAGATGATCCACAGGCATCATGGAAGGAGAAAGCTGCAGCTGGCTGGTTACAATAGTGAGGGCCCAAGGAGAAGCACTGAGGATGTCTGTCATCAACAAAAATGGGATGTCCAAAAATACTTTATCTAAATGCTCAAACTGCCAGGAAGAGAAACAAAAGGTGGGTCATTTTATTGTTCATACTGTCTGTCCAGGCAATGTTTTCAATCAGGTTTTAGTAACGTACCTTAGCTGAGACAAACTTAACAGCTACCTCAAATGGAAATACCGTCTCCACAGTAACTGTTTCATCCTGCATAAAAGAGAAACCCTAAATCATTCTCCAGTTTCAATTTTCATGGGCCAACATCCAAAAAGTAGCAAAAGCTTTATCATTCCTCTGCAACTCATGCAAACAGTAACTCCTCCATCTATAGGTACTCTAAAAAACCTCCTCCTATATCAGAGAAGGAAAAATTTCCAACTATAGCTTGATCTTATCCATACTCAGGGTGTGTGTGTGTGTGTGTGTGTGTGTGTGTGTGTGTATAAAATGGTACTGACCAGTACACAGCACCACCACCTCTTTTTCCGTTAACCCTGGAAGCCATCATGTTCTGGCACCCACGACACATTTATCATGATAACGAGTACCAGCATCTTATTTTTATACCAAAAAAAGAGGCATGGTCAATACTAGTAACTACTGTCTCAAATTAGCTGCGTTCTTAAAACACACATTATTAAAACCAATTATAGTCTTTCATCCCACTGGTCCTATTATTTCAGCACCAGAGTCATTTGGCACCTTAGTTCCCCCCCTCCCCAATTATGCTCAGGTTTGCACAAGTCATCACTCACTAAGCTGAACTCATGCACAGCAGCTGACTAGCGGCTCAATACACTTCCTGGTTTCGCTGCCTGCCAGAATGCAAAAGTTGAGGGACACATGCAGCTACATTCAGCTTAGTTGGTTACAAGGTGTGCAGACTAGCGCTAGATGGATATAAACATTCTCTTGAGTTGAAGGAGACTGTTGCATGTTGAGGACCTGGGTGTTCACCATCCTAGCTATTTCCTGACACCTCTTAAGTATACTTGTGCAAATTTGCCTTCTTTCAGTTATAGAATGGTACACCCATTCTTCTTCTGAACATCTTGTCAGAGGAATGACTACTTTTATCACTGATAGCCAAGCTTATCAAAGTGGATAATGAAGAAACGTCTATCTTAATATGCATTTCTGCTTGACCACATTATAAACAAGATACTCAATTTATTTTTATTTATATATTATAAACATATTCCATTTCCTGATAGTTTATACATTTATAATGTCCTACTTCATTTCAATTTATTGATGCTGTAATAAAAACAACAAAAAAATAAGAATTAAAAAGATTACATTTGTCAAACCATCCATGCATAATGGATTCCAACAGAACTCATGCATGTAGTCTGCATGCTTAGGAAACCCTAGACTTTAGCTAGTCATGCGTACAAGGATACACCTGGAGAATCTAAGAGAAAACCAACTGCCAACCAGTCCAACATACCCTGTGACATTTGCAGATAATCTCTTTTCCCTCAATGGTCGCACTCACTAGGTAGGAAACATATACAAGAAACATCCTAGCACCAACTGTTCCACAGTGAATATATAAGGTCTTCTCCAGCTTTACAACAATCAGGGGGGAGAAAGAGGGAGGGAGAGAGAAAAAGTGAGTAGACAAAACAAATACCAAAGACCTCTAAGTACAATATGCAGAAGTCTTATTTTAAAGCATCATCACATTCAAAAACATTTCTAGGACTATCTCAACTATGTGTGCACATGAAACCAAGAGAAACATTTTGTGTTCCTAGGTTGCTTCGTGTTTTACTTTGGAAAAACAAGTGGTTGTGGTTTGTACTGTGTGCAAATATAATTCTTGAGCAAATTCTGAATTCTGAAAGAGTTTCCCTCCTTACTGTCCCATATGTATCGTGGCACAGATCCAAAGAAATATCATAATCCTGAACTTCTATTGGAGTGAAAAGGGAATTGAACTGTAATCAATCTTCTTTGGATTGGGGCCTATATCTCAGAGGGACTCATGTGCAACATAATTCCATCACTGCTTTTTAATACTTATAATACTTGTTATACTGACATATTTACCTTTTCACCTGGCTGCAAGTCTCCTACAGGGATATCAGTAAGTAAAGCAGGATAGGAATCATCACACATTTCTGTTCCATTTAGAGTCACATGAGTTTTTTGAGTCAGGTTTGCATCTTGGCCTAAAATAAGGGGGTAGTAGATTGTCGTATTTCTTAGGTTTACAATAGCAACAACTAGGAAAGATTTTAAGTTACCTGTATTACGAAATTGCAGTCAATATGAACTTTACGCAGCACTGATCTCATGCAAAGTTAAGTTCTTCAGAACCACATTGGCCCAGTTCACATAAAAGATTGTCGTGGAGCTGATTTGTGAACCTTGAGCTTGAACATCCTGTCGCAAACCCACCTCCCAGCAAGACTACAAGGAGGATGGAAACTTCTGCTTCCATTTTAGATTAATCTTATTTTAGCATTACATCTGAATCCTAAACTGTGGTTAAGATTAACAATTGTTTGCTGAAAGCTTCTTAAGTTACACTTTGAAGTCAGCTTGCTGAAAAAGACCTGTGTTTAGTTGTCTTCCAGCACCAATACAAATTGTCTATAGCTATTTATTTGTCATAGTTATTTAATTGTCTATAGCTATTTATTTGTCATAGTACAGGAGAAGGGAGTGATTTAATCCTTTCCATAATAAGTCCATCACTCTCTATAGGAAATGTGAGCAAGTACCACGGCACATAACAAATACCTGGTTTTAAGCCTGCTGTGAGCTTTACATCTTTGGCAACAGTCTTCTCGTGTGACTGAATTGTCACAACCAAACAGTACATTTCATTTGTCAGGGCAGGAGGTTCGTGACTTAGCTGTACAGAAATGTTTGGCACTCTGGAAATGACCCTTTAATAAAAACAAGAGAAAGATCAACTGCCTGCTACCTCTCAACATTCTTACGTCCTGGTCTTATCCACTCCTCTAGCTGCTGCAGCGCAAGCCTCTGCTTGCAACACAGCAGCAGCATTCTATGCAAGGCAAACAGTTGACTTTTGTTCCACATGCCTTTCAAATCCCCTCATATCCTCTCTTCTCGCCACATACTTCTGCAATGTCACAAATGTGCACTAATGCTAAATGCACTACTATTAGCTGCCCAGCTTAAGACATACTCAGGCACTTCTCGATACAGTGGTACCTCAGGTTACATATGCTTCAGGTTACAGACGCTTCAGGTTACAGACTCCGCTATTACCTCGGGTTAAGAACTTTGCTTCAGGATGAGAACAGAAATTGTGCTCCAGTGGTGTGGCGGCAGCAGGAGGCCCCATTAGCTAAAGTGGTGCTTCAGGTTAAGAACAGTTTCAGGTTAAGAACGGACCTCCGGAACAAATTAAGTACTTAACCCGAGGTACCACTGTACTATTTTCATTACCACCTTTTCCATTTAACAAATGGGAAGAAGAGAGGGAAACTCTGCATTTTTCTAGTTTATACACACACACATTCTCCAAGACACCAGACCATTCTATGTATCCTTTAAACATTTGCCATTGCACATGCCAATTCCCACTTACATGGTGCTCGTCTGAACTGCAAGGCTATCCCAATGAACCTCATTATCTGGAAGTTTAGGTCGCCTTTTGAAGGAACGAGCTGCAAGCAATGCTTCTTGAGAAGAAGCGGCATCTCCCCCTCCTCCATGCCAGTTCAAAATCAAACACCGGCCGTTCTCACCACCCAGAATCAAATCCACTGATGTGATCTGGAAGAGACACAAATACCATTGGAACTTTTCCACTCCAGTCCATGTAACATACGCCATGACACATACAATATTCACCCAGAACCATACTAATATAAAATTCACATTACCAGTGCCACCTCCTTCTCTATGAAATTATGCTGGGGCAAATCAATATTCTGAACTGTCTGTGCATAAATCAGTCTGCCCCTTTGGACATGAAAATCTGCAGCATCAGAATTTTCCTATTATGTGTGGATCTATTTTCAATATATGCCACCTTTACTGGAAACTTTGTTCAGAAGTCAATTCAAAAGGACTTGTCCCACTACAATCTATATGTGCACAGGATTGTGATCTTAGGATTCCTAGGTTTTCTAGAAAATACTTCAACTCTGCCATGTCCCCTTTCTACTAATGCTGCAATTTTGGCCTTCTGGATAATGCAATGCCCTGCAGAGTCCCATCTGGTGCAGTGCCGCAGCACAGCTCAAAATGTTCTACTAGTGCAAAGGCCTTGGGCATCTAATTCTGTCTCCTGTTTAGTAAAACAGTACTCCCTTGGATTAGTCTGCTGGTGTTAACAAATTCCTGAATTATAATCAACCTGTCACTGAGCTTTTTAATGTATTATTTTGAATATTAGTTAAGGGCTTACCTCAATCTTCTTTCCCACATCCTCAGTTTTTGCCACAAATTTGAAAGTGAACTTCTTTGTCTTACCAGGGATAAGACACAATGTCCCCTGGCTGGGTGGTTCCATGTCACTTTTTTGATAGGCTTCTTCCACCACACAATATTGGTTGTATTCCTATAGCCAAAAAATTTTTTTAAAAATTGGGCAGCTTTTCAAAACCAGCACCACTACAAGAGCAGAATAATGTACCAAATCTCATTTGCTGGGATTACTGTTTTGCCCCCCAACCCTTTTAGAGCTAAATAAAAGTTACACATACTATGCACTTCATTTCAAAGCAGCAGCAGAAAATACTCACAGATGTATACAGTCATACCTTGGAAGTCGAACGGAATCAGTTCTGGAAGTATGTTTGACTTCCAAAATGTTTGAAAACCAAAGCACAGCTTCTGATTGGCTGCAGGAAGCTCCTGCAGCCAATCAGAAGCCGTGGAAGCTGCATCGGACGTTCGGCTTCTAAAAATAGTTCGCAAACCGGAACACTCACGGTTTGCGGCATTCAGGAGCCAAAACGTTCGAGAACTAAGCTGTTCAAAAACCAAAGTACGACTGTATGTTGAAAAACAACTATCAATTGCATTTTGAAGCTATTTAAGATGAGAAAAGTTCAAGGAAAGATTTGTAATTTATACAGCAATCCCAGGTACAGTGGTACCTCGGGTTACATACGCTTCAGGTTACAGACTCCGCTAACCCAGAAATAGTACCTCGGGTTAAGAACTTTGCTTCAGGATGAGAACAAATATTGTGCTCCGGCAGCACGGCAGCAGTGGGAGGCCCCATTAGCTAAAGTGGTACCTCAGCTTAAGAAAAGTTTCGGGTTAAGAACGGATCTCCGGAACTAATTAAGTACTTAACCCGAGGTACCACTGTACTGGGACGCGGGTGGCGCTGTGGGTAAAACCTCAGCGCCTAGGACTTGCCGATCGTATGGTCGGAGGTTCGCATCCCCGCGGCGGGGTGAGCTCCCGTCGTTCGGTCCCAGCTCCTGCCCACCTAGCAGTTCAAAAGCACCCCTAAGTGCAAGTACCGTATTTTTCGCCCTATAGGATGCACTTTTTCCCCTCCAAAAATGAAGGGGAAATGTGTGTGCGTCCTATGGGGCGAATGCAGGCTTTCGCTGAAGCCTGGAGAGCGAGAGCCGTCAGTGCACACCGACCCCTCTCGCTCTCCAGGCTTCAGGAAGCTATCCGCAAGCCTTGCAAGCCCGGCGGGATGTCCCGTGGGCTCGCAAGGCTTGCGGGCAGCAGCCTGCAGCCCAAAAGCTCGGGGGACAGCGGGGGGGGCACAGCGCCGCCACCCCGTTATTCCCCGACCTGATCTGGAGGCTGGCGGGGGGGAGAAGCAAGCTTGCTTCTCCCCCTGCCAGCCCCACAAGCTCGGGGGATAGCGGGGAGGCGGAGCGCCGCCACCCCGCTATTCCCCGACCTGATTTCGAGGCTGCGGGGGGGGGGGAGAAGAAGCAAGCTTGCTTCTCCGCCCGCCAGCCCCACAAACTCGGGTGACAGCGGGGCAAGCTGTCCCTGAAGGCAGAAGAGGGAGACGGAGCCCAGTGAACTCAATGGGGCTTGCTTCCAAGTACAGACAAACAGGATTGCACTTAAAGTAGTTTAACTGGTTACTTGGGATAGCCAACATGGTGCCCTCCTGATATTGTTGGAACCACCATTAAATCAGTTCCGTACTTACAGGGATCACTACCTATACAGAAATAAAGATGCAGATTCTAAAAAAGAAAAAAAGTAAGTGGAAAAGGAAGTACTGATATTTTGTAGTATTAAAATGGTTAGCAGAAGGCAAATCTTATCCACTGCCCATCAAGAAGGTATTAACCTTCCTCAAAAGCAATGCAAGTTTTGTTGTTTTTTAAATTACCTGATTATTGAAGCTAACACACAGCTTAGAAAACCGGATAGGATGTGGACAATCAGCTTTCAAGCATATGTCAAACTGAACTGGTGTATCAACGTGAAAACTTGGAGCAAGAAACTTGGCTTTGCACTGCACTAGAGTTTGGAGCAAAAAAAAAAGACAAGAAACACAGCATTAAGTATGACTGTCATATTTCACAGAAGAACAATGGTAGATGAGCTGTTCAGTTAAGCGGGGTCTTCTTTTCTTTCTTGCCCTAGCTAAAGACATGGAACACTTGAAGTGAGATTCTCTAGCTGCAATCCAAGCAGATATGCAGTAGGCAGAGCTGATTCTGATTTTCTACTGCGTTCGCTTATCTTCAATCAAATACAAACAAGATCATAGCTGTCAAGTGTCCCTTATTTGAAGGGACAGTCCCTTATTCCAGCGCCATGTCCCGCTGCTGTCCCTTACTGATGGATGTCCCTTAAATGTCCCTTAAATGATGTCCCTTAAATTTCAAAGGAAGCAGCTCCTCTCCCTCCCTCCCTGCTGGCCAGGGAGGAGGGAGGCTCCAACTGTGTTGCTTGACTGTGTTGCTCACCCAATAAGAAGTCTAAGAACGACTGGGGGTGGAGCTTGCATGCCTTGTGTGTGGCTAGTTAATGCAAGCTGAGGGGGGTTTTGAATGCTGGACGCCATTTTGTTGCATGTGCTGCTGCAAACTTTGCAGTGCAAAGCCAGGCCGGGGAGCCATCTTAAGTTGAGGCTGCATAGGCCTTGTGGTGCATGTGATTCAGATTCTATTCAGTTGAACCTCTGGTTACAAAGTTGGTTGGACAGTGTTCTCGAAGCTACCAGCATGAGTTTGACCAGGGGACAGGAAGACTGGAGTGCCTGGAACAGGTGAGGCTGCAGGTCCCTTATTTTGGCTGCTGGTCCCTTATTTTCAAGGCTGCTGGTCCCTTATTTTCAAATCTGTAAGTTGACAGCTATGAACAAGATGTATAATATATCTATTATATATTAGGGTGTGCACAGAAAAAATAAAATATGCCTCAGCTCAGCCCAACATCATGTTTCACCATGAATTCAAAGTGGAGGTTCACATCACCATATTTCCCAAAGCATTGGATAGATTCTCCCTTGACTACAATAGGAAAATGCCTTTAACTTAAGTTTCTTTTTGGCAGCATTGGATTAAATTTACAGGCATAGTAATCATTCTGATGAGATGAAGCCTGCAAAAGTTCTGACAAGGTGCAAGTTTTTTGTGTGTGCTATGCATCTGTGCGATTTTAAAAAATGATTTGATACAGTTCCCTGTGGCAACTGGAATGAACGTGACATACCACACAAACATTTTGCAGTTGAAATTTTTACCTGAAATCTAAAGTGTATATGCTTAACTTTTTAGTGCAGGTTTCTGCATAAATATATCAATGCAATGTATCAAGTCCCTACTTCCAAATCTAGCAAAATCTGTAAACTATCAAAAATATAACTTTCAGAAATGAAATATGGATGTTTACAGAATTGAAGCATGCACTTTCATTTTTCCAACAGGTGGACAAAACATTACTTTTTTATTTTCAATAGCTTTGATACATACCAAATGGAATAAAGTCCTGCACTTCTATTGTAAAGATATTACTTCCTGCCAGAGAAACTCGGTCAGTCCACAACTTCTGGGCAGCTTTCACAGAAGCCGTATCGCATTCAGGTTCTGGATCTGGATTCTCATTCTGAATCCAAAACAAGAATATCAGTTCTATATGTAAAACATTTACATTTTTGGAGATTGTCTCAGAGAAGTTGGATTCTACCTACTGACCATGAGAACTTTGATCAGATTCTTTTCTATCCGAGATTTTTGATCTTCTTTCAAAGTAGACGCTGATGGAAAATACAAAAACAAATTAGGAAATAATAATAATAATAATAATAATAATAATACCCCAGCTTCAATTTATAATGAAGAGTTACTGCCTGCAATACCTGCAAATGCTTTAACATTCCTCAGCTATCTTCATACTCAAAATCAAGGTCCAGTTCTTGCAACCAGCTCCAAAGAAGGTTCAGCATATTTGTTGCATTTCTATCCCAATCCAACAAAGATCTCAGAGCAAGATGTGTGCCCACCTTCCATGCACACATATATATATTAGGCTGAGAGTTACTGAACAATCCAAGGTAACTCAGGGAATTTCTTAATGTAGTTGGGATTTGAACAAAGAACTCCTTGGCCCTAGATTGTCTAACCACATTTGAAGCAAAACAACAAAGAAGGGGTCTCTTAAAGATACAACAACCCTTTTAGGCAGAGCACAAATGTCATTCATTTGCCCATGTTTGCACTAATAAACATTCAAATCAAAATAGTTAAAAAGAAGAAGACAGAAATGAAGTGCACTTCCTTACCCCTTCCCAGAAGCTCTAATGAGTATGTAAGGTAATCTTTTATTTGCGCCATGAGATAGGAACATTTAAGAGCTGTGGTCAGTATAGAAGTAAGAAGAGTCCACCATCCTTCACTACGATAGTCACATAAAACATAATCTAGCAGCCTGGAAAAGGGTTAAAAGAGAATTTAACTAAGCAAATGAATCTGACAGTTCATATAAAAATAACACAGAAGTCAAACAGAAGATACACCTGATCAAATAAGCTTTGTGATGTGAGTTTTCTAGGGGGGAAATTAATCTGAACATTTTCAGTTCCCTATGACAACTGGGATCCGATTTCACATCTTTGACTTCTGCTTAGCAAACAAAGCTAAAGTAGTACATAAGGTTAATTTTACATGCAGCAAAAGTAACTTGGAGGTTTGTTCTAATAGCTGAACTGAAATATTAAGCTGAGCACAGAATGGAGAAATCCCACTGGTTACTCCTCCAGTGCTCATGGAAAAACTGCCGGCACACACTAACCACAGGGGAGTATGTCAAAGACACGTGAGCCCCGCATAGGGAAAATAAACCCATCATGGCAGTGCAATGTCTAGGAGCAGTATCTGAGAGGGTGCAGACTATGGCATCAGTCTATTTCTCCCCTAGCAATGCTCTATTTTTCTTCCTGCTCTAACAGAGTTTTCTGGCAGTTAGGTATGATACATCAGTAGGCCATTCTATTGATATATTTCTGACTTCCTGCTGGTGTATCTCAAGAGATGCTGGTAAAAGAGGGCTGTTGCTGAATTCTAAAACCTTCCACAGCATACCCACCCTAGGATTTCACCTTTAACAAGGATTAAATGCTGTACTCAAAAAGACATTCAATAATTTACTTGACAAATATTGTTACTGAAATATCAGTCACAAAATATTTGCAACTCAGTAGCACTCTACTGAGTTAAGGCAATAAAAACACGTGTCCTAGGGAAAACCACTATGAAAATAGCAAATTTGGTTAGTACTGCCATTATGTTAACGCATTTTTAGAAACTGAGTATTTCCCCTATACCTTCAGATTTCCAAGTTATTTCCTCTAGAAACAGTTATAAAAAAAAACCAGAATTTATCAGCTATTATACTTGTACATACTGAATTATAGCCACAGAGCATCCAGCTAAACAGTTTACTAGCAGAAGGACTTTGGACTGTGCAAAGGAACTTTCCCTCCCTCTCCTCTCCTCACATGCCCCCTAAATCTGCAGAAGATGATTTGAGAAACCCCCCAAATATATTTAAGAGGCACACAGAGGAAAGAGAAAGTTCTGCTGCACAGCCAAAAGTCCTTGTTCCAGTGGAACTGTCTAGTTGCATACCACCTGCAATATCTGAGCTCACTGAAGCTATGCCAAGATAACCTGTCCTGTTACAATTTATGATAGATTCATGCTCAATAACTTTCAAATTGACCTGTTCACAACCCTCTTCTATAACACTGCTGAAAAAAGTTTTCCAATTTTCACTTAAATTACTAAACAAAAATTAAAAAATAAATACCTAAAATCATGCAGTGGCATTTATAAAAATCGTACTTACTTCAAAGCTTTGGTGTAATCTTTAGTATCGTAATATTCTTCACCCATCTGAACCACTGAAAAAAATTATATTATTTACAGTATTAAAAACTGTAAAATGTGTTTTATTAAACATTAGTTAGGAATATTATACTTACTCAAGTGACTTTTCATTCTTGGACATTTGTACTTCTTGAATTGGGCAACTGCATTACTCAGCAAGGTGATTATTAGCTCCTAATAAAAAGTATTGTTAAAGTTATATTTGCCCTTACAATGACAACCTACAACTACTATTGAAATGTGACTTACAGAGTGGAGAACCTTTCTCTCTTTCAGTTGCAGAGCCAAAATTCCCACTTTCTCCTTTTCGGGATCATTGAGATCAAAGCCTGCGTATGACAATGAAAAATCCATCTTAATGAACTACTGTACATTCTTTTGTTACGAGCCTAGTTCCACAGTTCAAGAATGTTCAGATTCTAAACACTGCTCTGTTTCTTAGGAGAAGGAATGTTTTAGAACTCAGGTGTATTCTTTGTTCTTTTAAGTAGGCTGTTTTAAAAGGTAGGCTGAAATAATTAAACATACTAAAAACTAAAGCACCTTTAAGTGCTATGGTCTAAGTCAGCCTACTAGGAAAATTACTGCTCTTAGCAACAAAGCCAAAACCTCACAATCTGTGGTTTCTTGGCAACAGCCCATAAAAGGAATGATACCAGAAAAGCAACACTTATTTAATTTTTGCTATTATAGAGGCTACTAATAATGACACAAGCCTTATATCTCACAATGAGAGGGTTTGCATTTATCTGGTAAACTCATTCTAAGCCTTTGAATGGAATGTTTAAAACCACAGGCTTAGTTCACTGTCATCCCGTTCCAAATCTCTGTATGGGCTTTAACAAACTGAAGTTGCTTTTCCAAGCATAGGCTGCCTCATTCATTTCAACAGAGGTAATAGATCTCCGCATGAACAGAAATATACAAGCCCATATGTTTCCTCTAGTCTTGTGCCACTTTAAAGATTAACCAATTTATTACGGTACAAGCTTCCACGGAACACGTCACTACTCTGTGGAACCATTCCTGAACTGATATGCCTCTTGATGAACTTCATCATGTCTGTCATGTATTGCAGTATATAGGATATGTCTTAGGCTATATTTGATTCACTTGAGACATAGGTTAAGTCTGTTGAGCTTTATCACTGCCCTGGATGAGCTGCAAGTACACACCTGGGCACTGAAGGATAAGATCAGTAGCAGCAGGGAAGCTGTCAGTCAGAGGAGCTCAGCTAGCATTACCAGTCTTCTCATAGTGCAGAGATAGAAAACCTGCCGCCCTCCAGATGTGGTTGGACTATGATTTCCAGCAGTAGCAGCCAGAATGGTGAATGAACCAACATCATCTGGGGAGTAACAGGTTCCTTACTCCTGTCATAGAAGTTTCCCCAATATGCTTGGCAGGATATCTAAGGCTCTCAGGAACACAATTTGAAATATACACACATTAGGATAAATGTTTGTTAACTAAGATTGCTTTTTGTTTATGTTCTGTAGGCAAGAAACTGAAAAAAGATATTTACTTAGTATTCCCTGCCTCCATGGTCTTTGTCCGTAGAAGTCAAGCATTCCAGTTTGAGTTTCCAGTGGATCTGGATTGGGATATATTACGGAAGACTGCAAATTAAGCAAAGAGAGCCTTAACTATATTGTTAAAGGTTATGACACAGTGTGATAATAAAATACACAACCGAATGCTGGGGGTGGGAAGGGAAAGGCTTCCAAAATGTACGTGATTATAGAAGAAGCAAAACCACATCCAAACCTGTATTGGCACAGAGGATGGAAACAGAAAAATGCTTGTTGGTACATAAAGGAACTACACTGAACCTACATATACCTGCTTAAGACTCTTGAATTCAATGAAATTCATGCACATATATTTGGGCGCAGGACTGTGCATGTGTGCAAACTTAATTATGGCTTCTGTAGAGCTAACTATTAGAGGAGTAAAAATGTTTATGTTTTGCATGATCTAACTAATAGAGGGAGACCTGAACACCCCCAGAGTTCTGAATTATGTTTGAAGACTACAGCACTGCTATTTAAAGTTCTTTTTTCTTATTTTTTCCACATAATTTTAAATGGACACTTTTATGGGCATTCCATCATATTAATAAGTGATGTGGGTGGCGCTGTGGGTTAAACCAGAGCCTAGGACTTGCCAATCAGAAGGTTGGTGGTTTGAATCCCCGCGACGGGGTGAGCTCCCGCTGCTCCTGCTCCTGCCAACCTAGCAGTTTGAAAGCATGCCAAAGTGCAAGTAGATAAATAGGTACTGCTCCGGTGGGAAGGTAAATGGTATTTCCGTGCACTGCTCTGGTTCGCCAGAAGTGGCTTAGTCATGCTGGCCCCATGACCCGGAAGCTGTACGTCGGCTCCCTCGGCCAATAAAGCGAGATGAGCACCGCAACCCCAGAGTCGGCCACAACTGGACCTAATGGTCAGGGGTCCCTTTACCATATTAATGTAGCATGACCTATCATTAGAGTCTGTGCCCAAATAGAGTTGCCTAGAAACCTATAACTGAGTAAGAGTGCCGACATACACTAGGATTCTAAAAGGTGTGCATTATTTAGACTATACAACACATGCATTTGCCATACACAAACCAAGTTTTTTTAATCTCTGTGTGTATATATGTCTATAAGTAAACATAAACCACTTGACCAAAAGTTATGGGCTTATAAAAGTAAGCTTACAGAAGAGATTACAGGATCTAAGATACCTCAGTCAGTAGAGCATAAGACTCTTGAGCCCCACGTTGGGCAAAAGATTACTGAATTACAGGGGGTTGGACTAGATGATCCTAGTGACCCAATTCTACAAGTTTATGACTCTGAGTGTGGACTCATTAGTTTAAAAATACCAACTTGCTAAACCAAAAATCTTATTATTCATGCTACCTTTACCTGAAATTCACTGAGAAATCAAAATAAGTTCTGTTTTCAGCCTTACTTTTGGTTAATTTTTATAACCTTTGTGCCGCAGGTATGGTTTTACAGCAGCCCATGTGGATTCTTTGCTGCACTGGAATCACACATAGGAATGAACAGGAACCAGCTTTTTGAACACCACTGTAACTGATCAGTGCATGGTAACACCATTCACACAAATGATTCAGCCCAGCTATCTAGAAGTCAGTATTTAAAAAAACCCTAAAAGCTATAGCCACTTCTTGCAGAAAATCTTGTAAGAATACGGTCTCACAAAGGAGCATAAGCAAATGTAAGGCAGCCTATGACTTACCTCATGATTACAGAGACTATTGGCCAATTGCTTCCGTTCTTGTGCATAGTATGCTGCCTGCTGGTAATAGAAACCAGGATTCTGAGTTTGAATAGCTGTCAGTCCTAGTTTAATAGCTTCATCAAACAAATCTCCAAAAGCTTGGAATCTGTTTAAAACAAAAAGGGGAAAAAATCACACACACATCTGCAGAACCAGACACTTCAGATTTTTCAGAAGGATTAAGCAGAGTAGCAACAGGCAACTAACTCATGGGCCACACAAAATCCTGACCTATTTCCAGGACCCCAAGAATCTTAATTTAAGGAAAGAATCCAAAATTTTCCTATATAGCCATGAGAAATAGAAAGTCTGAAAACCCAGGGCATACTTTGCCTCAAACCAAAATAATTTTAAAATTAAGGAACCCACCAAATATATCACTACAGGTCTCAACTCTCATGATTTCTATATTTGTTTCAAACTTTCTAATGATCCCACTGGGCCAAAAAATAAAATCGGAATTATGCATGTGATTAACATCTGCAATGCTTACTATCTACTACATGTACGATAGGTGCATGCAGATGGTTACTTGTTAACAGAATATGGAAGTTGGTGGACATTCTCTGGCTCGCTATATATTTATTTCTAGTGTAGCCCTGAACATGTTCCCCATTTCTTCTCTGAAACATGTCTGGAACAGAAAAACACTGAAATCTAGGTAACGAGCGCAAAAGAATTTGAGGCTTGCACCAGTCACTTTGGTTCACATCCCAGTAGCTTGAGGCAAGTCATTTAAGCCTCAGGTTCTTCATCTGTATAATGGGTATAATTGCAACCTTTCTCCTGGAGCTACAGCTATAACTGATGTGGAATGTCATAAGGTTTATGTAATAACTTGCAAACCAAAAGCAACACTGTGCAGCTTGAATAAGCTCACCTATTCACTAATCACAGTAGTAAAATTACTAAGTAAAAACATACTGTTTTGACATCCAGGCAGCATGCTCAAAAGCCAATTCAGCACTCCCTATTTTTTTCTTGCACAAATCTATGTGTTTTCTGAACTGTGCAATTGCATCCAGCGGTGTATTATGTTGAAAACAAAGGCGACAAATCTGAAAAGATTTGAAATTAGAACACTTTGATTAAAATATTTTTCAATGGTATACCAGATTGACAACTACAACAGAATACAGTTGTTGTAGGTGAACAGTAACAGTACAACACACATTAGTTTTATATTAACTATGTTCCTCTCTGCCCTTTCAGACCATTTCATTTTTTCCCTTAGACAGTAAAAATGAAAAGTCAAAATGTAATAGAAGCACAAATTCCAGTTATTCACAGGAAGTAACCTCAAATCATCGCAAAGATGCCAAGGACAGCAATGGGCAACAGACTCCACCTCAGAAAGAATTTGATGAGAAACCTATCTGCATTTATAGGAGAATGTTGTTCTCACAGGTGCTTTCCCATGTTAACATGAAAACTTGGGATGAATACTCTCTACCAAAACTTTTCAATTACTTGAATCGGAAAGAAGAATAAGTTGAATGGGGGGATGGAACTTAAAAGTTAAACGTAGAAAGATGTTTTAATCCATATACTTCATGTGATTCAGTATAGAAGAATTCAATATAATAAAATCAAATAAATAAACGCAAGATTTCACCATTTTTAGCTTTTCTAGCCTCCAGGATAACACAAAACCATGGGCAATATTTTAAGAAAGGATTATGATTTCTGGTCTTGTTACTTATTCATCATTGCACAAACTGTACCCTCTGCAATTTCAGTGCCGTCCTTCATGACCCAACGTACCCGTCCTCTGTCCATTTACTAGATATAACTTTTTATGACTATGTTGAGGACCAATTACACTTTGCCTCTATACTTTATACAAAGAGCATGAAGAAAGGTCATTAAGGTCTGTAGGAACATAGCTTTACCTTACTCATTCTGCCTATACTGCCTTCTCACATCCATTCAGGACATTCAACTAAGAAGTGTTCCTTGTCCTTAAATCACTCAGAACAGGAACTTTTGCTACAAAATGTCCTAAGAAGGGCCAAGTTAAATCAATAGTCATTACCTTGTAGTTTATAAATCCTGCCATAGTCTTGATTTCCAATATGTTTGTTTCATGAGCTCTCAGTTCATGTACAAGATTATATGCAGTTCTGTAATTTCTAAGTAAGAAATTTTAAAGTTAGAAGTTGTTCACTTGTTGTATAATAAATAAATTAGTGAGCCTCAAACGTACTGCTTTTCTTTTCTTTGGACCACAACATCGAGGCCCAGGGTCCTTTTGGAATTAAAGGGGTTAGTGTTGCCTCTCCTCTTGAATAAAGTTACTTCAGAGGAAATATATTAAATATACTTTGTAAAATGCTGCAGTGCATATTTACTCATGGAGAATTGCAATAAATCGTTTTACAAATGGCAGTAGAAAGGTGCTCTCCACTCCTTTGTCTCTCATCCCACCCACAAATGGAAGATATGCCTCTCTTTCTAGACTGGGGGAGGTCGGAGCATCCCATGATTCCAGCCTCTGCATACAAGTACTTACTTTAGAGCATTCTGTGTGTCTTGCTTCAATTCACTGAAGAATCCTATTTTGAATTGGTGTCTAACAAACAGAAGCTGCAACACAACCAACGTACAATATTTTCAAAAGGTGGTATTAGTTTTAAAGCCATCAACATGACGCTTTAGGCAACACTAATGCAGATTAATACCAAACTCTAAGAATACCATATCAATTTATTCCATCATAAATTAAGGATACTGATTTGGCTTGCTTTTAAATGAGTAACACCTAGTGTTATTAATGGTGGTTTTAACATATAAGTTGCTTTATTCTTGCTACTGCTAAAGTTGCATTTTGATTTGTTTTGCAATCTGGTGTGGTTTTAGAAATGGTCTGTATTCTTATAGAATATATGGTTGTAACATTATGGTATATGCCACTACATACTTTTAGTAGAAGTGTAAGAAATAAATAAGTAACAATATTCCCCCCCCCTCTCTCTCTCACACACACACACACCACCTTCTGCTTTTCCACGCCTACAGAGTGACAGGTTCCCAAAGTGACAGGCTGTAATGGCAATATTGTCCAAATGTCTAACAGGAATGATAATAGCACAAAGCAATACAACAGTGACTTGGCAAGTATAAGTCTATTCTAAAATAAACTTATTTATAAATAAGTTTACAAATAAAATATGTATAAATAAAATAATCTTAAAACTACCAATGAAAACAGGATTTGCAGCAATGGTGCTTCTAAATTCTTCAGCACCGGTAGCCCAACTAGTTTAATAAAGTTGCTAGTTATACCTGATGTGTTGTTTTGTTCAGGTATTCTTTATGAGATTTCACCCTGCGGATTTCTGTATAGTAGTATGTCTGTGCGTGTTCATAGAAGGCATTCTCTAACCTATGAAAGAAAAGGTCAACTGCTTTAAAATGAAGTAAGAGTCTTAATACTTCACTATATAAATAACTAGCTGCCTTGCTTCAAACACGTTCACCCTAATTTCTCTCCCATAAAACTTAAAGCTTATGTATATCAGCAGCATGGAACAGGAGCACACAGCTTTTCCAGAAATAAAATGGTGGTGGATTCATTACGTTTCAACAGAAATACGTAACATGTAGATAATGGGTGTATTCAGAGGGGCCACTAGGGGCGCATCGGAAGATGGCTGACAATAACATCTCTCCGACCCACAGGAGGTAATTAGGAGGCTGTGATGGGAGTAAATAGCCTCCCTACCCCCCCAGGATTGTGGGGGGGGGGCTGCCTTTGCCTGCTGTGCCCTATACCACCCCCGAATTTGTGGGGATGGGGGCACTAGGCAGAATGCCCTTCTGTGGATCTCGGTGCTCCTGGACGCTGTCTCTGATCCGCGCCGCTAGCTGCAAGAACTTCAAAAGGAATAATTAGGAAGAAGCGAATGCACATATTTCAAGGAAGGAGGGGGAGTAAAGACTGCTAACTGAAGAGTTCTCTGATAAGCAAGACGAGTCGGAGGAACAAGAATCAATCATGAGAAGATATGCCAAGACTCGGTATGGCAAAGGGACTGGATGGGGGAGGGGGGAAAACTTTCCTTTCTTTCCTTTATGTGATTAAATAAGAATCCCCCCCCCTCACAAGTCAGAAATGCCATTTTAATGACTTAAGCTGTGGATTTACGACTGTGCGGAGATGAATTTTCTAACCAAAGCATGTTTTAAGAAGAGCGTGGAAAGTTTAAGAGCTTTGGAATGACGCAGTTAAAAATACCGTCGCCATGATGGCCAGCTCTGTCGGAGGACTTGAGTCTGGGAGGAGGAAAAGAGATGTTTTTATATTGTGAGTGACTCCTCAGTGGGACTTAAGAACGACAGATCCTGAGATTAATGATGGAAAGAGCGATGTTATTTATGAAAGTGATGATATATGGAAACCATCTTGATACGAGGATTGGATGAACGGAAAAATCCACACAGGATATAATTGGTGTTTATCTGCTTAAGGAGCTTATCAGAAGAGATCATAAAGAAAAAAAGAAAAAATATACAAACAAGATTAGATGTGGAAACAGCAAGATAAGACTGGATAGAATTATGAACTTTATTTGGACTGATTTGGACATTAACGCAGTAGCAAGAAGATGATCAGAATCCCCCTTCGGATCTTGAAATATGGGTCCCCTCAACAAAAATTTAAAATTCGGATTTGTAATTCGGAATTTATGTGATGTGATTTGATTTGATTGGTCGGTTAATAAAAATTATTTTTTTAAAAAAAAAGATAATGGGTGTATTCAAGAGTTCCATAAAATGTCGATGTAAACACACTTGGTGGAGATTTAACACACTTGAAAGAAAATGTGTTAAATTGTAGAGAGGTTTTAAGAATGCTTATTTTCTAAAAACTAGCCTTATAATTGCTCAGAAACAGCAGAGGCTGTTCTATTAGGGCAAACTGGGCACTACCTCACCAAACTCAGTCTGCCCTCAGCCAGCCTCACTTGCCTGTCTTTTCAACTGCAACCAGTCCACAGGGTAGCATTGCTTGACAGTTTCTTCCTCCTTAGTCTCAGTGTTGCCCTTGCAGAACTCAGCAGGGAGGATGCAGACGAAACTAAAATGCATTTGCTCTGTGTTTCATTGCCTCTGGCTCCATCTACTGTTGGGTTCCCTGCCTTCTTCCCCACCAGCCTCAATAGGTACCAGTCACCACTGCTCAGAAGCAAGATCCACTGAGTGCAATGTGACTCTCAAGCAAGCACGAGGATGATTTCGGCCATGGTAAAAAAATAACTAAAGAAAAGCCTGCTCTCACATAATTTACTTACCTTATAATATAACCTACAAGGTGATCAGTATGTGGCAAAACAAACAGCGACTTTCCAGAGAGGTCACAAGCATTGCATAAAGCCGCTGCCCTTTCAGAAGCGATAACGTCTTCTCCTAAAATAAAAATTTTAAAATGCTGAACCATCTACTTTCTGAAAATCTGTCAAAGGGCGACAGATTGTCACATTCTCGGTACACTATTAACCATAGTTTACACGACATGCAAGTGAGTTCATTGTGCACTACAACATATAAGATGAATGGTTCCCCTTTGAACCAAGTGTGGAGTTAATTTTTTTCTGAGCTGGAAGAAAAGACAAAGACCGTGAGACCTACAGGAACAACACTGCTGTTGCAGTTGATTACAATATATCAAAACCCGTGGTGCACTAGATTCCTAAAAGAACGTCAACCTGCACCATAAGGACAGCGTGAAAGGCTTTTAACACAAATAAAAAGGAACCTAGAAAACCTAGTTACCAGAGAGAAAAGTGGGATATGACTATACACCCCATAAAAGGCTTTCAAACCAGTCTCAGCTCTGTCATCTGTCTCCAGCCAAGGGTTAAGACAGATATACAGTATGCTTTTAATTCTTTTGCTTTTAACTTGTTTTTATTTTATTGTGTGTTTTGATATTGTTGTAAACCGCTGTGATATATTTCTATGATACAATGGTATATGAAGATGTTTATAAATAAATAAAATAACTGCTACTGAAAAACATTCAACCTACAGTAATACCAAGTCCCCCCCCCCCCGCCCCGCTTTCTTTATGGAACACATTTCTGCCTTCTATTGAAAAACAGGTGTATTTCACAACTTCAGATTACTGTGTTAATTTATTTCAAATCTGATCATTTTAGCTTTCAATTGCACTTCACCTGGAGGCAACGGTGTTTTCTTCTGAATCAAAACCACAGCAACTTTTGTGTTTCTTCCCTGCAAACTCTGCCTGTAAGAACAATAAATAACATCAAACTGAGGATGGTAAGCATGCAAGCCTTTAGACCATACATACTGCAAAATACATTTAGTAATAAATGTTGCATGTCTCAAGAGACAACGAAGTGTGCCTCTGGGGGTGAAGTCAAACCAAACATTTAGCACAATCTTAACTAAAAGGAGCTTTCTGTTTTTGTTTTAAAGAAAGCAATAGAGCTCAGCAGCAGGCTTTCTCTCTTTCCACTTATGTTAGATTTCCCAAAGGTGTAAACTAAGTAAACTAAGATGGTATGTGTGCTTTTTTAAAAAGTAGCATTTCAAACATGGGGATGAATTCAACATAGTGCAACAGCAATCATTCTGTCAGCACAAGCATTTCAGCTTGCCAGTCAGAATGATGACCCCTTTCATGTAACCAACTGGGTGGGGGGAGGCAGGGGGAAGAGAAAGAGAAAACCCTGTTGTCCTTGCAGAGGTCCTTGCACTGGCTTCCATTAGTTCCCAAACTTTTTCAGTTGCAGAGCACTTTTCAGGAGAGAAATTTGTCATGGAGTACTACTGTTGCCTTTATGCCAAAGGAGTGTATTTATTTATTTGCTAAGCACTTGAAGATGCTTCAGGGAGACCAAGTGCTCCACGGAGCACAGTTTGGGAACCACTGCACTAGTGGAACTCATTAAGTTAAATCCAGGCTAAGGTTACACTTCTGTTGTAAAAGCATCCTTACATATGTAAGTTACAGTGCAATTCTACACTCAGAAGTAAGCCCCAATGACTTCACCCAGCTTATCTGTCTTGAAAGACGAAGAAAGGAGCTTGTGAATGATGACTTTTCCCAAATACGTTTGCATTAAGCCATTACTAAGCTAATACCTAAGAAATCTTTTGAAATTATACCTGACAATTTCAACTCTAGTAGCACACTCTGACTGTTTTTCTTTCCACTGGGGCTCATCCCAGTCCAGTTCATAAAACACCACAACAAGTGCAGGCACCAAGTTCAGATGCTTGTTCATCCAGCCAGTCTTCAAGATTCCTTTTGGAATGTACCATTCATACGTTGTTCTCTGCAAGCATTGACAAACAAGGTGAGTTGCTCTCTCTGTTCTTACACAACTTTGGGTGACTGATATATTTACGCCAGAACTTAAACATTCTGCTTTACCCCATGACCTTCTCAATCACGGCTACCAGAAGTACAATAAAGGATCATACCTTTCTCTTCTCTACGCTAATCACCAACCTTACTGCCTAGAGCAGAACACACTTAGGGGAAAGTTTCATTATACTTAGGAGGACTTTCTACATAAACATGCTTCACTGTAAGAAAGCAAGAATCACAATCTACTCTAGCATCTTGTTCTCACAATGGCCAACCAGATGCCTATGGGAAGCCTTGCAAACAGGATATGAACACAACTGTGTTCTACCCACCTGCACCTCCCAGCACCTGATATTAAAAGATTCCGACTTTGGTGGCAGAGAATAGCTATTATGGCCAGAAGCTGATGATAGTCCTATCCTCCATGAATTTGCCTACTCTCTCTTTAAAGTTGGTGCCCATCACATCTTGGGGTGACATATTCCTATGCATTTGAGCGAAGCACTTTCTTTTGCCCATTCTGAATCTTCCAAGGTCCTGGATTCTAGTATCATAAAGGAGGGAGATTCTCCCAATCCACATTCTCTGCACCATGGATAATCTTATACACCTCTATCATTCCCATTTCCCCCCTAAATTAGAAAGGCACAAATGTTGTAACTTTTCCTCACAGGGGAATTGCTCAAACCCCTTGATCATTTTGGTAGCACTTTTCCAAATTGTTTTGCAACTCTACAATTTCCTTCTTGAGGTGAGGGGACCAGAACGGTGGATAGCGTTCCAAGTGTGGCCTCAACAAAGATTTGTACAATGGTATTATAATATTGGTTTTTTAATTTCCAATCTGTTTCCTAATGATTCCTAATGTGATATTCCCGTTTTAACAGCTACTGCACAATGAAACAACATCTTCATAGAGCTATCCACTAAAACCCCAAGACTTTGCTCCAGGTCAGTCAGGTCAGACCCAACTAGCATATATAAGAAATCAGGACTTCCCCTCCCTCAGTGTATATCACTTTATACTCACTTACAGTGAATTGCTTTCGCCATTTTATTGCCCATTCATCCAGTCTGGAAAGAATGTTTTGGAGCGCCTCACAATTTTTTTGTTTGTTTCACTGTTCACCCCTAACTCAGACTATGAATGGATGGGTTAAAAACAGAAGTCTCAATATGGATTCTTGGGTGACTCCACTTTCTAAATCCCTCCATTGTGAGAACTGTCAATTTATTCCTAAAATAGTCTCAAGTTTGGTTTGTGTTACATACAGAATAAGGCTTCTAGCCTATATAATAACTCAGTTTTTAGATTTAAGCTACAATTATATGCTTCCTTTCGAAATTATCCCTTTAGCTATGCTGATTCCAGCATTCAATTAACCTTCAAGTGGAAAACTGATTTTACAAAGAATTACAAGAAGCACTGCAAATAGCAAATAATTAATATTAAATATATTTTACAATCAAGACATAATCCTTTACTTCCAAACATAAAACGAAAAACAATACCTTTGTCCTACATTTAGGATATTCATGATCCCCAGGGAGTACTTTGAAAGAAATTGGTACTCTGTCCGCTCTCCTGTTTGCACAAAAGGCGTCCCAAACTGCCCGATGAACAGCATTATACACTACATCCAAACCCGTGAGTGTAACGAAGGCCATAGGACGGCAGCATAGTTCCACAGGAAAGTCCCATTGCGAAGGGCTCATGATTATGGTTGGCTCACAGGGAAATCTGAAACAGTAAGCATACATTTTCAATGAACTGGTCTGTTACTCAGATACATTTATCATTATTCTGGGACACCAATAGTCAAAGAGAAAGAAAAACCTCTGCTAAAAAAAATAAAAATACCTCTGACTAAATTCTTCCCAAATGCAAGCTGATACGACATGCAATAGTAAATGAAATCTTAGGATTGAAAGAGGCGCAGCTTCCCCCACCTTGATAGCAGTATATGGAATCATAGAATTGTAGAGTTGGAAAAAACTCCAAGGGTCATCCAGTCCAACCCAGGAATCTCAACACGCGGTTCCCCATCCAATCTGAAACCATACCGGACCCTGCTTAGCTTTACAAACTCCGCAGCCTGAAATAAATTTGTGGCTTAGCCATGAATGACCAAGTGGCTTCCTAGAAGGTTTCGCCCAACTTTCCCCGAGCTTCTCGGCGGTGTCCCTGCTCGCCCGAGGCCGCTGGCCGGCGCTTTCCCTCCGCGGCCCCTCCCGAAGCCAGTCATTGCGCTCCCTACAGCTGACAGCGCCTGACCCTCCCGCGTCCGCTTCCCCTCGCAGCCCACCACGCCCCGCGCGGCCCCGCTCCACCCGCACCTGCGCCGCTGCACGGTGAGGAAGAAGCAGCTCCCCGTCACAGGCGGCCCCGCTCAACTTCCACCGGCGCAGTCCATGGGAAAGGCCCGACCGAACCACGGAGGAAAGAAGGTAAAAAGGTCCACAAGCAGCAGCGGCAGCAGCCCAAGGCCTGACGGAGGAGCCCAGCAAACAAGCCGGGGGTTGGGGGTGGGTGCGAAACCAGCTGAGAGCGACGTCCTCAGCTGGCCAATGAGCGCCAAGACTCATCAAGGGACGAAACCATTGGAGCGCGGGCGGCGGTAGAGTTCGACGAAGAGCCAATGAGGACCAGGAAAGAGGCCGGACTGGCGTAAGGGAACCGAAGCGAGCCAGAGGGCGTGTCTGAAAGTGCCTGTGGCCAATAGGCAGCCGGGAACAAGACGCGGAAGGGTGGACCCCCGCGTCCAATAGGTAGGGCGGTGAGGACGCGGGTGCCGTGACCCCGCCTCCCCTTGTCATTTTCGGCGCACGCGCACGGGTAGGCGGCTGTCGGGATCAGTCGGGACTGCGTGGATCTCGCCCTGGCGGAGAGGAGGGCGTCGCGATCACCTGGGAGGAGGGACGGTGGGCAGTGAAAGGGGTTGGGGGGGGCTCCTGTTTCCTCCGGTGTCGCGCCATGACGGCGAACGAAGACCAGGAGGTGAGTGAGGATTGAAAGGTTTTAGTGATGATGGGGAGAAGGGCAGAGTTTCATCCGCTGCACAAGTAGAGAATCAACAGGCGAAGTTCTCCCACCCCCCATCCCCCGCTCTGCTTCTCGGGGCTGGCGCTGCACCTGTTGAGCTTCTGCCTGCCGCAGCCAAAAGCTTGTACAGGCAACATGGGGCATAGCTCAGTTGCTTAGAGCAACGGTGCTGATAATGCAGAGGCTGCAATTTCGATCCCCATATGAGACAGTTGCATTTTCCTGCCTGGCAGGGGGTTGTACTAGATTATCCTTGTGGTCCCTTCCAACTCTCCAATTCTAGCACCCGCTGCTGGATATCTAGGTAATTTGCAGAAGATCCGGAAGGTTTCCTGACTCTGAAGTGTCCTGACAATAGCAAGAATTAGGCTGCGGGGGGGGGGGTGGAGATGGGTTGGAAAAGTGGGCATCTTTGCAGAAGGGTCTTGCGAGCTTGGTTCAAATCCAAATCTCAAGTGCTAGAGCAGAGCTTATGTGCAGAGACATCCTGTTCCTTAATTCTGAACAGACTTGCCTTGCTAAACCACTGTTTTGCACCTCCTTCTGTTTGGTGGTTCTCAGAGTCTTAGTGAAAAAACAAACTGAATCCCATAGGCCCACCCCTACATTACAGACGTTAGCATGCTTAAAAACCTCAGGATAATTCTGGTAATTTACTCACTACACTTGTCAACACCAAGTAGGCAATACCCTGATTCAGTGGTTTTTCAACCAGTGTGGCGTGGCACCCTGGGGTGCCTTGAATGATGGTGATGGGTGCAACACTGGGATCTGTCCCTATTTCCTTCCCTCATCCTCTGATGCCCTCTCCCGTCTCAGCCACCCAAAGACTTGCACAGCTGTTAGTTGTGGTAGACCTGGCTACAAGCTCAGCAGGCAAATGCCGCCTCTGGGGCTGGTCAGGGGGTGCTAGTTGCCAGGAGCTGAAGCAGCCTCAGAGTAAGCAAGCAAGCGGGCAAGGGAGACCAGCTAGCCAGTCCACCAGCCCTTGCTGTTGGGAATGGACAGACAAGTCCCAGGCCCCTATGGGGCAGTGTGTGGAGGCACCTCTCTTTGGGGCGGGGGCGGGCAGCTCAGAGACCAGGGGCGGCAGTATTGGCTGCCCAGAGGACTCCCAAGGAGAGGGGAGAGGAGGCTGAGGGAACACTCCACAAGGGAGGATGTTCAAAAAGGTGAGAGTCTGCCTGCTCTGCAGGCAACTGGTGACATAACTGGGCTTCTGAGCCCCACAAGGGTACCGCTGAAAGAATAAAGTTGCTCAAGGGAGCCGTGGACTCAAAAGGGTTGAAAACCTCTGCCCTGATTGAAAGCCGGAAGGGAGCATAGCTTGGTGGTAGAGTTCGCACACACAGACCAGACACACAGACCCCACATCTACTTTCACAAAGACAACCTATCATCTTTACTTTTGCTACACAGTAGAAAGCCCAGTACAGTGGTACCTCGGGTTACATACACTTCAGGTTACATACGCTTGAGGTTACAGACTCCGCTAACCCAGAAATAGTACCTCAGGTTAAGAACTTTGCTTCAGGATGAGAACAGAAATCGTGCTCTGATGGCGCAGCGGCAGCTGGAGGCCCCATTAGCTAAAGTGGTGCTTCAGGTTAAGAACAGTTTCAGGTTAAGAACGGACCTCTGAAACGAATTAAGTACTTAACCTGAGGTAACGCTGTACTGTTTTTAACACTTGATTGGGAGCCGCCCAGAGTGGCTGGGGAAACTCAGCCAGATGGGCAGGGTATAAATAATAAATTATTATTATATACCACTGTAGTTATGTGCTCATTACATACTCAGTTTCAGCAAGATGTAACCATTGGATTTGGATCATAATTTTTGTTGTATTCTTCATATCAAATAATTCTATCAATTTTATAAATAAATACAAATATCCAAATTTATCTGTTGTATATGATATGTATTTTCATGTTTTCTTTTCTTAACTTTGCCTTGAATTTAAAGAACTGCATTAGAGAGCATATGCCTAATGGAACTTTGGGCTTCTGTTTCTCAAAACAGCAGTCTCCCAGGCCACATAGTAAATGGGTTGTGAAGCAAGGAACACAGAGGAGACTTTCAAAGTACTGTAGCTTGAAATATGACACAAGGCACTATTGTCCATAAGTGATCCCCCCCGATCAAAAAGTTACAGTGGTACCTCAGTTTATGAACTATTCGGTTTACGAACTCTGCAAAACCGGAAGTAGTGTCCCGGTTTGCGAACTTTACCTCAGTCTAAGAACGGAATCTGAACGGTGGAAGGGCACCGGCAGCGGGAGCCCTCATTAGGGAAAGTGCGCCTCAGTTTAAGAACGGTTTCGGTTTAAGAATGGACTTCCAGAATAGATTAAGTTTGTAAACCAAGGTACCACTGTATAGGGAGTACCATGCACAGAATACTCCTACAATCTTTCTACATGTGTATATGCGTTTTAAGGTCTTGTACAAAACAGTGAAAATACATACAGCTTCTGGGTCATGTGGCCAGCATGACTAAGACGCTTCTGGTGAAGCCAGAGCAGTGCACAGAAACGCCGTTTACCTTCCCACCGGAGCAGTACCTATTTATCTACTTGCACTGTGTGCTTTCGAACTGCTAGGTTGGCAGGAGCTGGGACTGAGCAATGGGAGCTCACCCCATCGTGGGGCTTTGAACCGCCAACCTTCTGATCAGCAAGCCCTAGGCTCTGTGATTTAACCCACAGCGCATCAGTAGTAGTAATATTAAACCCTTTTTTATTTAATGTTCTCTTTTTAAAAATTATTTTGAACTAAGGTTGAAGGTGATGAAATTAATATCAAATATTAATACTTAAACAGACTGTACACAATTTAAATGGTTAAGAACCAAGACCACTACTGGCAAAGTATCTCTGGCCCTTTCCTGCAGCATTACCCTTAGGATTATTTTGTGTTTTAAAGATTTGTGCAAATGTTCTCTTTAGGTTTTAAAAATATTAATAATTTTCTTTCCTTTCCTTCAGATGGAGCTAGAAGCATTACGTTCTATTTATGAAGGTGATGAGTGTTTTAGGGAACTTAGCCCCATTTCCTTTCAATATAGGGTGAGTTTGCATGAGGTTTTATTACAGAAAAGTAATCTGTGTTGACTTGAACTGAGTCCCAATTCCTCCAAGACATATGCATGTATCTGAGATAGCTCATAGTTTTTACTGGTTTTTTTAATTGATTTCTTGATTAATTGCATGCATTTACTGTGATTTAGCTATTGTACTCTGCTTTGGGATTATTTTATAGGAAAAGTAGGTAACAATTTTTTTAAGAAAAAAGTACACCACTTGTCTAATACAGTTGTGAATGAAGGAATATTTAACTTTAAGCTTCAATAGCCACATTCATTTTCATAGGATTGACAGCATGCAATTTGTGAAGTCGAGCTCAGATTCATGCTGTTATCCAGCAATCTCATTTGAATTAAGCAATAATTATTTGAATTAAGAATACTTTGAATTAATAATTAAACAGTAATGATACTGTGTTTATTCAGAATGAGGAAAGTTACCTATGGAGCAAATGTCTTTTTTTAAAATTGTTTTCTAATGGCAGCTGCATGGATTCCTGTGAAGTAATAGTTTACATTTGTATTGATTAGTGTTGCAGTCGTCTTATCTGAAGACTCAATTCTGTGGATGATGATAATAATAAAAATCGACAGTGAAGGATCCTTGTTATAAAACAAATATATTTCAGTATTTCTTCCAATGGTTTAAAAATTTGGGGGGATTTTCTGGATTCTTACACTGCCATGCTTTATAAATATTTTCCAGATAGGTGAAAATGGAGACCCTAAAGCTTTCCTGATAGAAATATCATGGCCAGAAACATACCCTCAAACTGCTCCAGTCATCTCTATGGATGCATTCTTCAATAACTCTATGTAAGTATTCCAGTTTCTTATAGTGGCATTTCTTCTGGAATAGCCTTCTTTTGCATCTATCCCTAAAAGGAAGTTCTATTATTTCTCCTAGAGCCTCCACCATAAAGCAAAGTATATTGAACAAATTAATGGAAGAAGTTGAAGTTAACCTTGGTACCTCTATGACATACACAATTTTTGAATATGCCAAAGATAATAAAGAGCTGTTTATGGAAAACCAACCCATTAATATTGCGGTAAGCTGATAACTTGTTTATATATCTCAAAATACTAGTGGTTTTCCCCCAAATATTAAGAAGTTAATGCCAAACTGCCACTGCAAGAATAAGTTCACATTTCTAGAAAAGCTTCACTTTCCTATAGTAAACTAGTAACTGTTTGCCTCAGGTACAAATCGGTATTCTGGATGTTGTTAGTAAAAATGGCTGATTATCATACCTAGAATTGTATATTGTTCACTGGCTACAATATATAAAACTCCATGTATTGTCAACAAGGATTATGATAAGTCGCAACACAAATATCCTTATCTCATAATGAGCTTTCATAGCCAGTAAATGCAAAGTTTCCAGTGTAGAAAAGTATAGTTGAAAATCTGAAGCTGTTGGATCTTTACTAGATGGGAACCCAAGGATGAGAGAAAGTGCCAATAAATTACAGAAATATCTTATTAACAAATTATGTTTTTTAGACAGCTTTGAACAACTGCATCTCAACAGGACATCCAGATGCAGCACAAACTAGTAAGAAAAAAGAGAAAAAGGAACAATTGACCAAAACACAAAAACGAAAGTTAGCAGATAAAACAGGTGTGTATGGTGTAGTTCATATGTTTCTTTTAGATTTTCTTAAAAGATGCATTTTGTTATTGTATGCATTAGGAGATTTAACAAATGTTTGTCAAAGTACAGGATTTTACCAATGTTTGTATATTATGTTTATATTTTTGTGCAGGATTTTTTGCTTATTTGGGTGCTTTAATAGTAAAATGTTTATTAAAGCTGTGTGTGTGTGAATACAGTTAACCTTTCAGTAGTTACTGAGTTAGCTCCCATAAAAAGATCAAACCATGGTTTGGTACTATGACAGGGGTAGGCAACCTAAGGCCCGGGGGCCGGATGAGGCCCAATCGCCTCCTCAATCCAGCCCACGGATGGTCCAGGAATCAGCGGTTTTTACATGAGTAGAATGTGTCCTTTTATTTAAAATGCATCTCTGAGTTATTTGTGGGGCCTGCCTGGTGTTTTTACACAAGCAGAATGTGTGCTTTTATTTAAAATGCATCTCTGGGTTATTTGTGGGGCACAGGAATTCATTCATTCCCCCCCCCCCAAAAAAAAATAGTCTGGCCCACCACATGGTCTGAGGGACAATGGACCGGCCCACGGTTGGAAAAGGTTGCTGACCCCTGCACTATGAGAATGAACCCTGTGTTCACATCATCCTTCCTTCCCACTCCCCTTATGAACCCCATTTAATTATTTAGTGTGTGGCTGCAAATAATAGTTTGCATTTTGAATCTCACAGCAAGCTGTGGTTTGCTGCAAACCAGGAAGTGGTTAATTAAAATCTGAAAATTGAAAATTAACAGCTTGTTTGTGGTGTTTTGAATAGATCACAAAGGAGAGCTTCCTCGAGGATGGAATTGGGTTGATGTAATAAAGGTAACATGCATCACAGTTGAAAATTATTTTATATATATATATATTTAAGAGACTTCAGCAGTGTCTAATCTGTTTGTCTCCCTTTCTCTTCTTTTTGTTAATCCAAATGCCATCCACATCCAAAATGGTTCTCTTCTTATCCTTATGTAGCATGTAAGTATTTCAGTCTTCCTGAATTGTTGTACTAGTTTTCAGATATCTTTAATTCCAAGGTTTTTAGGGCACTTCTCCTAAACATGAAAAGAAATCCTATTGAATTATGTCCACATATTTTTTTTAACAAATTCAGAAGTATTGGCTAACCAGCCTACCACTTTCATGAAAAGAATAGTAATTGTTAGAGCTTTTCAACGAAATCTGATATATAATATCGAATATGCAAGAAAGTGGAAATCAAAATATTGTGTGATGTTGCCAGTGTTTGTAAATGTGTGATTAATACAGGTTAATAGTTTACAAATAAGTTCAATGCCCACATGTGGAATTGCCATCTCTCTGCATGCTTGCATTCCTCTGTTGTTGTAATTATGTTGTACACTAGCCTGCTTCACATATCACTTTAAACCAATGCCTAATTTCCCCCCCTGTACTTCATCACACTGCATATTCACTTTTAAACTACAGCTAAGCTCACCATATGGGACGCGGGTGGCGCTGTGGGTTAAAGCAGAGCCTAGGACTTGCTGTTCAGAAGGTCAGCGGTTTGAATCCCCGCAACGGGGTGAGCTCCCGTTGTTTGGTCCCTGCTCCTGCCAACCTAGCAGTTCGAAAGCACGTCAGGTGCAAGTAGATAAATAGGTACCGCTCCGGCGGGAAGGTAAACGGTGTTTCCGTGTGCTGCTCTGGTTCGCCAGAAGTGGCTTAGTCATGCTGGCCACATGACCCGGAAGCTGTACGCCGGCTCCCTCGGCCATTAAAGCAAGATGAGCGCCGCAACCCCAGAGTCGGCCACGACTGGACCTAATGGTCAGAGGCGCCTTTACCTTACCTAAGCTCACCATGGTATAAAGTGATATGCAAACAAGGCCATTGACTATAGTGCTAAGTGATTGTTTGCATGTGTGAAGGAACTATCACAGAAGAATCACAACAAATCAAACTTTTTAGTAATCTAATGTTAATTTAAAAAACCCAATACTTTAAGGGCTGTCCAGGCAGGCTGTCTAATAAAGTGGTAAAATATGTCTACTGAGTTTCATTAAGGTTGCCACAAAGCATCTGATGAACTGCCCCAGGCCAAGATAAACCTTTTTGTTTCCATGCACTGAGATTCTGATCAATGCTATAGTCCCAGGTCCGTACTCTCAGGGTTTCTTTTTTTACTGTATGTCTCTCCAACCCTTTCAGCAACTTTTTGTATAAGCAGCTCTCTTCGTTTTGGCAGTAAATCGGTTTTTACACCGGTTGCTGAATTTTGTGACATTCTAAATACTATAGCAGTACCAGTCTCAGATACCTGCCTTTAAGAAAGAAAAAAGTTAACAGAAAATCTGCAGATTGGGGCCAAGAAAAATGGTAGCTACTGAATATTTTAATCTTTTTTTTCAGCTAAGCAAAACTGGCTCCAAGGATGATGAATAGGAGGACACTGATATAGGAAAACATCAGCTTTTACTACAACACTGTTTGGAATCAACTGCCATATTCTCTCTTTTTTCATTTACATTTTATAAAATGACAGTTCCTCACACATTGAAATCTGAAAAGGTGTGCTTACCTAGAGGGAAATGTTTTTGGTATCCATAATCACTTTCTTCATATCACATGTTTGCCTTTAAAGAAATTAGGTTGAAGATTGTCTCCTTCTATTTGGATGTCAACTATCAGGACTCTGAATATAACAATATGTAATTTGCTCTTATACTGTTTGACCCTGTACTAAATCATGCAAAACTGAAAGCGAATCATCTAATGCTCTAGCTGCTAGTCTTATTTTATATTTCTTTCTTGCATAGCTTCTTCAGTGTTATTTCAAATACTATTCATTACTGATCCAGCTTTTCAGATGAAATCTACAATGACAGGCTAAATTTTGCAAAAATATTGGAACTTCCTGAACCGTGGTATTCTTTAAATGCATTTTTCAACCCAATCTCATGGTCTCCCTCTAGCACAGCTTCCCAGCTGTAATATAGTCACAGTCCTAGAAAGCAAAACAGTATCATGAGGTACAAAAGATAAGGTATCAACTTTTAATCCCATGGCACATCTGCAGTTGCCTACCAGCCACTAATGATGCCCTTGCATTGGTACAGTCCCTGCATCAGTTATCAGCCCATGGCAAAGAACAAGTACAAACATTATATGATTGAGCCAGTACACATGGTGTCCCATGCACAAGTAGAGAGAGATGGTTCCACCTTTCCATGCTGTAGGGAGGTAGCAGTAGGCAGAAACTACAACCATCAGGCCTCCCATCAGACAGGGATTAAATCTTCTGCCAATCCAAAGCCTACAACAATAATACTTTTGCCAGGCAAACAAGAAGGGAAGAAAGGAGAACCAGTCCACTGGCAACCCAATATCCTAGTGAGCAGATCCATGGGTTCTGAGAATTGTGGGCCCTTGAACGAGATTTGAGATTTGCTCTGGGATCAGCGATCATACACTGACAACTGTCGGAACACTCCACATAGCTTATATGTTGGTGTCTTCCATGAAGAGAAAAGAGATTTTGCTAATGGAGAAGTCAGAGGCAAGAAAGGAGGAACAGTATGGTAGGGAGCTCACAGCAGAAAGCACCAGGAGTTATCTAGTAGTTTGTTGGGATGGAGTACCGTAACGTGAGACAGAAGAGAATGAAGTCACTGCCTGCCACAGGAATTAGCACAATGTGGCTTTTGTAGCTACTCAACAACCTATGCTATGACACACACCCTTTCCCCCAACCAGTGATGGCTAAACTTGGCCCTCCAGCTGTTTTGGGACTACAGTTCCCATCATCCCTGACCACTGGTCCTGTTAGCTAGGGATGATGGGAGTTGTAGTCCCCAAACAGCTGGAGGGCTGAGTTTGGCCATCACTGCCCCAAACCATGTTTAGATGCAACTGGATAGACTAGATGTGACTTGCATTTGGAGCTGCAACTCAGTGGAATGGGATAGCAGAAGCTTCATAGACATTGGGTTGCAAGTTCAATCCCTGGATGCAATATCCTAGCAGAAGAGGCTGGAAAAGAGCTGCATGTATAGACATACTTGAGGCAGGGCAGCGCTACAGCCAATGGGAGTCAACGGTTCATGAGCCAATAGCCCCATTTAAATATTTGCTTGCCTTGCATAGAAGCTGAGGTGTTTTAATCTTTTTTTACAGTTGATTTTAATTAACTTTAAATGTGTTTAATGACTTTAACTGTTTTTGTTCATAATTTTAATAGTTCTTGTGAACTGCTTAGAGGTTTTACCACAGTCAAGCAGTTTTTCAAATTTGGTTGAATAAATAAAATAAAGTTATGCCCCAGAATGTCATCATTTCTCCCAGCTCCTTTCATCCCAGCCATGAACCTTTTCCCATAAACCTTTGGTTGATCGCCGGTAGCCACTGTAGAGGCAATGCCCCATTTGTACACACCCTTCTACTACTTGATTTATTATTACATCAACACGTAACCAGGGTAAGTGGCTGGTATATAAATTCAATAAATACTACTACTACTACTACTACTACTACTACAGCATAGAAAGCTAGTGCATTGTTGGGATACACTTTGTTACTCTAGCTAATACTCTAGTGGCCACAGACCTCGTCAGGTCATTAATTATGGGGGGATACTGTATTGAAATCCACAAGCCTTACTTGTTGAGTCCCTTCCCTCCAGTTTCAGCCAAATCATCCCACCTCTTTTATAAGCATAATGAAAGATACACATCCCAAGCTGTTTCCCAATACAAATGAAACTATCCTATTCTATCCAGAGCCACTGCTATTTGACAGCAATGAATCTTACCTTTTATCTATGAAGTTACTGTTCTTCACTCATCCACAAAGTTGATGGGCTAAATATAATTTCACTTCTGATAATTATTATTTTTTAAATGGGTAATTAGAATTCTGACAGGACTGCAGTCCAAATCACACTGGGGAGTATACTTCATTGAACTCAGAATTTCTGAGTAAACCTGCATAGAATTCCACTGTATGGAAAACTGTGGTGAAAAAATAACTAGTACTAACCCACCAGTACATTTTCTCTCTTGGAAATGCATTTATGGTAGTTTGTATTTTTCCTCTCAAAAGGTAGCACAGTACCCGCCCTAAATGCTGGGTGCCATTTATTTCTGTTCGTTATTTTCTTCCTTTGGAAAAATAGGAGTTGTCATGTTTTCTTGTATATGTTAATGAATAAAGAGATGGATATAACCACCAAATGGGTAGATAAAATGGAATTTTGCATAGATGTGCCGTCTTGTATCTAAAAGTTCTCTTTACTGTATTAATAGTAATAGAGCATAAGATGCCTTAATGCCATCTAATTTTTATTGTGGGAAGGGAGGGGTTTAAATAAATATATATTTATCTGCCATGTTGTGTATTTATTTGCATTTAGGCCCTGTGCATACGGTGGGCCAAAGTTAAGCAGAAACTTCAACTGTAGAGTTCAGCACATATTTCAGGCAGCTATTAAAACCTTTGTGACTTCAACCTGCTTCAATTTGGCTAGGCAGCATTACCGTATTTTTCGCCCTATAGGACGCACTTTTTCCCCTCCAAAAATGAAGGGGAAATCTGTGTGCGTCCTATGGGGCAAATACAGGTTTTCGCTGAAGCTTGGAGAGCGAGAGGGGTCGGTGCGGATAGCAGCCTGCTGCATGGGGCGCGCTGAAGCAGAGCGCCCTGCGCTTCAGGCAGACATCGGCCAGCCCCACAAGCTCGGGGGACAGCGGGGAGGCGCCGCGCCGCCATCCCGCTGTTCCCCGACCTGGTTTTGGGGGGGAAATTTCCTTTATTTCCCCCCCAAAAAAACTAGGTGCGTCCTATGGGACGAAAAATACGGTATGTGTTTCTGTAACAATATGCTACAATGCGCACGAAGAGCCCTGTTGCAGCAGGCCAAAGGCCTATTTAGCACAGCATCCTGTTCTCACAGTGACCAACTGGAAGGCTGCAAGCAGGACATGAGCACAAGATTGGGGTGGGGGGTGTTTTTTGCCAGATGGAACTCACCAGAACTCAGTTCCAGCACCTCTCTGGTGGGCGCCATTGCCACTATAAGAGAACAAGGGAGGCGTTCATGGTGAGCACCTCTTTTTCTAGAAAAATAACACTGGCAACAAAGCTCCCCCAACCTGAGATTCCCAGTAACATGCTGCCTCGAACAGTGTGGGTAGAACATGGCCGTCATGGAAGGGGGAAGGGGAGATAGAGCAACAGTGGGTGAGTTGGCTTGTAGCACACAGAATAAAATAAAAGCATGGGATGTCCTAGTGTTGAGGCTGTGAGCAAACTAGTGGAATGTTTCTGTTGTAAATAACAATTTCAAACAAGGAAAACTGATGAGAGCGGGTTAATTTTAGCAGAGGAAGACTGCTCCAGAAACAGTTTCGCCTGCTCCATGAGTTCTCCCACACCCCCTTCCACAGGGGAATCCATATAGGATCCAAACCTACATATCCTCCCAAATAAGTAAATTAAATAGCATGATCAACAGATTGGATCACAGGCCAAGTTATATTTTGACAACTCCCGCCTTTCTACAAATAGATGTTATATCTGCGCTTCTTTGAAATTTAATTAGAGCCATCACAAAAATGAACAGGATATGCAGGCACTCGGCTATGTGATTTTTAGGGCAGTGAATACCTACATAAATTATTGCGCCTTTCACACAAAAGTAATTTCTATGAAAGGAATCCAGATATTAAACATCTAACATCTTTGTCGTGAACACATGTATTTCTGCTGATGGGGGGACGGGACTAACATTTGAGACTGCCAGGTATGGAAAATAGAGTGCTTTTGTTCAATAGCTCCCCAAGGGAGAGGAAACTCAGTTTATGCAGAGTAGAAATTTAGTTACCATGACAATTTATCTGAATAGACCAGTTGGGGGGGAAACAAACAAACCGGAATTGCTTGTCTCCTTTCTGCTGCCACTTGACATGAAGTCAGAATTGGTAGGCTCTTGAAGGAAAACCTTGAAAGGTAGGATATCTGAATACTTCAGACACACTGGTTGATCTTTAGTTGCATGTTGCATTGTAGGGCGCACACTGCTTCTGCACTTTCCTTGTAATTAAAATATCTTAAAATAGCCCACCCCAATGGTCATCCGGACTGGGGCTAATGGGAGTTGTAGTCCCACTTCCCAGGACGGTGTGAGGACCAATTTTGGGGTTGCACCAGCCTGGGAGGAAACTCTGATACCCTTTCCCTTGCCGGACTGTGGGGGTAAGAGGTGCTGTACCATTTAAGGTAAGCGGACTTGTAGTCCAAAACATCAGGAGGCTGCCTAAGAATATATTGTAGCAAAACCACCTCTGTCTTCCAGCTGTGTTCTTTCGCTTAAAAAATGTGCAGGCAGAAGTTGCTTCCAATTATAACTTCTAATACAATTATCTGAATTCACCCTGTGTTTCAACAGAGTTAGTTATCTCATCCAGTAAGGCAACTGTAACAATCCTCACCAAACTGCTCAAACTTGAGACCAACTGAAATAATTTCACAGTGGTTCTGTGTGGTTGGTCCCATGTTGCATCATTGTCTTCTCTAAAGCTGTACCATGTGTGATAGGCAGGCTGTGGTTTAGGGGTCAACTATCCTGATGAGCCATTTCAACTCTACTGATTGGGAAACAATTGTTGCCGCTTAACCTAGCACAATTGATTTTGTATAATTAATAAATTTGTTCATTGTTACCTAACCTGCAAAAAACAGCCACCTAACAAACTCCACACAACACTGGCTTAATTATTTTTCACAACAATTTGTATAGAAATCTGTTTTAAGCTAATGGTAATTGTAATAAAGTGAGATAATAAATGAAGGTAGAGATTCACATCGAGTGCTGAACACATTCTTATGAGCTCATTAATAATGTTCAGCTATTGGGGTTGTTTTTCTCTTTCCACTTTTTTATTTGGCTTTGGAGCTGACTGTTCTAGCCAACAGCTCTTAAAAGGAGGCTAAAATCTGAATGGCAAGTCAAACAGGTTTTGCCACTGCATGTTGCTATGGGTTAGCGCTGCCTGGGAATCAGTAAACTTACTCACTTCCATACGCCAAGAGGCAGAGAAGAAAAATAGCGCTGGGAAGAGAGATGGGTTTTTTGTTTGCTATTTGGAAGCATCTGTGGGAGAGAAAACCCTACTACGTCATGGGTATTTTGTAAATACGTGTTATACTTCTCAAAGGCAAATGAAGGAAATGTGAAATTGGCTGATAATACTTTCAGTTACGCAGCAGTACCTGTAATTAGATTTGTGCCCTGCTGTCTTCTTACTAAATCTGTTCTCTTCTGACTAAAATTATAACTTTGGAAGGAAGCATAAGAAGATGTTCGGTTATATGTTTTGGAGTACGACTAACTGATTCTTAGCTCAGGAGAGAGCTAAGACAATCCGCCAATACCTAAGAGGCAATGAAATAAAACTTTAAGCTGACTTTCTACATTTTCTGACTTTAAACATCTGTGCAAAAACCATGTGGGCAGCTGACACAAAAGGAAATTTGTCTCAGAAGCCTCTACATACAGTAAGTACCTTTTGAGTAAATCTTACTGAAACTGTAATTTAAAACTAGTTTTACTATGTTGGTTTCTGTTCTAAAACTTTGTATTTCACCCTCACATTTTTGGAGGGGGTATCTGGGCTGTGTAAGAACCCCAGTATTAAAAAGCATAGATGAAAGATACCTAACCTTTGTATTATTTTCAACTCAAAACTGTCAGCAGATTTCAACACATTATTAATATTGAAAGGTTATGATCTAAACTGTTGCTTCAAAATAAATCTACAGTTGAATTTTTATGCTAGCTTTTATATTATTAGAGGCCGTATATACTTCCTCCTCTGTAACTTCGTTTCAATTTAAAAGTGCCAAATCTTTCTGTTAAATTCTCAGAGATTAAGAAAGGGAGAATAGATGTAATATATCATATTTACTTATTTACAACCATTTTATGCTGCTTATCAACAAAGTCATCTTGGTGTTTACAAAAGTTATGAATCAATAATACAGAATCACCATCAAATATCATCAGGATCAATTAAGAACATATAAATACAGCCAACATGAAACCATTAGAAGCCAGCATAAAATGGGCATGTCCCTAGGCCCATGCAGACACAGAAGCAGGCTCAGCCTATTTTGCCGCCTGAGGTGAAATAGCAAGAGGCTGCCCGACACATGTACCACACACATGACCTTGCCTCTGGCCTTGCTAACCAGAGTTGCACGGCTGCAACTTCTGGATTTCAGCAAGATCCTGTGAGATCATGCGGCGGCCTCCGTGCACCACAGCCACTTTTCACTTATCTGGTGGTATCAGTTTGCCCCTCCAGCAGCCCAGTGATCTCATCTGCACCTTAATTTTCAAAGGCCTGCCTGAATAAGGAGATCTTAGCCTGCAGGGGGAAGGGTAACAAAGAGGGGAGCAAGTCTAACTTCTCTTGGGAGGGAATTCCACAGTATGGAAGCAGCCATGGAAAAAGCTCTCTCTTGCGTCACCACCAACCATGGGTCCTATGTTGATGGGATCAAGAGAAGATGCTCACCTGAGGATCTTGGCATCTGCGTAAGCTTTTATAGGGAGATACAATATTCCAGAAGGCCTGGGCCCAAACCACATAGGGCTTTGTAGGTCATAACCAGCACTTTCAATTGCAATCGGAAATGGACGAGTAGCCTGCAAAGTTGTTTTCACAAAAGAGTAAAATTCTCCCTGAAACCTGCTCCACTTAATAATCTGGTTGCAGCATTCTGAGCCAGCTAAAGTTTCTGAACACTTTCCTTTGGATTCCAGGGGTGGGGGTGGGGTCGAAACACTTTACGTAGAATTATATAAAAAATTACTTTGTTATGTATTTTGTATACAGATACAGTTTCATTTTTATAAAATTGGTACACACCATTTCCAGAGCCTATGTAGACTTTTCTAGTCTTGTAACAACAGACATTATTTTTATCTGGCTTTGGCTGAATGTGTAGTTTGCAAAATTGAGGCACGGCAAAATTTTATGCTGTATTTCCTACAGGGTGAAAAAGAAACAATTGTTTTACCTTCAATTCATAAGAGACGATTGGATAATACTGTGACTGTAAGTATTTTAACAATAATGAACTTTTCATTATGTGTGGTGGAGTTCTAGCCCTGCTTACTTGAAATTAATTGCACTGTGATCAGTGAGGTTTACTCCCTAATCAAGTTTCTTCAGGAATCACAACCTAAATTTCTATCACTGTTGATTAGTATGTAAGTTGATGCTCCTCCAGACAACCTACCGTATTTATTCAGCATTCATCCAGACTTGCTTGCAAGAAGCATATGTGGTGGTTAGACTTTTCCCAATCTAATTAAGCATTCCTCTTGATTTGTTTATGTGGGGGTAGTTATGAGCATTCTTCCTGATTTGTTTTGTAGGATCTTTACACATATTTCCATTTATCCTTTGTACACCCCACATTTTTAAATACATTTCCTCATCACTTTCCATACTGCAAAATATCTGGGTTTCTTTTTAAGTGGATTTGTTGTGCTAGGGCAACAGAGCATTTAAATCCACTTTAATTGTAGAAACCTAACATCCAATACACGACTGAACCCTTCCCACAATAAAGTGTCAGTCTGAAGACACCATCGGTTAGCTTGTGGAATATTAAGAATAGCTGGGTAATCAAATAAAGTACATACGGTAGTGCTTTAATTTAATTTAATTTGTGTTTTTGTTTTTATTTTGTATTTTTGTATTTTTATGTTGGGAACTGCCCTGAGATCTTTGGAAGAAGTGTTGTATAGAAATGTAATAAATTAATGAAATGAAAGGGATTATACCAAACCCGCCACATGCATTTATTTTTCTTTTTAGCCTTCTAGTAATTTGCATAGCCGAGGACACTCTAAAAGCCTCCAAGAATTGTTCTTCTCCCCACAGATGTCACATTCACAGAAATATGTGTGCAAAGATATTTGCTCAAAATGGACTGGGGTGAGTTACTGCTCTGGACTGATGGTGAGGTTAATGAGGTGCTGTGTATTCCCAAAGCATGAATGGTTTAATAACCTAAGTAATAGCTTAATCCTAAGACATCCAAGGGACGCGGGTGGCACTGTGGGTTAAACCACAGAGCCTAGGGCTTGCCGATCAGAAGGTCGGCGGTTTAAATCCCCGTGATGGGGTGAGCTCCCATTGCTCAGTCCCTGCTCCTGCCAAACTAGCAGTTCGAAAGCACACCAAAGGGCAAGTAGATAAATAGGTACTGCTCCGGCGGGAAGGTAAACGGCGTTTCCGTGCGCCGCTCTGGGTCGCCAGAAGGGGCTTAGTCATGCTCGCCACATGACCCAGAAGCTGTCCGCAAACAAAACGCCAGCTCCCTTGGCCAATAAAGCGAGATGAGTGCCACAACCCCAGAGTCGGTCACGACTGGACCTAATGGTCAGGGGTCCCTTTACCTTTAAGACATGCAAAAAAAAAGCCTTGTTGTCATACACTGATACAAATATATGTTTAAAGGAAGATGAAAACAAAGGAGAACCAATAACTTTCCTGCTTTTTAAATAGAAGTACTAATAATTAGTAGGAACTCTGGTTTCAGCATGAGTATCATTAATCCCAGGGAAGCTATGAATCACTGTTAGAAAATATATTTCTTCCCATTTATGTGAACAGAACCGTCACTATAGTTCAGTCGCTAGAGCATGAGACTCCTAATGGGTTTGAGCCCAATGTAGGACAAAAAGATTCCTGCATAGCAGGGAGTTGGACTAGCAGACCCTCCAAATGTCCCAATTTCCCAGGGACACCCCTGATTTAGAGAAGCCATCCCGATTTCTGATTTGATCCTGGAATGTCCCACTTTTCCTAGGATGTCCCTGTTTTCACTGGAGAAATGTTGGAGGGTATGGAGTTATCAAACCCCCAAATTGTCTGAAGGCAAACTTGTATAGGGAAGGTTTTTGGTTTTTTTAATGTTTAGTGTTTTATTATGTTTTTATATATGTTGGAAGCTGCCTAGGGTGGCTGGGCAACCCAGTAAGATGTGTGGGGTATAAACAGTAAAATTATCATTATGGAATGGGACGTCCCTATTTTCATCGGATAAATGTTGGAGGGTGTAGACTAGTTGGCCCTTGTGGTCCCTTCCAACTCTACAAGTCTATGATACTACAAGTAAAATTTCACATGATGTATATATTCATCAGCAATGTTCTCGTGTGGACCCTTGGGGCATTAAAAAGAAACTTTTGTAGGGTCAAAACATTCTTGAAAGATTCACAAATTTTGGCCCATTTACATCTCTCTGGCCACATCTGTACTGCACGTTTAAAGCAGTATCATACCTCTTCAAGCAGCCATGTCTTTCCCAAAAGGGTTCTAGGAAGTGTAATTTGTTAAGGGTACTGAGAGTTTCAGGAGACCCCAACTCCTTACAGAGTTACAATTCCCCAAGTACCTTGGGAATAGGCATTGATTGTTAAACTACACTAGAAGTTAGCTCTGTAAGGGGAAGAGCGGTCATTGAAAGTAATACCTCACCATCAGTAAATTCCCTCATTTACCATTTTTATATTATATTATTAAATTACTTCTAGAAACAAAAATGTCATTGGCATGTACCGTATATGAAAATAACTGAAGAAACAGACATGCAAGTGAGGAAACACTTAAAGGTAGGTGTCAGGGGTTCAGGAGCAGAGGCAAGGGCAAGGGAGGAAACAGAGAGAGAGGGGGAGGAGGCAGAAGGAAAGATGAGTGATGACGACGACCCGAGATCTCCGAGTCTTTCCAGTGAATCAGAAGATTCACAGAAAGGAGCACCAGTGGCCAGGGCAAGGGGGGAGCCTAGGGGGACACCCCAGGAAGATAGAGCCAGAGGGGACTCAGAGGGGAGCAGTTGGAAATCGGGACCAGCGTCACCGCCAGAGAGCAGGGAAGAGGAAGGGCGCCAGGGATCAAGCGCTGGCAACTCACAGCAGGGGGGAGGGCACGAGTCAGGGTGGCCACACCTCCATCGGGGAGCGAAGAAACGGTCAGACGGAAGGTGGAAGGTTGGGCGCGCGCGCCAAGTTCAAATGCACAGGAAGGTGGCGCAGTAGGCAGCCCGGAAGGGAGCCAGGTCCTAAAGCCCGCCGAAAGGAGGGAGAAGAGTCAGGGGGTCAGCGTCAGAGTAATCCCGGAAGGAAGAGCCCCCGGGGAGCAGCGGGACCCAGAGAAGAACAGTCAGGCGGAAAAGGTGGAGCAGGGCTAGGATATTAAGTTGGTGTACAGGGGCGGAGACTCAGACGGAGCTTCGCCGATCTAACCATGAGACGTAGAGTTGCACGCAGCAGCTTGAGAATGGAAACTGTAACTCAATAAAGACTTTTGTTTAATGATCGCTGGCTAGCGTGATCCTCTGTGAGCTAGGATCTGGAAGCAGCTCTGACAGTAGGTAATTACTTGCCTTTAAATTTTTTGAAAGGGGTGGAAAACAAAATGTTTCTAACATTTGCTTTGTTTGTCACTAGCACTGCACGTCTTTCCATTTTGTGAAAAACTTGAGACACACATCAGAGGATAAAAGTCAATCACATGTGAGAAACCCAGAGATGTTTATTCTAAGGGTAAGACACAAATCACCAGATGATGATAATGATACGGGTAAGGATTTTGTTATTTATATGCCGCCCATCTGACTGGGTTGCCCCAGTCAGTCTGGTCTGCTCCCAACAAAATATTAAAAACACAATAAAACTTCCCTGAACAGGGAAGATGCTGTTTAGGCATCTTCTACAAGTCAAATAGTTCTTTGACATCTGATGGGAGGGCGTTCCTGTGCCGTGTCAGGAGACACTGCGGGGACCAGCACAGCCTGGTGTGAGGTTGTGCTGGCCTGTGCAGCATCCCCAACACTGCGTAGGTTGTTGCAGCCTTCCGCTAGGATGTTTCTATAATTATATTATTCTGCAGTGCCAGGTGATTCCAAAAACAGATAATGTATTGGTCTCTCCTTTCCCTATGCATTGCTGTCCATGTATGATCAAGATCCTTGCAGAGGACAATGTTGTTGGCCTACAGCTCTCATCATCCATGGTCATTATTCATGCTGGCTGGGGCGGATGGGAGTTGGAATCAAACATCTGGAGGGCTTCATGTTTGCTAACCCTGGTGTAATGTGAAGCATTTCAAATTTAGGTAGTTTAAAAATCAACAAAGCATGATTTAAGCCTCCTTTTCCAATCTTGCATCTCTTATATGTACTACTACTGCAGAAGTCAATGGGCATTTTGTGTGTATATGAGATAAAGAGAAATGCATGCTCAACAGTATATATGCAATTAAAATGGCAGTTTATAAAGGCTATCTAACTAATTGTGGGCTTGTTCATTTATTTGTTTTTAGCCGGAGGCAAACATAAATCAGATGAAATGCCACTATTCAAGTTTTAGTGTTTGTTCAAATGAGTCACCGGATGGGGATAAAACTACTGAATTGATTGAAAAAGTTGTAATTTCTAGACGCAAAGAAACAGAAACCCAGAAATCGATGTATACAAACAAATGGCTCCTCCAAAGGCAAACAAGTGAAGAAACCCACCATTCAGAAAACACCAAGACAACTGATGAAAAGAAAATTAACAGAAGGATAATGGATTTATCAAGAAGTGTGTTATCGGGTTCTCTAATGTTATCAGATGTAAATAGCTCAGAAGATAAAGCAGACAGAGCTGCTGTCTGTGGATCCTCATCATCCAGTCTACCTCACCTGAAAACCCAGACTGAAAAAGTAAAAACCTTTCGTGCTCATTTGCTTCAAGACCAGGGAATAATTAATGAAACCAGATGCTATCCATGCAAGTCTTCAGATGGCGATACAAACAGAGCTGCCATTAGAGGACAAATCAATTCTCCATGTTTATCCAAAAGGAAAATCTTCATGATCTATATCTGTGGAGGCTATCAAGGTACAACCAAGAGCACCAGAATTTTGTGTTAAAAATCTTAAGATTAACAGATTTATTGTGGTATAAGCTGGTGTTTTGGGGTGGATAGGTAAATTGTCACTTTCCTCACCTACTATCTCCTCAGTGTTTTCATTCCTTTTCCAGCCATGCTGGTAACTATTTCTGGAGTGCTCTTGAACTATACTTTTTTTGTTTGTTTGTTTCATACCTCAGATTTGCACAAAACCAGAAAACAACACAAGCAAATCACATTATAGAAAATTTTAATGTAATTTGCTTGTGCAGTTTTCTGCTTTTTTCCCCTTCAAATGTAAGTGATCAAAATAACAAAAAAATACACCAGATATTGCATAGCTAGTTAATCTGAAAAGTGTGTGCTGAGAATTTACAATTGCCTGTGAAATAAATTATGCTCCTAAAAGTCATGATAACTAGTGGTGCTAGAGTCCAGAACCTGGTCCCCTTTCCATTCAAATAAGCACCTTATTTTTACATTGCAGTGAGCCTATAAATCATATACTGAAAGTCTGCCAGTTGCTTGTATATCTCCACGGGCTCTAAAAATGTTGCTTTTAATCAACAAATTGGTTTAGGTAATATGCTTGCTTTATTATCTTAATCAGATTCAGAAGTAGAACGAAATGCATTAATGGAAAAGTCCTTTCCTTGGCTGTACAAATACTGTAAAGAGAGAGGCTACGACTTCCGGATGGTGGACCTGAGGTGGGGGATAAAAGATGGCATCACTAACAATCACAACATGGCTTCCCTCCATATGAAGACATTAAGGAAATGCCAGCAGTTGGGATTCCAAACCTTTGTTGTAAGTTCAGATGGAATTTGCAATACGTTAAGCACACAGAGAGTTTTTTAAATGCCATTTCAGGGCCTGGTTTTTCCATTTCGTAAGTCATTGGATGGAAGAGAGAGGGAAGTCTATATCAAAACAAAAATGGATATATCTGGACAGGGACGTATAAGGGGTGTGTGGGGTGCAGTTCACCCTGGGTGTTATCCCTGAGGGGGTGACAAAATGGCACACAGCGGGGGGCAGCACTTATCGCAGGGCCTGGCCTGCAGCGCACCCAAGCCACACGTCTCTCCTGGGAGTATGGGGCTTGCGTCTGCCAGGCAGACTCCGTGGACAGCTTGCCCCGCCCCCACTGCTCCGGGTGCCAGAGCAGCTAGCTACACCCCTGTACCTGGATCACCCCTAGTGGCAGTCAGTTCATTAGGCTACTGTTCTGCTGCCTCAGTTCATTAGGTTATTCTTATGCACTACAGTCATACCTCGGGTAGCTTCGGGATGAATATTTTCGGGTTGCGCTCCGCGGCGACCCAGAAGTAATAGAGTGCGTTACTTCTGGGTTTCGCCGCTCGCGTATGCGCAGACGCTCGCTTCAGGATGCGAATGGGGCTCTGGAACGGATCCCGTTCGCATCCAGAGGTACCACTGTATATCTTTGCAGCACATTTGAAGCATGTTTTTACCCTCAGAGAATTCTGGGCACTGTCATTTTTTGGGTATTCTAACTCTATAAGGGATAACAGATGTGCTTTGAATGTGTGTATGCAGCCTCAGTATGGAATGCCACTGGCTTCACAAAACATTAAATGCACCAAGGCTTTATTGGTTCCATTGTAAGCCAATTTTCTCTTCTTTGGTTTTCTGTTTCAGGTTTTTATTGGGCAAAAGCATGACGACCCCTCTCTCCCAGCAGTAATAGCCAAGGAAGATTTAGAGGCGATCAAAGCCACAATTGAACAAATGAAGCTGAGTACCAAAAAGTCAAAGCATACTTTGTCTAGTGGTTTGAGGGAAGAAACTCTAGTAGATAAAAAGAATGAAATCCAAGGTGATATTAGTCAATATGCCCTGAGCCCTAGTGTCTCAACAGAAGAACCTGAAGCTGAGACAAACAGCAAGAAGGAATATGAAATGATTAATTCAAATGGGCAGGAGTTTTCTAATGCTTCTCTCCTCACCCAAAAGACTGTAGCTGAATATGAGAGAGAACTTCAACTTCTGGATTGCTGGTACAGGTTGGATGAAAATTACATCCCTGCAGTTTACAGACTTCAACCTATTTGGTTAGTTACTGTCATTATTGTTGTTATTGTTAAATTACAGAAGCTTGGCAAAAACCCACAGGTGTTGGGACAACTGTTGTGTACTTTTCCTGGCATTTGGTGTCCATTTTGCTCTGTTTGTAAACAAATTCCCTTTCTAGTACTGCATCAGAGGTCATTTACTTCAATTGGCTATTGCTGGCCAGCAAAAGGAGTTTAACATGAAAAAGCAAACCAATGTGGAAACCCCCTCACAGTTGCTGGTGCTTTGTTTGTGTGCAGGTCTGAATGTTTGAGTCTAGTATAAAGATGCCCCCCTGTGGGGGAAAAAATGAATGTCATTGCTCAGCCCAGCTGCCATGGGTGGGCAGAGCGGGAGGTGGAGACAATCTGAACAGCAGACTACGAGAATGAATGGGAAAGAACTGGTTTTCAGGGGCCTGTCCTGGAGTAAAATCCGAGGCAAAAATTTGTGGGAACTCCCAGCACGAGACCAAATTGAAAATGGAACTAGGTCTGGATTTAACGGAAAGTATGGATGAGCCTTTATTGAGCTCTAGTCCATGAACAAGCATGTGTTGGCTATGTCTACTGCAGTTTGGTTTGAGATTGAAATGAACCCAAACAGTTCCTCGTGCAAATACGTATTCTCATCACTTACTTCCATGAATATTACATCCAGAGACAGTTGTTCTATGCCAGAAATATCTGCTGTTTCATCTGCTAAAAGCCAGTACTTGAATCATAGGAGGGAATCATGGAGGGACAGAGACATCTTTTCTTAATTGGGTTGGCTTTTTCTCAGCCAGAACTTGCTGGAACTCAGTTCCATCACCTCTTAGGTGGGTGCCATTGCCATTATAAGAGAACAAAGGAGGTGCTCATGGTAAGTTCCAGCACCTCTTTTTCTAGAAAAATCGCATTGTTTTCCCCCATTTGTTTTTGGAAGCTTATGGAGACCATAATATATGGCTAAAATGAGGTAAAAATAGGTATTGGATTGTGTGTTTATTTGAGGATTCTCCTAACTTTCTTCCCATAAAATGGAGACACTGTCCTGTGCTATGAATCACTATGCTCTGTGTATCATGGGCATTTGTGTATCGTTGATCTGTTGACTTGTGCTCCCATCTTCCTTTCAACCATCCAAAATTCACTTGCGAATGGAACATGTCTGTGGGGCTACTCTTCAGCATTTCACGGCGCTGGCGAATTGTACATTTTGAAGATGTACATTTGTACATCCAGTGCAAGGGCAATTGTATATTTCTTTGTTTTTAGCCTGTTTCTCACAGTTCATGCATTTCATGTTGTCTGCACAGCACAGTGTACCAAGATATCCTCAGCAATGATCCTACTCGCAGGCAACAAGCAAAGAACAAATGGATGGCGTCTTTTCAGAAACTGCATAAGATATTTCAAGAATATGCTGCAGTTGCTCTTGGACAAGAAGCTGCCACCACACTGCTCAGAACAGGTGAGGAAGGTATCCAATATATGACCAGGATATTGTTTTGCTTTATTATATGGGTGGTGGCTTATTTGAGTAGTTTAAATAGAATCATTTCTATTTGCAAGTTTTGCAACAAGAAGTGGATCAAGGATTCCAGGTCCAGGGAAAGTGTGAGGATCACTGTCACTGCTTCAGAAGAGACATCACAGATCTGCAGTCCAGTCTGTCAAGTCCCCATGCACCAAAATATATTGACGTTCACCCACTAAGACCAGAGATCAACAAAACAACGTATGAAGCACATCAGAACTTTGTGAAAAGCATTCACTCTAGGGTAGGTTGCTCAGAACATCATTGGTAGTCGTCAGCCACATAGGGCCTGGGCTACCTATAGAAGCATCTCAATGGATATTCTGGTTGAAAATATCTCAATATGCCCTGATGACATATCATGGGATATGAGATTTGTACCACATCATCCTCTTTAACAAGGGTGGAAAGCCCTTTCCAGTGCAAGGGCAATATTCCCTTCTAGGGACATAGGCCAGTGGTGGGTGGGACCAGGGCGACAGATGTAAATTTTACCATTGTACAGTAGGCAAATTTCTACACACATCTCTCTCTATCCTCCATCCAGACATACAAGAGGAACCACCAGAGTGCAAAGGCACATTCCAGCCAGGCAAAACAATTGGGGGTGGGGGGGGTGCAGTAGAGCCAGTAAGTGTGGCCTGGGGAAATTTCTTAGGGCCAGATCAATAAGCCTGGAGGGCTGTATTTGGCCCCCGAGCCTGAGATTACCCACCCTGCTCTATAACATAGCAAAGGGAATCCTGGGGTCTCTATCTTGAACTGTGCAGTGCAGTGGCTTCGGGCAAAATGTATTGAACATCACTTAAGAAATATTTTTTCTTAAGCTGTCCACAATATCCATGAGGAAATGAAGAAAACATTTCCCACTCTGTCTACCACTGCATTCTACATAATGATTTGCAAGTGTATACTCTGCCTGATTTCAGTAAACCAATTCAGACTTTTTTCAGAAACAATTTCTAAGTGCTATTATATACATTTTCACCACCTCACTCTGCCCCCCCCCCGACACTTTTGGCCTTGATTTTAATTTATTTTAATCCTGTTATCTGAATTTGTAATCTTTCTCAGTTATCCCACAATATGCACTTTTTAAATCTTTGTTCCTCTTCCTATCTTTATTGCCACCTCTGCTTATCATTAGTCACTGACTTTCTTAAGCCATGCTCTAGACCTGAAAATGGTGGAAGCAAAGTAGAGCCTTTAATGAGCAGGTAAAACCTGACAAAATAAATATCATCGCTTCATCTTTTACATATAAACCTACACTCTAACCCCAAACACACTAGAGGGAACCAAATAGGAAGCACCATTTTCATTTATTTGCATTTCTCAGCATGAGCGTCAAACTATGCTAATGACAGAAATAGCTTACTATTTTCAAAGGAAAGGTCTTCACTGATTTCTTTCCCAGCATGTCTCTGTGCAATCTCAGACCAGAACATGGCACTGTTACAACATAATAAAGCTTGAAAGAAACATCTTCATTTGCTAGGCTGAAATAAACTATAGTCAATGAAACGTGTATTATTATTTTGCATTCAATTTATCCTTAAAGAAATAGCATCAGCTAGATCTGTGTTACTCAAAATCTCATACTGCATTCTAAACACTGGATGGCCATGTTCCTAATGAAACGGTACTGTTTAAATGAAACTTAATTCCTATAAAATACGCCTGGGGTCATAACCTAACATACCCTCCAACATTTCTCCAATGAAAATAAGGATGTCCCATTCCATAATGATAATTTTACTATTTATACCCCACACATCTTACTGGGTTGCCCCAGCCACTCTAGGCAGCTTCCAACATATATAAAAACATAATAAAACATGAAACATTAAAAAAAAAATTCCCCGTACAGGATTGCTTTCAGACGGCTCGGGGGTCAGATAATTCCATACCCTCCACCATATCTCCAATGAAAATAGGGACATCCTAAGGAAATGTGGGACATTCTGGGATCAAATCAGAAACCAAGACAGCTTCTCTAAATCAGGGACTTCCCTGGAAAATAGGGTCACTTGGAGGGTCTGAACTATAAGTATGAAGAACTTACACTACAAAAGGATTAAGCAGGTTTGAGTTGATCTTAAAGGTAAAGGTAAAGGGACCCCTGATCATTAGGTCCAGTCATGGCCGACTCTGGGGTTGCGGCGTTCATCTCGCTTTATTGGCCGAGGGAGCCGGCGTATAGCTTCCGGGTCATGTGGCCAGCATGACTAAGCTGCTTCTGGCGAACCAGAGCAGCACACGGAAACGCCGTTTACCTTCCCGCAGGAGCGGTACCTATTTATCTACTTGCACTTTGACGTGCTTTCGAACTGCTAGGTTGGCAGGAGCAGGGACCGAGCAACAGGAGCTCACCCCGTTGCGGGGATTCGAACTGCCAATCTTCTGATCGGCAAGTCCTAGGCTCCGTGATTTAAACCACAGCGCCACCCGCGTCCCATAAGTTGATCTTACTCTGGCACAAAGACTCAGTTTAACATTCAAAACTTCTCTGATTCAAACAGTTATCCTCTTCAGTATTGTTCAGTCAGCTGTTTGCTTGCTTGGGTGGTTGATGATGCCAACATTATAGGCTTGTCTTTACAGCTTCGTCACACAAATATCTACAGAAAGAGCATTAACTGGGGAAGAGATGGCATCAGCCCCACCACCAACAGATCCCATGCTTACTACCTTGAGTGCCTTTGCAATGATTTTCAGAAAATTGTCATCAATCACTTCAACAGGTCAGCCACATAACTGCTTCTTTGGTGAAACAGTTCATAATGTATATATAACTTAATAGTAAAGGTTCGTTCCATTATACTTCAATATAGAAGTAGTTTTCCCATGGCACCTTAAATAATCAAAGCCTAAAAAATATGACAGTTGAAAATTTCTGATGTATTGTTTGCTCTGTTTCACTTCCTCACATTAATTACGGAAGTAATTACCACAAGAGGAAGAGATGGACAGTAACTTAGGTGGCTTCAAAGAGGATTTGACAGATTCATGAGGATAGGTCTGTATGGCTATTAGACATTATAGCTAAGAATAGAACTTCATTTTCGGAGATAATATACCTGGGAGGACCTGTAGTTACAGGGGGTAACTCTCTCCATCATACATTGCTTATAACTTACCAAAATTGTCTGATTGGTCTCTAGTAGAGGCAGGATGTGCATGATTTAAGAAAGCCAAAAACACAGAAAACACACACACAAAAAACCAACCCTCTTGTACTTTCACATATTTTGTGGAGCAAATAAAGAAATATAGTATGGTTTGGCTTCCTTGTCAAAAAACAGTGCAGACAGACCTTCCCTAAGAATTGCTACCCATGCAGGCACAATGCTATGAGGGTCAGTGGAAATGGTTAGGGAGCAGGATCCAGTGGTCCAAAATTGCATTTTAGACTTCAGGTGAAGTCTTTCCAAAATGCCATTTCTAGCAAGTGGGCATAAGGGCTTGAAGATGGGTACCCAGTGGCACCTAATACTATGTGAAGTGTGTGTGTGTCTAAATCAGGAGGAGGTAATGGTAATTCTTGGCACTGCTGAGAAAATAAAGCTGTTTTAGTCACTTGTGATGGTGCTAAAAAGCCATACGATTTTTTAATATTGTGATTAATAGCATTAATAAAATGATTCAAATATGAGCACTTATAGATCCTATGCTGTGTGGTCGCTAATAAGGTATACTCCAGAGGCTGGGGATTATAAATGCCATCAGTCCTAACTAGTTGCACCCAAGGACTGGAGGACATCACATTGGCTAACCCTTGCCATGTGGTTGCCAACAATCATATGAGAATGTTGACACCACAAACACATTTTGTGCATGTCTTTACAAGGATAGTCTTTTCCCTTGTTTGTCACTTCTGAATGCTGGAAATTGTGATTAAATAATCACCAGCATTCTTCCGTGTATATTCTCATATTTGGACATTCATAAAAGGAACTAGGTTTTTCCACATCCTCACATGGTTGTCAACAACTACATGTGTGGTGGCATCTAGCTGGGATATGAATGGAAGAAAATAAATAACACTGTCCAAAAGTCACTGTAACCTATACACAATGTTGAAATGTGGATTAAAACTTTTCCCTTCCATGTTTTCATTTGACCAGAACAATCCATTTGAAGAATATTCAAGAAATGCTACCTAAGCGAAGAAAGCAAGTTTTTGAAACTCATAATGACGACGAGGTTCTGGAACATATCCAGCACTGTCAGGCCTTGTGAGTTTGGTGATGTTTGGTTGCTTAATTTACTTTAGCCAGGCTTCATGATGGAGAACAGTTGAAGAGTTGATATGATAGTTGTGATTTAAGAACAATCTTATTAGCAGCCTCTGTTGAAGTGAAAATCTGACCTACCCATTCATTTGAGCAGCATTCTAGTCATTCAACAAGAGCATATATGAAGGAAAATTAAATGATACCAATTCCTACTCACATCCACACCCCTGCCTCTTACCAGAACATAGACATGTTTGAGAAATAAAATTTGTACTCTTGTAAATCACTTCTTCTCTGCTACCAACATGCCACCAAAGTGCTTTCTGGACGTTAGATGATACCTAATATAAGGTTTTCCAGTGCCCTTGAAGGGCCGGCTCATTAGGCAAGGTGAGACAATCCACTCTGGGGAAGGTGGATTTAAAAGTACCATTAATGGACAGCATATTATCAAATATTCAGTTCTACTATTGAAATTTTACCATCATAAAAGGCACCATTTGGATTTTCTTCAATCATCATCGTCATCATCAAATAATTTATTTATATGCCGCCCATCTGACTAGGTTGCCCCAGCCACTCTGAGTGGCTTCCAGCTAATTAAAACATTAAACACAGTAAAATATCAAACATTTAAAACTTCCCTATCTGCGGAAGCATTCATATGTCTTTTAAAAGTCAGATAATTGTTTATTTCCTTGGCATCTGATGGGAAGGCATTCCAAAGGGCAGGCACAGCTGCCAAGAAGCCCCTCTGCCTGGTTCCTTGTAACCTCACTTCTCTCAATGAGTGAACCTCCAGAAGGCCCTCAGAGCTGGATCTCAGTGTCTGGGCTGAACGGTGGGGTGGAGATACTCCTTAAGGTATACAGGACCAAAGCCGTGGCTCCAAAAGGTCTCGGCCATCACTTGGTCCCCTATCCCTAGAATGGCACTACTCCACAACACAGCAATCTCAGTGGTGGCAACTAGCCTAACACCAGTCTGGCATGATACCCAAAATATAGCATCATGTTGGCCCCTGGATCCTCATTGTCTGGGGCTTTGTTCCATCCTTGCGAAAGGAGTTATAGAACCAGTCTATAAAACTTTACATTAGCTGTGGTGGCTGCCTATTCACAGGTTCATTTCAGCTCCTGGAAATCATGGTTGTCAGTTGGCCTGTGTCAGCCTCTTGTCACCTATGGCAAGCCAGTGTTGCACACACTTGGGTAGCGCACACTGAATTCATCTTAGATTTCTTTTTCACCACACTATTGCAGATCTCTCTTTATGAGTATTTGTATATTGTCTGGAAACATGCAGGCTAAGCATAGGAGGAGCCAAATAGTTAAAACACTGCAGCAAAATCTACTGCCCCACATTACATATCTACAGGGGCAGCCAGCCAGCAGCAGCACGTGTGTTAGGGCAGAGTTACTCTCCTGACATTGCTGTCGTTGCTACATAACTACCAGGCTGGGTTGGGACAGGCAGCAGGGAGATCAGGTCTGCATGGGTACACCTGTGGGGTTGGCAGCAGTTCAGCTCTCCTGCTGGTGCATCCCTGTGGCCCTGAACTCAGTCCCATCCTGCCCCATCCCTGTCCAGGTAAACTGTTGTGGCTTTGGTGTCAGTAGGAGGTACTAAGCCCCACCACATGCATCACTATCCAAGCCAGCATCCCAAAGTACGGCAAGAGCTTACTGCTCAGCTCTTGTCTTTCTTGAGAAACCTGTTCACTCACTTCCTTATTCATTCAGCTGGGACATGTAGGGAAGGAAAAGGCACTGATAACGAAGGAGAGAGTTGTCAAACATGTTATCAAGTAATCATACCATCCTTTGTGAACAGCAGGATGGATCTATCTGGATTGACTAAATCTAGATTGAAAGTAGCATGTTGTGGAAGAGCATGAATGATTCTAGATTGAGAAAAACTACATTTATTTATTTTTTTGCTACAAATGGTAACCCTAATTCACTTTCTGCCCCTTGTTGGAGGAATAAAAATAAGTCGTCCTCCAAGCATCTCCTAGGAGTGCTGGGCCACTTACCTGTAGCTCTCAGATACGTTTATATAGGATTTTAGGCTGCATACACACCACACATTTAAAGCACACCCAAAGCACATTCCCCTGCCCATTCACACCTGAGAATCATATTAAATGTACCGTATTTTTCGCTCTATAAGACACACATATTCCCCTCCAAAAATTAAGGGGAAATGTGTGTGCATCCTATGGAGCGAATGCAGGCTCCTTGGCTTCAGTGATAGCAACACAAAGCCTCAGAAGCGCAGCAGGAGTGCTCCCGCCGCGCTCCGGAGGCTTCGGGTTGCCTTCACTGAAGCCTGGAGAGCGAGAGGGGTCGGTGCGCACCGACCCTTCTCACTCTCCAGGCTTCCAAGATAGCCGCCTGAAGCCTCCGGAGTGCAGCAGGAGCTCCCGCCGCGCTCTGGAGGCTTCGGGTTGCCTTCACTGAAGGCAAAGGCAATGTCGGAGAGGGAGAGCTGCGTAGCGCCCCTTCAGCGAAGTGGGAGGAGAAATGGAAGGGGCTCCGTTTCTCCTGCCGCTTCGCTGAAGGGGCGCTGTGCAGAGAGGGGGAGATTATTTTTTTCTTGTTCTCCCCCTCTAAAACAAGGTGTGTCCTACGGTCGGGTGCATCCTAGAGAGCGAAAAATACAGTAGTTTACCCCTCCCAGAGCTACAATTCCCAGCTTCCTCAAGAAACTGCAGCTCCCAGGATTCTTTGTGAGGGGATTTGAGCTTTAAATGTGTTTTAAAGGTATGGTGTGTGCACAGCATCAGTCTTAGCCAGTACACAGTGGTGACTAAACACAAATAGTGTTTTGTTTTCCCTCTCAAAACAGGGTTAAATGTGTAATAGGAAGAGAAATGTTTTTGTGCAAACTGAAGAATCGTGTTGCATCCTCGAACAGAAAGCTAGTTGTAATTTGTGGAGAGGATGGATGCGGGAAAACTGCCATCATAGCAAAAGCCGCTTCTTTGGCTCCTAGCTGGATATCTGGGTAAGGGCCTCTCGCAACCTCGCACATATTTGGAACATAGATAAAAGTTATTGAATAAAGACAATAGAGATAAACCCAGTGTCACCCATACCAAGCTCCCAACTGCTGCTTACTAGCTACCATATTTGCTCCCTTTGATTTGTCTTAGCTGGTATCACAGAGTGCTGTGAATTCTGTGAAATGTAAAATTATTCCATATTGATAACAATATATAAACTAAATTAATACCTTTATATACCTTTAAATACCTTTATATTTGCATATTTTACTCTGAGCCCAACATTCACTGTTCACAATGTTAAGTCTACCTTCAACTAGATGATATAGTAACAGCACGCATACATTGATTTAACAACTAAACACATGTACAGTGATACCTCTAGATACGAACAGGAGCCGTTCTGGAGCCCCGTTCACATCTAGAAGCAAACGTAACTAGCAACGGCATGTCTGCGCATGTGCACGTCGCTTTTCGCCGCTTCTACGCATGCGCGTGACGTCATTTTGAGCGCATGCACATGCGCAAGCGGCGAAACCCAGAAGTAACGCACTCCGTTACTTCCAGGTTGCCGCGGAGCGCAACTCAAACACGCTCAACTCGAAGCGTATTCAACACGAGGTATGACTATATTAAAAATAAAACATTTTCATGAGCAAGTTGAAAAGCTATTTTATTTTATTTGCTTTTTTCCCCATTTTCATTCAGGAACCTCAGAGTTGTAATTCGATTTATTGGTGTTAGTGGTGAAAGCAGAAATATCCGACTGACTCTCTTCAGCCTTTGCTACCAGATAGCTTCTATCTACAAGGTCTCGGTTAATTTATCCAAGGTAATGAATTAAATTTTCCTTCTTTTTAAGGCTCAAAGAAAAAATTATACTGTTGCATTTTTACAGCAGCAGCACCTACATGCACACACTTTCCCCTCCACATGATTCAGCAAGAAATAAAAGTTAGGAGTGGAAGATGACAAAATAGCTCAAGCATAATGTCGACAGTGCTGCTCAGATAATGAAAGGTCAGAAACCAAGAAACACTTTTCAGCAAATGACCAGTGCTATTACAGCTGACAGTGCTCATAATCAGTTCAACATGGGGAATCAAAGCGGTTCCTGAGGCACATCTCCATCACTGCGTCATCAAACACTGTAATGTGTTGCATGTCTACAGCCAACTCATGTCAGAGAACATCTCCAAAGTTAAGACAGATTTCCCACAATTTCTATTGCCAGCACCTTTTTAATATTCTGCAAGCCATTAGGAATCCCTTGGTATCCATTATTTTTGCTGAGCTGACATTTCGTTTCCGCTCTTTACTCAATCATAGTCTTTAATAATAATAATCATTCTTACCTAGGAATGAATAGATTGGTTTATTTCCACGCCATATCAGTTTCTTATGTGTTCATTCGTAAGTCTGTTTTGTCACATTTCCACATCAACCTGTGAATTTTATTAAATGCATGAAAATTCAAATTGTTTTCACAAATATATTTTCACAAATATACCCTAAAATACACATTTTTATATATAGCTTTTAGCTGAAAACAGTGTTTCAAAAATTTGAAGATGTACTTGATTTGGATATAGCAGCAAAAATGAATAAGGACTATGAACTTTTGTGGAAACATATCACAGGGCTCTCTGGGACACGTAATTTTGAAGCATCTTTTCCTCTACGAAGAACTTCTGCAACATTTATTGAAGAAAAAGGTTTATCTGGAAAAGGTAACAACCTTCTGGGATATTTCAGCTAAAGGATACCAATGAATGCAAATTACGTTGATTAGCTGAAAAACGTTGAACAGAATTTTCAGGCATCTCTGTTCTTGTGACCCAACACAGTATCCATAGCTACTTGGGACTGGCTAAAATGTTTGCTATCTTTCTCAAAAAGGATTTTGAAGGATTGGTGGAAGAGTTTCTCTCTTTACTGGAGTTTGCCACACAAGACAAACCACTTCTAATATGTCTGGATGGCATAGATGAATTATCAGAGGAACATGCTGCAGATTTTCCTTGGATACCTCCTGAATTACCAAAGAATGTGTATTTTATTGTTTCCACGTGCACCGAATCAAGTTTTTCATGCTTCAAAAAACTGGAGGTAAAGCGATACTTTATTCAGTTGTTTTTTTTCATTCCACACTTTCTCAAACTGTGGGAAATTCCAGGGCAGTTTGGTAGGGTCAGTACTGGACACTTTCAGCACAATCCTATCCTTGAAAGAAAATCCTGTTGAAATCAATGGGTCTAAGTCCCACATAGGTGTGTACAGGATTGCAACCTTAAGGGCCTTGATCCAATCAACCATGAGAACAAATGCTCATGGATTCCCACATAGGGCTTAGAACATTGTGCCCCACCCCGTATCCTTAGGGGAAAGTGAGAGTCGTGCCCTAATTTTGCTTTCCTTGAGGAAGTGGAAGAGGTAAGTTGGCTGGGGATATGAAACTTGTAACCAGACCTCCCATTCCATGTAATAATAGACTAGCATATTGAGTGCTCATGGGCTTAGGCCTCAGAGTGGATCCTGACTCTGTTATGCGCTATGCAGACTTTTCTAAATGTGAGTGTTGCTGTACCCACAGTGACCCATTGGATCAAGCACATGGTGCTTTTGTGGTATCTGTTTATTTAAAGCTTGAGTAATTTTTTTACTGAATTTATATTCTACCTTTCCTCTCAAAGCAGCCCAGGGCAAATAGGAAGGTATAGGTAAGAGAGTGCTAGATTTACAACAACACTCACCCCAAAGCAACAGCAGACCCTGAAGAGACTTTAGCTTGTAAAAGCTTACTTTCTTCGCCCATATACAAACTGTTCTGTTTAACTTTCTTGGTGTGTATACACTTTTTCCTCTATGGGTTTTTCCACACTGGAGCAAAATGTAGATTCGCACTAGCCTGTCTCTACATTAACAGAGGGGCATCTACATGACACTTCCCCTATCCCAGTGTCATCCTGTACGTTTTCCCCTTTAAATGCAGTGTTTTTTCCCCTATCCTTGGAAAGTCCAAAAAAGACCAGGATCAAAAATTCCTTCATTTAAGGCAGCCATTTCATTCTACGTCTATGCCAGAATTCCAAGGTCAGTTACGTCTGTGTTTTGTACCCCAGCCCTTTCCTGATACCAGATGTGAGTCAAGAAAGGTAAGACACAGGAGAGTGTCAGATTTTGCTCCAGTCTCTCTTTGATCTGTCTAGTCTAAAAAGTAAAGAGAACATGCCACCTATCTTTTAAAGTCAAACGGCCACAAAGGTGTCTAGTATTAACCCTGAGTCTTGATTCAAAACTTGAAGATCCAAACTGTGGAATCCTGGCAGAGATTTATAGGTATAGTTATCTGCCCCACAAATCTGGTTATTGGATGAAGAAGTGCAGAAATCCAGTGATATTAAATCCTTTTTTGGTTCTTATATTTTACGGTAAATAGGCTGTCTTGTATTAGGCTGGCAAAGTGACGCCAACTCAATTGGCATTGAGGGCTGGAGACAATGTGATCAGGGGCAGACTTTGGTCTTTCAAATTACAGCGGCACCCTGTGCGAGGCCAAAATTTGCTCCTCCCCCATCTTTTGCCTACCGTTTTGCGCATGCACTACATCATAGTTTCAATGCTGCAAGTGCCCTAAATCTGCCTCTGATCTGATAACTGAGATATGCTTCTTTTCTCCAGAAAATAACAGCGAAAGAGAATATTTTACAAATACCTCCTTTGACATTTGGAGAAATCAGTGAGATGATCAGCTCCTGGTTAGAAAAGGATTGCCAAAGACTTTCCCAGCAACAGCATGATCACCTAATGGAAGCATGCACAGCTTGCCCAGTACCACTTTATGTATACTGTGCCTATAAGGAGTCTTGTTTATGGACATCTTTCACCCCAGAGGCAGAGGTGTGTCTTCCTCAAAATATACCTGATCTGTATTCATGGACACTGAGCAGAATGGAAAAATCCCACGGAGAACAAGTTGTAAAAAAGATGGCAGCTTATACCACCCTTTCAAGAAATGGCATTACTCAGGAAGAGCTGCTCCACCTTATGTCAACGGATGATGTGGTTATTAAGGAAGTAGCTAAATTCCAAAAAGTCTCAATTTCAGCATTCCCGCTAGTGCTGTGGTTGAAACTTTTGGATGATTTTGGAGACCACCTGAAAGAGCAAAGAACTGACCACACTTATGTTTTTAATTGGGCTCATACATCTCTGAGACATGTCTGCATGGACAGGTATCTCAGAACACAGGATTCCCAGGCATCACTGCATGCCACCTTTGCAGATTATTACCTGAACAGAATTCCACATAAACTCATTGAAATGTCTGCATTTCAACCTTTGGCCTGGACTTTAGAAAAAGAGTCCAAGATCAGCTACACCTTTAACGTTCGTAAGCTCCTTGGGGCTCCGTATCACCTCATCAAATCTAAGAATATTACTGCCTTAATCAAAGAATGTCTCTTTAATTATGAGTTTCTCTTATACAAAGCCTGGGCTTCATCAGTTATCAGCATTGAAGCGGATCTAAGAGCGGCTATCGATGCAGACAGGTAGGCTTACAGCAGTAGAACACAACTGTGAATGTCTAGGGCTTGTTTTACTTAATCACAAACCCTCATACTTACAGCCTGTCATCAACTAATCTGGTATGATAGTAGGGCCTGCCCAAGAGATTTGGCTGCCTCAGGTGAAAGACAAAATGGTGCACTCCATTTTTCTATGTGGTGGCCATTGACTCTTAGGCCTCATCAGCACTATACATTTAGAGCAGTTTGATACCATTTTTAACAGTGGACCCAGCTATACAGCTGCAAATAAAACACTTTAAATGTGTTGTAAAATGCAATATACAAATGTGACACTAGATGGCAACAGTGAGCTATGCCAAATTCAATGTATTTTTCAAAACTTTTTTAAAAAGGGATTATCACAGGCTTTTTAAAAATATGTGTGTAGATTCTACCAGTCACAGCTTATCCCAAAGAATTCTGGTAACTAAAAAGAATTCTGAGAACTACAGTTTGTTAAGAGTGCTGAGAGTTGTTAAGAGACCCTTCTTCCCCTCACAAAACTATAATTTTCTGGATGGTTTACAGCCAATCCCTCTTCCCATTGAACTCTGGGAACTGTAACTTTGACAGGAAAATAGGGGTCTCCTAACAACTCTCAGCACTTTAAAAACTAGTTCTCAGTATTCTTTGAGTGAAGTCAGGACTGCTTAAAAGTGATATGATCCTGCTTTCAACGTGTTGTGCAGATGGGGCCTTACTTTAACACAGGTAAATTGATCTTCATCCCACCTAAGGGCAGCAGGCTAGCTGAAAGGTGGGCACATATTGCTCTATCTTCCAAACCACTTCCATTGTTTATAGCACTGTTCAGCAATCCATTTTGTTTAACAATCAAAGCTACATTCAAATAAAGATTCTAGTTACATGCTAATCAAGTTATTATGAGTTTAGTTTCCATCCTGCCCCTCAGCTGGCCTTTCATTTCTTAACAATAAATAGTTGAGTCCCACAATGTTTCACTGTGAAAACCACTTCTCTGTAAAAACCCCTCTAGTGTTTTATTGATATTAGAGCAAGGAAACTCAAATGTGATGTGATTCCTGCCCCCTTGCCTCCTCCACAGGACTATACGTGACTTAACTTTATTAAGTGAAGCGCTCAAGTTATCCAAGAAAGTTTTACTACAAGACCCATGTCAGATGGCTTCACAGCTTATAGGCCGCCTTCATCGTATCGTTGCGGCAGATAAACCAGTGGCCCCAGGTACTGAAAATTATGAGATTTAGATTTTTAAGCAATTATTTTGCGTTTTCTATATTTTTGATATTTTGTTTTGAGCTCCAACCATTATTTGTCACTACTGGGACTTAAGCATCCAAGACAGAACCCAGGGCCAGCTCAGCCATTTGGCAGAGTGAGGCCACTGCCTCAGGCAGTGGAAACCCCTAAAGTGGTGCCTCTGCAAACGTCCCACCGTCTCTGCCACTGGAGCCAAATTTGCACTAGAATCTTTCGGGGCACATGAGATCTCACCCAAAATCATCGCTGATTTCATGGGCCACTCCTCCACAGGACAGGGTGGCACTTCCTGTTTTGCCTCAAGCGGCGAAATGGGACGCAATGGCCCTGACAGAACTAAACTATACTTACATGTTTCCCGGAGGATTAGTCATGACCAGAGGTAGAAAGGAATACTGGAGGCAAATGTAAGAATGTAATTGAGGGCTGGGGACCCTTTTCAGTCTAAGGACTGCATTCCCTTCTAAGCAATGGGGCCAGAGGCAAAAGTGGGCAGAACAACAAATGTAAATTTAACCTTTGTAGCCTAGTTTCTACACACACACACACACACACACTCCTCTCTGTACTCCATCCAGGGAAGACTGACTCATTTTCAGAGTTCAAGGACACATTCCAGTAAGGCAAAAAACATTAGAGGTGTGAAACACACACAGTGAGGATTGCGGCCTGAGGAGACTTCTGAGAGTCAGAGAGAAAGAGACCCGGATGGCCCCCTTTTCAGCCCCTTGGCCTGAGGTTCTCCACCCGTAGGGATGGAAACATGCATTTTAAAACATTTGAAATAATGCAGAATTCAGGGTAAAAAAACAGGGTTTTAAAAAAATCCCATGTCATATTTATTACAGTTTTAAAACCAGCTCGTTGAATGACTAACATATATTATTTTGTGTTGGTTCAGGTGATCCCAAAAAATATCCCTATCTGCCAGCTCTTTTGTCCCAGTGTCAGAAATCTTCTATTCCTGTTCTTCTACCTTCAACAGCCTGCCTTATAGAACCTGGTAGACTTCTCTGCGACCTTCTGAGAGGTAAGGGAGAATAATATTAACCTTTTAGAAACCTTTTAATGGCGAATCAGTGCTGAAGTTATGAGCCCTCTAAGCCCTTTGCAAGATTTTGCTAAAGACCGGAAGTTACGAAGTTTCTAGCAACTTTTGCTTGATCTCTATTCCCTATGTATATCATTTTAGCGTTGCATCTATAATTCTTACCATTCAGTCCCTTCCGCACCACTAGAAAAGCAATCAGACCTTTCTTTATGGTTTGGATAGAGAGAGAAAATTATCACATTGTTTCTTATAACTTGTGTTTTGGCCGCTCTGCCTGTTTGCTGACATTTTGCTGCCTGAGGCAAAATACAAGATGGTGCCCATCCCCATTTAGAAAGTGACTAGCAGCTGAATCTCATGCCAGTGCTGGCAATGGGACAACATTGTCCACCACCCCTGAGGACAGCATGCAGGCATAGAGGACACAGGGCACACACAGGCACGCACACACAATCCAAAACCTTCCTGCTGCTCCCTGCCTTGCAGTATCTGTTGCCTGAGCCTCACTTTTCCTGATGAGCAGACTGCCCCTGGTCATTGGCACTTAGTCTTCTTAAAAATATTTTTGCTAACATGGCAAGCTTTGTGACTGGGCCAGAAGCAATACAGCTATATCTACATTTGTGTGGAGAGGGAGGGGAAGTTCCAGTGTGTGCAGCCTAAAGTCCTTGCACTGACATAACAAATGTGTTGAATCCTGCCTACAATCTCTACTGAGACACTTAAGCATTTCTGAAAGCAGAGCAAACTCCTAATACACACTTGGGGGCGGGGCTGAAAACATTGCTGTTACAGTGGTACCTCGGGTTACATACGCTTCAGGTTACATAAGCTTCAGGTTACAGACTCCGCTAACCCAGAAATAGTGCTTCAGGTTAAGAAGAGAAATCGGGCTCTGGTGGCGCGGCGGCAGTGGGAGGCCCCATTTGCTAAAGTGGTGCTTCAGGTTAAGAACAGTTTCAGGTTAAGAACGGACCTCTGGAACAAATTAAGTACTTAACCCGAGGTACCACTGTATTATGTTTCATAATATTGTACTCAGGTGGCATGAGACATATTCTGGGCTAAGTGATGATGGGCTTGATAATGGGTAGGGTGGTCATGTGTCCTATTCTACAGAGAGAAGTCCTCTATTTGAAGGTGTCCTCCATTTCAAGGTCTGTCCAGTCCAAGACAGATTTAAAAATAAAGAGCTAAAAAAGGGAAAACAGAGCCCTTGAAATTGCCCATCAACAGTTATGACCTGGACTGTAGGCAAGCAAGCATGATGATCAGCCTAGCTCAGTCTTCCCCAGCCGCCACCATCATGGTGATATGTACTAACATTTAAATTATTATGGTAATTATTCCTAAATATAGTTTATGTCCTCTTTTTAATTATTATGTTGTTTTAATGGGTTTCTTTATTGTATTAACTGGATGTTTATTTTAATGGTTTGATGAAATTGTTTTAGTGTGTATTTTAATTATCATGGAATCATAGAATTATAGAGTTGGAAGAGATCTCAAGGGTCATCTAGCCCAACCCCCTGAAATGCAGGAATCTCAACTAAAGCATGCATGACATTTTGACACCATTTTGACAAGTAAGTGGTATAAATTAATAAATGTTGATGAACAGTTACCCATTTATCTGAGTTTCGGAAGAAGCTAAACAATTCTAACTGATTTTACAGAAGCTGCTTTCCCCCAGAGTGAATTCTAACATTTTACTCCCATGGATCCATAGGTCACCTGGACAGAATTGTAGCAATTGGAGAAACCCAAGAAGAACTCACTGTTGCAACAGTCTCCAGTGATGGCACTCTGAAATTGTGGGATTTGAGGGTTGGCAAAGCTGTCTTCACTCTGCATGGAGTTGGGAATAATATCAGTGCATTTGCAGTGTGTCTGGAGAACAGACTGGTGGCTATGTCTGACAAAAGCACCATTAAAATCTGGGATCTTTCCCTGGAAAAAGTGGTATATGCAACTGGCGAGTTTGTTGGTACTCCAATACTAACATCTGCAATGAATGGGCACCTCTTACTGGTGTTTTTTAATGGCAGCCACATGGTTAAGGTGAGGTGTTGTTTTTAAAAAATCACATCTATGACAGTGGATAAAATTATGTTCTGTGCACTGACATGGTTGGTCATGTTTTGCTAGATTTTTGTGCTGTTATTTCATTGGTATTGTATTGAATTTAAGTCTTTAAGTTGTCTGGAACTGTTAGTCACCCTGTGAATCTTGGTTATGGGGAAACTATAAATGTAACTGATAATAAAACAAACAAGACTTAAGGATTACTAACCTTTGAATCAGATCTTATGTAGATCAGCAGACATTAACAGATATTTTGATACTGATGCTGGGATCAGAAGAAAGAGATACAGGACTCAAGCCTTTATTTGTATTCCAAGTGGCCTTACATAACCACTTTTTACAGTTACTTTTCTTGGCGATTTTACAATTTGGACAGTACTGAGAGCAGGAAAGGCATGCAGCATGGCTTTACATAGATACAAAGTGGTCAGCAGCCATCTCAAACCAATTCATTTCCATACTATATTATATTTCAGGTTTTTGATCTTGCTCATTCCTGTCAGTTGCTCCATGAGGTATACCTTTCTACAGAGGAAGAGCCTATCTGCAAGACTAATTCCATTTTGGTATCCAAAAATTCAGTAAAAGATTATGTTCTGTGTGCCTTTAGGTTAGTAGAATGTAATTTATTGTATTAAAATAAACAGTAAACTCCTCTCTATAGAAAGACCCTATGCATTTGAGAAATCTTTCATAAAGAAAAGCCTTGCAGATCAACTACAAAACTGTTTAGTCACTACTTTAATGTATTCTATATGGGTGGAACTAAACATCGCACAAATACAATAATTCAGGCAACAAAGACATTTCTGTTTGCTAAATGGAACAACCTCCCCTCTCCTTCTTCACACACTGTTCAGCGGATTCTCCAAACTCTCCAGAGTGGATTTGGGAAAGGCATGGGGGGAATTTAGGAGAAGAAAGCATTGCGCTATCCAAAGTCCTTGCACTGGCTTCTGCTAGTGCACTAGCTTGGTGGAATACAACCCTACGCTCTCCAACACAATATTCTCGCTATTTCTCCCCATCAGTACCACAATGCCTTCATGCAATCTTTCCACCTGGAACCCCTCACATCTAGTTTTGGACAACAACTCCTATCATTCCTGACCATTGGACATGCTGACGGAGTTTGTGGCCTAAACAGCTGCCTTAATGTTTCAGTCTCAAACTACATGTCTCCCTCCACATTCCTAATTACTTAACAGGGGAATGTAGTTTTGGAAATGGTCTGAAACAGGGGCTAAAGAGAAATTAACCTAAGTCCCCAGAAGTTGGGGCAAGAACATTCACAAGTTGGTGCATCTTCCTATGCAATTAAGCTATACAATTTCTCACAGGCATCTGGTTGGCCACTGGGAAAACAGGATGTTGGACTAGGTAGGCCATTGGCCTGATCCAGCAAGCTCTTTTAATGATCTTATGCTTTGCCATAGATATGTGGCTATTACAAGGAAGATCTCTGTTGTAGGGAAATATTTTCCTGTGAATACATTAGTAGAGAAACTGGGTTGTAGCTGACAAAGTCATCCCTTTTGTGCAAAGTAATCCCTTTTGTGGTGAAACTGCCCCCCTCCCCACTTCATCCTCCCAAATCCAGAGGGTTGCAGAACAGGGATTGGGGGGAGGGGGCAAATGGTGCAGGGGAGGGGAAGTTGCATTCACAAGGGGGAGATCTTGCATGAATGGAACACCCATTGGATAAACCCACTGGTTTTAGGCCCAGTCAGACTTGAGAAAGATAAACATGTATGTCTTTAGAAAATTAATGTTTCCTGGGTTTAATAATTTCTGAAAAGGAGAACAGCAGCATGCCTCAGAAACTAGGGTTTTATTTGTATCTTTTCTTCTTGGTGGATTTGGATGTAAAATCAGCATTGCTTCTTTTAGAGATTCGCATGGTCATTATTGTAAACAAAATGTGACTTTGAGGATGATCATTGCCTGTGTGGTCTTGATTCTGTAACATTGTGGCTTCCGTAAATCTCTCTCCTCTCTTTTGCAGGAGTGGAAGTGAAGCCATGGTCTTTAGTGGCAAAAAGGGGAAAGTAGTTGCTAAGCTGAAAAGCCAAGAACCAGTGGCAGCTGCTGAGGATGTTGCTGTAACTAAGGAATACTTCCTAGTGATCTTCAGGTAGTACGTGGAAAGAACAACTTTTTCTACCCTCTTTCAACTGACTATCAGTTGACCATTCCAGTAATATGGTATAAAATCACTCACACCCACACATCAAAACTTTATATGTCTACACAGGTAAGCCCTGTTGAATTAAATGGGATTTGCTCCCAAATGAGTATAGGATTTCAGCCTCAGGATGAAGAAAGCAGGGGCAATTGACCAAAAAAAGTGATAGGGTTAGGGTGGCCTCACCCTGTCTAATTTCTTTTGTGAACCTATGATGCCTCTCCTTTTAAAATATTTACGTTTGATTATATGATCAGAAGGTTGGCGGTTCGAATCCCCACAACGGGGTGAGCTCCCATTGCTCGGTCCCTGCTCCTGCCAACCTAGCAGTTCGAAAGCACATCAAAGTGCAAGTAGATAAATAGGTACCGCTCCGGCAGGAAGGTAAACGGTGTTTCCGTGCGCTGCTCTGGTTCACCAGAAGCAGCTTAGTCATGCTGGCCACATGACCTGGAAGCTGTACGCCGGCTCCCTTGGCCAATAAAGCGAGATGAGCGCCGCAACCCCAGAGTCGGCCACGACTGGACCTAATGGTCAGGGGTTGCCTTTACCCCCCCCCCTTATACCTGAGATGAATGTGAATATCACAGAGTTCTTTCTTAACTTAATCTTGCAAAGCCTTGAATATATATCTATTTATAACTTCAGGAGGCTTATTAGGACAAAGCTTGAAAACCTCTGTTTGAAACCTGCCACATTGCAGCCTCTTTTTTATTAGTACTACCACTACTAATTCTCACTTCTAATTTATAACATTGAAGATATAGTTTATTGACCCTTTGGAGTAGGTAACTATTGGTTCTATTTTACATGAAGTGAGAGAAGTAAGTACCATAATTTGCTTAATGCCATCCTGGATTCTCTGTTTATCATAGATACATTAACATACTTTTCACACCACTACTGTCCTTGAGCATAAGTTTTCCTTCACTCTTCATTCATTACTGCTTTTTAGAGAGCCAGAAATCACAATACTTATGTCACACAACCCACCCATATTAGCTTTTTCATTACAGGTGTCCCTTCATGAAACAGCGTGAGATTGTGCATATAGAGCTCTACAACGTCCACACTTTTGCCTATGCTCACAATCTGAAGGGATGCTGCAATGATTATATTCACATTTTTGCTGTGAATCATTTGGGCTCTCACCTGCTGGCCTTCAGCCCCATCCCAAACACCAATACCACTGAAATAGTGTCGTGGAACCTGGAATCTGAAGACCACAAGCACTTGGTGAAGTTTCCTTCAGTCCCAGCCGGTGGTGAGTAACTTCTATGGGAAGTTCAAAACCTCTATAGAAAAAGCCGCAAGAGAAACATGCACTTTTGTACAATCAAAACAAGGGAAAAATATAAAATTATAAGAATTCTCAGTGAGGACATTCACCAGCACATAACTCCAAATAAGGTTATCAGGAATTCTAAATACAGAGTGTATCTGTATATTGAAGGCAGTATATATGCCACGAGTGGGGAACCTACAGCATGTGGCTCAGTGAAAAAGCTGTGAGTTTCATAGGTGTAGACAACCCATGTTTTTCTAGTAACATGATTAGAGTTTTATTATGCAATGTTGAGATTTTATGACTTATGGTTCTTTTAAATTATGATAAATATGTAGGTGTATGCTCTGACCTTCGGTACTGTTTAACATTCTGTGATGGAGACAATTATCTTCAATCTTGGAATTTAGCTTCCAAGATCAATGACCAGTCATTGACAGTCACTGCAAGTAAAGCCAAGGAAACAAATGGTATTCGTGATATTCTAACAATGGAGAACTATCCTAGGTAAGAAAGACCCACGACTCTCCTAAAAATGTGTTAGTTACTGTTTTAAATATTGTACTTGACAAACATCATTTTTTAAAATTCTGGCTATGTACTTTTCAAAAGTAGGTTTTGAAAGTAGCCAGTTTTTCAAAAGTAGTCAGGAAAATGCAGAGATTTAAATGAAAAAGACAGAGTTGTTGTGTTTCAGTGATAGCCGACATCTAAGGTACTTGATCCCTGAACAGCTTCCAAAATATGTGCATTACTATAGGCAGGGCTGTTGTATGCTAAAAAGTGGCTGCGGGGGGGGGGGGGGACACAACGACGTGGGGAAATTCTGTGTGAAATTAATTCCAGTTCTCCATCAAGAAAAGCAAAACAAAGAGAATCTGTATATATTGGTTTCTTTTGCACTGCTGACCAAGCGCAGAGAAAAGTACCATGGAGGATATGAAAATTCTTTTCTCTAGGGACACCCTTCTTTTCATTTCTTTCCCATTATTCCTATCCACACTCTTTACCAGCGCAGAAATAACAACATTTGCACAACCTTTGCTGTATATCAATAACAAGGCTATTCATTTCAATATTTCCCAAGGTATGCCATGTGCAGAAACACAAGTCCAGGGGTCATAACAGTGTGGAACATCATGAAATCAAAGTGTAAACACAATGCTGTGAGAGTGGAGAGGGGATTACTAGAGAATACGGATATAGTTCTGGTCAGAGACATGAAACTTTATGTCCTTACAGACAAAGGGATGGCCTCTTTTGCAGATCCTCCGAGACCCATTTTCCAGGTATTGAAGGCACCTCTGTCCTGTAAATACTGGTTGTTTGTTTTTTTGTGATTGGCATTTAAAGCTGAGGCTGTTCAGAAAGAACCTTGTAAGAAAAAGCTGAGACAGTTAAGAAAATGATTTGCACATATATTTCCTTACCGAAAAATGTTTTTATGCCATTCCAGACTCTTTTAGTTTATGACCTCCTGAAAAAGAAGTACATAAGGAAGCAGACTGGCCTTTACATCATTCCCTGCCCAAATAACGAGTATAAGATCCTTGAAGGAGGCCTTCTACTTGGACTTTCAGAGAACAGGTAATGTCTTTACAGCTACTGAAGATAATATGGGTGTTTTCTTTTTGCCACATTGAACGGAATAGTCACCATCAGCTATTAATATCAGTATGACATGAATTGACTAGACCAGTGGTTCCCAATTAGCTAATTACTGAGGACCCCCTATTTTTCAAAAGCCAAGCCACGGACTCCCTGCTTTTTAAAAATTTTATAATTACCTCTGAAAAGCAATTTTTTTGAACAAAATAAGCCCCAAATAAGTAAACAATTTTAGGTATACGAAAACAACAGACTACGGTGGAGCGATATCTAGTCTTCAAAATCATGATATTTCAGCAGCTAAACAAGGGGATATTCCGATATATCACGATGTCTGAAATTGGAAATCAGGCAGGTGGGGTGCATGCAGATCAGGCATGGGCATGAAGGAAGGAGCAGCTGTGGAGATCGGATGGTTGGGGGGAGGAGAGGAAGCAGAGTCACCTCCACTGCATGGTTTGAGTGGGATGGGATGGGGATGGGAGGTACATCAAGCTGCTGTCATTGGGGCAGCTAGCGGTGGCAGCCAGCGAAAATGCAGTCCACTGTGGCTGCTGCTGCTGCTTTCCTGCTGACTGAGAAAAGGTGCTTTGCCTCAGTGCCAGGGGAAGGTAGTGCCACAGTCCCTTGAAGTGAGGGTGATCAGCTGCCGTTCCCCATCAGCGTGAGGAAAAGGCAGTGCCTTGTAATCAGCTGCCCTGGTCTCCTTCAAAGTGAGGAAAGGCAGCTCAAATCAGCAGCATTATCAGCTGAGACCATTGTGCAATATAAGCAGTGCCTTGAAATCAGCTGCCCTTAATTGGGAACCACTGGACAAGGCTGTCTCGTAAGTTTCCAAACTCAACCAAGTCATGCTTATAGCAACACACTGAGATTAAAAAGCGAAAGATTCCAGGAGGTTCCAGGGTTATTTTTCTGTTGGGAAAATCAAGGCACAGTGGAGGCTAGTATCTTTAAGAAATATGGTTTATTTTACACATATTTATACCTAAAGTCTTCAATGGAGAGGATGCAGAACAGTATACCCCAAGAGTATACTCACTGGCTGGCTCATAGCTTCAGCAAGCTTGGGTCCAAAGCAGCTGTCAGTCATGGCTCCTGCTCAGATAAAGGGGGAAACATACAGTAGCTTTTTGCATTGCCAATGGCCCTTAATGGCCCAATACCTGGCTCCCCATTGTTTATCAATGGCTCTGCACTTAGGGCCAGGAAGATTTGCATAAACTCACCCAGGATTTTTTTGTCTGGCACAATTCTGCAGCTTGTATTCTCCCTTCATATCCCAAATATTATCTATAAATTTCTACCATTCACTAGCAGACTCTACCCTAGATCTATGACAGTATGGAACCAGGAAGGGGTAGAATGTCCTGCTCATGTATAGAGTGAAGTCTGAATTGCTTCATTTCTGAAGCCTAGCGCTCTGAGTCTGACCAAACTGCGGGAGGCAGTGGAAGACAGGAGTGCCTGGCGTGCTCTGGTCCATGGGGTCACGAAGAGTCAGACACGACTAAACAACAACAACAAAAGCGCTCTTTACAAGCTTCCGACATGAGATGGATGGGCAGAGAGTGAGCTTAGCAGCACATACATAGTAAAAGGTGGTTTGTCTGTCTTTGATTCTCACACACACACACCCTTTATCTCCTGAATTGCTCTGTTACTGAATCAGAGATTTTACTCAATTTTGTGCCCATCTTACATCAACTGGTCACCTTGAAGTTCTAGAAAGTTATTATCTGTTTGCTTTTCTGGTTCCTGTTTTCAGAGACCATTTTATTACCTGGAACTTGGAAACTGGATTTATTAAGGATCGATTAAGGCCAGAATACAAGGACAAATTTTCATCGCAAGCTGCAAAGCCTAACCGATCCTTGTCCAGGGAAAACATGAAACAATGCAAAGGAGTCTTGCCTAACAGAACAACAGGTTTCAAACTTTTCGTTCTAATTCATTCCCTTTTTCAGTTTACACAAGATATTAAAACTTACAGTGCATATATTGTTCAACCACCACCACACCCCAGTTGCCTCAAAAACCTTTTATCAGAGGTTTTGTTCTCAGTTGTGTTAGATAATTATTTCAGTGAGGCAGGACCAAAAAAACAGCCAGGTTCCAAATTATCAAGTTTAGCATAGCCAAGAGGTGTTTACATTTGCTGCTCCTCATTCAGCACCACACATACATATGGCTGCAGAGCAAACTGCTTTTTATATTTATTCATTTGTTTCTTTGCTTGCTTGCTTGCCTGCCTGCCTGCCTGCCATTAAGGACCTTTGGCTCAAAATGAAAAATTCAGCAGAGCACAGGTCAGCCATTAGGGGGACCTTGAAGGAGCGTTTTGGATCATGGCCTGATCTTGTATCACCAAAACACACAAAGTGGCTTACAGCAGTTGAAATCCACCCACGCATATGTTAAAAATCTCAATTTTAAAAGTTATTTGCAACACCATTGCATTATATAGCAGTGTTACAGCTTCCATGGGAAAGGCGAAATGAAACAATGACTGGAAAGAGACGGAGGAAGGAAAAGGCAGCGAAAATGGAGACAGAAATGCTGCAGCAACTTGCTAATGAAAAGAGCAATGCCATTGACCAGTTCCTCCTGAGTGGAGATGAGAAGGTGAGAGGCAGTGTGTCCTAAGCGCCCTATGTTTATCTTCTGCCAATGTGCTAATAGTTTGCATTTATTTTAGTGCCTTACAATCCTGTTTTTTCTAACCCATACCAGATTGTAAACTTTCTTGAGGAATGAACTTGTGCCATTTTATGGTTTCTCAAAAATATATGAGTTAGAATTAAGACACTGTGTCCTTTAACCTAGAGATTGTTTAATTCCATCATAACTTATGAACTTTATTCTGTACTTTTTTGTACATAACTGAATATACTATTAATCCTACCCAGAGAAGACCCTTGAAAGGAATGGATTCAACTAACTTAGGCCCATTAATTTCAGTGGAACTGCTCTGAGTAGGACTTAATTGGATACAACCCAGGATTTTTGTTGTTAATTTTGTTTTGTGATGTATACCACCTTTTAGGTGCCTAAATGATTGCCTTCACATTGATATTATAGCTTGAACAATGCGTGTGTGTAACATGCACATACCTTTGAGTGGATGCATGGACCTCTCTTGCATCTCCAATTATGCATGTACAGGAAATGGCAGTGGATTAAATGGAAGAACAAAAAGCAAGCAAACACTGTAGACTTGTTCACCATCCTGCAAAATAATGCCTTTAAGAAGCTTGCACTGCAGCAAGAGTCCACTGTGGATGGACTCTGGCTGCCTGCATGCCATACATTTAAAGCACTAAGAGTCCAGGGAATTGTAGCTGCCCCCCCCCCACAAACTATACTTCATAAGATTCGGAGGTGGGGGGGAGGGATGTGCTTTAAATGCATGGCATGTACATAGCCCATAACTCAGTCCTGAAGTAGCTTTGATACACCCTGGGTCATCATAGTCTTCCTGTAGTGAAATGGAGCACCAGATATTTAAGGAGAGAATTACTTCAAGAGCACTCCTCCACTTATAAGAAATGGGATTCTCCACACGGTGCAGAAGAGGTGCCTTACTGGCAGCATATAGTACAGGAGTCGGTAGTTCTGCCAGTCCTTGCAGTAAACATTTACAGTGGTACCTCTGGTTACAAACTTAATTCGTTCTGGAGGTCCATTCTTAACCTGAAACTGTTCTTAACCTGAGGTACCACTTTAGCTAATGGGGCCTCCCACTGCTGCCGCACCACTGGCACACGATTTCTGTTTTCATCCTGAGGTAAAGTTCTTAATCCGAAGTACTAGTTCCGGGTTAGCGGAGTCTGTAACCCGAAGTGTTTGTAACCCGAGGTACCACTGTATAGCTCATCCCTCCATTCCTCATAGGCGCAGCTATCTTATACCAAAGGCCTTTCATAAGACTGCTAGCTGCAAGAGAGGATAGATGCACCAACATTTTATTTCATGCAAGTATTTATGGCCCAATATCTAAAAATTAATTCACACATCCCATTATCTTCTCTTAGGCTGTTGTGTGTTCCTACTATGCACATCACCTGTCAGTGTTCAGCTTGGAAAGCATGTCCCATCTCCACACCCTTGAGAGCAGAGAATCCATGCTTTTCTTACACAATGCTGCCTTGACCTATAACGGCCATTATCTGGTGCTCTCCAATTACAGTGAGAAGGAGAAAGTCAGCTATGTAACACTATGGAATTTAGCCACGGGGAAGGTATGTTTTCTGAAATTCTTTTGAGGTGGCAGAGAACCAGCTTTGCAGTTGTGGAGTATGTCCCCTCTCCCCCCAAAAAGAGGTTAATGAACAGCCACAGCTTCCTCACAAATGGTGTGCAAACTAAAGCAATATTTGCTTTCCTTACAGCAGTTTAAAATTAATGATAGAAAACATTCCCAGTTCTAGAATTTCTGAGCTTGATGTCCTCTTGGTCTGCCCTCCCTCCTGTCCCAAAGTTAGACCTGCAACTCCTGCTCTCTATTTACTGGCTCTTCATTATATCTTCACACCTCATTCTTCCAAAGCTGTAGAGTAGAACACCATCAGTGTACTGGAACACTACTCCAGCCTGCCACCTAAAGGGAGAAAGGGCAGTGCTACACATTAGGAAGTGCTAAGTAAGTGTAAGTACATAACCAACGTATTTAAAACGGATTATCTCTCCCCTAAAAATGCAGGTTAGGAAAAGACTAAAAAATGAGCCAAATGTCTGCTGTACAGCCATTGCTGCTGATGCTAGTAGGATAATTTTTGGAGTGATGGTGGAAAACAGGTAAGCAAAATGCCAAAGTTTAGTAGTCCCCCCCCCCTACAATTGTCCCCCCCCCTTAAATCACTCAGTTCTTCTTAATTGTTTTCTGGAACAGTTTGGCAAGAGTGTCACAGCTTTTGTATTAGAGACTAGATATATTTAATTTACATGCTCAAGAAAGGCTTGACTGTCCAGCATTCAGCTGCACAGCTGTTAACTAGCTAAACTTCCAGGCAATCGTTGGCCAGGTTTCATTACTTGGCATGACTTTGTGTAAGTTTGGGTAACTAAATAGTGAGATGACATTGTAACACCTGTACAGTGGTACCTCGGTTCTCGAATGAAATCTGTTCCCAAAGCCCGTTCAGCTTCCAAAACGTTCGAAAACCGAGGTGCGGCTTCCCATTGGTTGCAAGAGCTTCTTCCACTCAGCAGAAACCATGTCATATGTTTGGGTTCTGAAAAATGTTCAAAAACAGAAACATTTGCTTCCATGTTTTCGGCATTCGGGAGCCAAAACGTACAACATCAGAGGCGTTCTGGAACCAAGCTTCCACTGTCTGGTGCATTTCCTGGAGCAGAGATGCTTAGGTCCAAATACTTTTGTACAAAAATTTAAAATGGTGCAATGAAAGAAGCAAAGAGGGCATGAAGAAGTGATCCACAGCTGTATGTCATGGATTGGAAACCTTTATTCAGGCCAAAGTCCCTCATCCCTTCTGTAAGGGTTGGAACTACTTTGGGCAGGTACCTTTTAAGTACAGTAGTCTTTAGTGAAAGAATCTGCATCTGGACTGTTGAACATTATGTTCTACATATTAGAATATGTTGTCCAGTACGGTGGTACCTTGGGTTACAGATGCTTCAGGTTACAGAAATAGTACCTTGGGTTAAGATCTTTCCTTCAGGAGGAGAACAGAAATCGTGCGGCGGTGGCACGGCAGCAACGGGAGGCCCCATTAGCAAAAGTGGTGTCTCAGGTTAAGAACAGTTTCAGGTTAAGAACAGACCTCTGGAACGAATTAAGTTCTTAACCCGAGGTACCACTGTATTCCAGATGTCCCAATTTACAAACATCCAATATACTGCAGGGCAAGCTGAAGAAAATGTGAACTCAACACCTTTTTTAAAAAAAACCAACATTTGCTCACCATTTACATAAAAATAGTTATTGCCCTGTCTGTCACTCTCAGTACTACAGAACTGATATCTCTTTTTTGTGATTTCTAGGATAAAGATCTGGGATCCGTTTAAGCATAAGCACAAGCTAATTCAAGGTTACGAAGGTCTTCATCTAACTGTGTGCAGCAAACTACACATATTAGATGGAGCAAAGGCTGTTCTGCTTGCAGGTTTGTGACAGATTTATTTTGTGGAGGCTGTTGGAGGCAGTAGGGCTAGAATATTTTTGTTACATTAAGCTGGGAATCAACTCAATGCAATTTTCTCCCACGGTTTGCTTTATTTGCTTACAATGGTTAGTTTAAACATTTAATGGCAAAGCAAAGGTAAAAGACGTCTCTGAAACGGGTACTTTATAAGTGAAAAAGGGGAAATCCTTACAATGTTGGCATGATTTTTAACTTTTCAGCCACTCTAACCCTTTGAACAAGGGGGAAAGCAGAAAGAAATATTGATTTCTATTCTGCATCCATAGATTTAACCAACATGAATGGGTTGCTATTATGATTGATGGAAAAGGAGGGAGAATGCACAATGCTGTGCCTTAGCAGGACATAATGTGATGTTATGCGTATTTTTTCCCATTAGGTGAAGTCAGTATCTGGGATTTGGAAAGCGGCACTGTTGTATCAGTCTTTACACCAGACAGCAAAATCTCCTGCATGACAGTTGCGTTTGATAGAAATACAGTTCTTTTAGGTTTGAGTGACAACCCTACTCTCATTACTTTGAAAATGCTGAGCACCAACACCGCTGCAAGTTCAACAGGAAAAGATTTGTTTGGAGAGGACTCCTCAAGCAGTGAAGAAGAACCTGAAGTTATTTAAATGCCAAAATTTTAACCAAGTAAGAAGCTAGCATTCACAACTGAATTTTTTTAAAGAGTATGTTACAAGATATCCATTGATTTGAGAGAACTGGTACAAAATACTTTTTTAGTTTCTGTAATGTTGGATCATCACCCAGAGTAGACCCAAGGAAATCAATGTGCTTGTGTTGATTTTATTGGGTCTATTCTAAGCGAGATGAGTGCCACACCCCATAGTCACCTTTACCTTTTACCCCAGGGTCCTTTACCTTTTACCTTACTCTGTAAATTTGTTTATAATCTTGCCCAAACAAAAATACCTACTTTTAGTTTGCTATTGGCAGATGTTTCCTGGCCTTCTGCATCAGTGAGAACTTATATTGGTTGCATTGTCTAAGGATCCAAGCAGAGATTATCAGGGATAAAACACCCAAGTCACTAGTTATACAGAGCAGCTTTATTTAGCCTTGAGCTCCCAATGTTGCTGGACCAAAACTCCCATCATCCCTGACCATTGGCTAAGCTGGCTAAGGTTTGGTGAGAGTTGCAGCCCAACAATATCTGTGGTCTCAAGACCGATATAGAAGATATTTTGTACCCTAAATGTCAGAAAATTTTAACAGAATACGTAGAAGGAAGGGGTCTCCCTTTTTTTAGGAGCAGCAAAAAGTAATTGGAATACATATATACTACACACATGGTGAAGCTCATGTGTTTGATTAGGTTTCATAAATGTAGGAAACGGGTTATCTATCAACTTTAAGAATTGTTATGACAGTGATAATGGATTTCAGCGATTTTGTAAAAGATATAATCAGAATGTTTCAATTGAAATATTGATATTCTATTGTGAAATTTACTGATAAATTAAAATGATAGCAAACATTTGGATGATACTGGGTAATGGCTATTACATTATGAATATGCATTTGATATCATACTAATCTAAAGCTAAAATAAGCTAGAGTAATACATTTGTCTTAGTGCTACTAACAGTGAGGAATTCTGTTACCTAACTTAGTTGGGTCCAGCTGATTTTGCTCCATCTGAATATCTCAAAGTATGGCTTTAAACAGGACTGTGTTTGTTCTCATCCCTGCTTGGCTTTTGTGTGATTGGGTTGGCACAGCTTATTCCTTACATATAGGCATTGACAAACACTAGCCTCAACCATCTCTCTTTGGCACATACTGTACTTAAGTCAGCTTTGTGTGGAAGAACACCAGTTTATAAGGAAGCATTGGTACAACAATTTCTGATGGCATATGCTACCAGCTCATTTTGAATCAGCCGATCAACTTCATTTTGTTGTGATGTAGCAGAGAGGAGTGGGGATCCCACCTTTCTGGACATGCTAGATTGGCTTGACTTGACGTTTAACATCAAGCAGGCAGAGGTAAAAAAATCATCCTGTTTAGGAATTCATTCAGATGTCCTGTTTCATCAATGCCCTAGTTATTCTGAGATGCAGTTTTAAGAGGTAAGTGCAACATGATACGGCATAGAATGCCTTTAATTATGAAATTACGTTTATTGCTTACTGTTCCCACTTCCCTCTTTCCTGTCATTATATGCTGCTAAATTTAGGGACACTCAAAGGGAAGAATACTACTTGTCTTACTCAAGCATATAAGCCAAGCAAGTCAGAAGGAATCTCAGCATTCATACCTATTACAGTGGTACCTCGGGTTACATACGCTTCAGGTTACAGACTCCGCTAACCCAGAAATAGTGCTTCAGGTTAAGAACTTTGCTTCAGGATGAGAACAGAACTTGTGCTCCGGCGGTGCGGCAGCAGCAGGAGGCCCCATTAGCTAAAGTGGTGCTTCAGGTTAAGAACAGTTTCAGGTTAAGTACGGACCTCCGGAACGAATTAAGTACTTAATCCGAGGTACCACTGTATGATGGTTTTCATCAGAACTCCATTACTTTTATAGCTTTATTTCAATACCATTTGTCAGATACAAATAAAAGAATATTACAAAACCTAGGAGCTAAAGAGCTGTGTGGGGTGTTCCAGAAATGCACTGGGGACTTTCAGTCTCACTCCAGCCTGTGTCAAGGTACCCCTGGAGTGACATTTTGTGAGGCAAATGGAGAATGGAGTGTGAAAGGGAAAACGGACTTCTTTCCACATGCACAAAAACATTTATTATACACGTATATGTTTCTTTGGATCCCAGCCTCTGTGTGCATTACTGAAAAAAGGGGGCAATATAAAAATGTTCTGTTCCATTTTTACAACCAAAATGGTTTTTATTCATAAAACATAGCATGCAAAATATTAGATCCAAGTAATTGATACACTTCAGTGGCACAGTTCTTATTTGCGTGTGCCCAGGCTTACAAAATTTAGAACCAAGAGGGAGATTGTCAAACCACAGCAAGCAAACTTATTTTAAAATCATTAGAAGTTCATAGCAATGACTGTTTCTTAAAAATGGGAAACATTATCATTTTGCTAATAGAGGGCTAAGAGTCAGGTTGTCAGTTGGAAGCAGAGGAGACACAGGAATTGCAGACGCTAGTCTGGGCATTCCCAGTGTAGGAATAGTGCAGATATTTAATGCACACCATTACCTGGTTGCAGAATTATCATGCCTAGAAACAGATCTGAAATGCACAAGTAGTTTTACAATCAGTGGAAGGTGTTGAATATGGTGTTAAGCACACAGGAGTGAATAAATCCAAAACCAGTTCCCAGTCTCCGTCAATCAGCTGGGATCAAGTCACTGTTCAAAATATGTCCTCTTTCTTAGAATTTCAACAACATGCTAGTACCTTGGGACTTAAATTTTCCTACTCGTTGCATTATTTTGTTCAGGACACTGAGGAGAAGCAACTAGACACCCAAAATAAATACATATATCTGAACTTGCATTTTGTTTTCCCCCAAAACCCTGAACAGAAGACATATTATTTATGGAAGAAGACTTTCTCTTCCCCTGGGAGATAGTTCACAATCAATGTTGCCCCGTGAAATTGTGAGACAGTGTTTCAGAATCAGTTGAAACAAGTGTCCCATTCCTCTATGGAATACAGAAGTAACGATTCAGCTGATAAAACCCGACACCTAACAATAACAGCAGTTCCCAGTTAAACTAGGTAATATATAAGGTCCCAGAGATGTTGCTACTCACCCTTACAAAATGAAAAATGTCCACCTTAAGTGAAGTATCTGGTCAGAGCTCGTGATAACGTTTTTTTTTGTGTGTGAAAGTATCCATAACTTTTTCAAAGATCAGTTAAACCACAAAAACTTTAACTGCCACAGAAATGTTTCAGTTTGTTGTTGCAGAAACAAGAGTTTGAAGATATGTGAATTTATTATCGGGCTGTTTATTCCATTTCATTCACATTGCTATTGCCTGACATGCACATACCTCTGTGAAATGCAAATAGATCCCTCTCAAATGCTAGAGAAAAAAAAGCCTTGTTTAGAAAAACCTATAGTAGTATGTTAGACAGCTAGACAGAGGTTACAGCTGTTTGTCATCAAATTTGGCATGTAGAACTCAATTAAAGAAAGAATATCTAGTTTTGGAACACCTTCAGTTACTGTCTGCTCCAAAAATAAGGCCTGGTTCCTTAAGTATAAGGTTTTACAAAAAGCACTACGCTTTTGAGGAACACAGTTCCTTTTGTCTACATCTACATCTATTGTATCCCTCTTCTATAAGAGGGCAGTTGCTTTTTACTACTACTGAACTTTCCTCAGCTCCAAGAGCCTAGAAAGCACGAAAACCAGTTAACATACTAGTCCAGGCAAACTCTTATAACTTGTCCAAAGACTTATAGATATTATAGTACTTACGCATCCATTGTACCTGTAAACTTTTCAACATGATTGTATGTTCCTGCCATCATCCAAGAAGTCAGTGGCAAGATGGCACAACATGAGTTAAAAGATGGAAAGGAACAGAATGGGAAAATCAAGTAGCCTCAGTTCAGGACTGTCTTTGTAATGCTGAGTAGAACTCTTCTAGCCATCGTATTTTATTGTTTAATATACCGTCCCTAAAAAGGCTTCTAACCTCATCACCACAAGATTAACATAGTGACATATACAGAAATCACAAGGAAAGCAATAAAGAAGAATGTTGGCTTTTCACCCCGAAAGACTTAAAATGTAACACTAGATTAACCCCAATTAAATATGATCTTTTAAGACTCTGAAGTCTAAAAGCGTCATAGAACGAAAGTGTTCTCAGCAGAATGAGCTATAATGGACTAAAGTTACAACTGCAACAGATGTTAAAATACCAGTCTTAACATGATTATCCCTCCAGTCCGTCCTCATCAGGCATCACCATAATTCTGCAATTAAAAAGAGTGAGGGACCAAGAACTCTTGAATCCCCTTTGTGCTACTCCCATGTGACCCTGTTCGAAGAATTTGGTTTTTTTAGTGCAGAATATTCAAAAGCACAAAAGTACTAACATCTATTAATACTCCATTAGTACTACAGACTGTAAAAAATATTGCATAGTTTTATGCATTATTCTAAAATATGGGTCTGCCTATTAAACAGTTTTTAATAAAAACTACGCAGCTCTCAATGTATTCAGAGCATCGACTACCTCGATCTTCTATCTTTTTTGGATTTGTCTGTACATTTATCCATAGTCTTCTCATTGTCTCCTCTGCACTTAGGACAATACCATTTCCCCTTCGGTTTGTAAGTGAGTCCAACACATGAAAAATGAAACCATTCAATGGGACATAGTTCATTATCACACCCTATCATTTCCCCGTAAGACACTTGGTCACAGAGACAGTAAGTTGGTTCATTAGGGTCTACTGCAAAATCTACTGGTGAAGCTTCCCTTTCTTGTTTAGCTTTAGAGCGTTTCTTTTTCTTAGCAGATTTGGATCTCTTTTCTTTAGGGGGCTGGTCATCATATTCATCAATTCCATTTGCTATATGGCATATATCACGGCTTTCACTGGTGCGCTGTCGACGTGGTCTTCGTGAAGATCTTTCTGGTAGACAAGGGTCCACTTTTGACTTTTCGGTGGGCTTCTCTGTATCTGACAGATCTTGGAAACACTGAGACTGGGACTCTATTTGCCGGGCTCTGTTCTCTACCAACTCAAGCATCTGAGTGACTATTTGGATTTTCTCATCACCAAGCTCTTGACTGTTGATCAGGGCTCGCTGAAGATGCTGCTGCAAACGCTTTTTCTGAGCAGGATCATCTTCACTCTTGTATTTTTCATAGACTTCGTCGATTTCTTTTAACGCTTCTGTTAAAAAGAAGTCAGAATAAATGTATTATGAACTAGAATCCTTCAAGTCCCTCCTTTCAAGCTGACAAATGCTAATCTTGTATTAAAAATGTGAATAGTACATATCAGAGGCTATGTAATAAAGCATATACTTTCAAAGGATAGTAACACATTAAGATGCAAAAACAAATCTGTCCAAGGCCTCTTCCAAAATACAAGGAAGTTTCTTAAAAGCATCTAGAGATGTGTCATTTAGCATGTCAGCATTATAAAGTGACATGATTAAATCTGGTGTATCATAGGGGGGGTGGGAAAGCAGGTTTGTTTTTTCTAGTACTTTCCTCTTCCGACATCCTACCTTGAAATGGGAAGGTGCATTTTTCACATGTTAAGTACTGAAAAATACTATTTCTGTCAATTTACAAGAGGTGGGGAATCTCAGGTCTAGAGCCCAAATGTGGCCCTTCAAACCTCTCCCCAGGCCACACTCTTCATCAGCCTTGCTCTGCTTTTGCCTAGTGGGAATGCATTCTAGAACTATGGCAATGCCTCTTTGCTTGCATGGATGGCGAATAGAGAAACGCTTGTGTAAAACATACAGAGTCTGTATGGCTAGAATGTAGCCTGCTGTACAAAGGCAAGAGTCATGCCCACTGCTTTACCTACTTGTGCCTCTGGCCCTACCCACTGTGTGTCCCCTGGAAGGTTACCTACAAAAGAATGTGGCCCTCAGGCTAAAAAAACACAACAAAACAGGTTTCCCAGCTCCGTTTTGCAGGGAAGTTGGAGAAAAAATTATATTGAAGAAAATACACCATTCCCCAAACACCTCCATCCGCATTCTAACATCATACACAAGAGACCAAAACATCACAGAATTGTAGAGTTGGAAGGGACCAAGAGTATCATCTAGTCCAACCCCCTGCAGTGCAGAAATCATCTTGTTTGCTTCACTTGCCTGGAGGTGTTAGACTAAAACCATGTAAAAAGATGGGGGGGGGGATCCCTTGGTTGCAAGTAGAACAAATAGTAGTAAATGGCCTTGAATATATGCTCTTCACCCACCTGCCACAAACACTAAAAAGAAAAAAAGCACTTTACCTACCACATGTATAGTCTGTTGATACAAACGATAGCCCCCAAACCTAGCTAATCTAGCCCTGTCAGCCCTACCTGGGAAGCGGGTGGTGTGCAACTGTGCAGGTGCGTGCATGCGTGGGTGATCACTGCACTGCATTTGAAACAACAACAACAACTCAACTTTGCAGAGACGTCTCCCTGTGCAACCAAGGGAAAAACGAAAACAATTTCGAAGTTCGCATCTCGGAACTTTTCGGGCGATGCATCTCACCGGAGACCCCACCACCACCACGGAGGCGTCACACGGGTCCTGCTACTGAACCTCCTTCCCTCGTGAACTTGGACTTAAAAAAAAGGTGGCAGAGGGCATGCCCCGTCGTCCGCCGCCCCCTCCCAGCTCGCGTCACAGGGTCATGAGGGCGGGGGTAGGTGGTCCAAGCCCCGCCGGGGCCCCAGGGCCGGGGTCATTCCTCAGCGCCCACCGCCTCAAGTTCGTCCCGAGGGCCAAGGCGGGTGGGGGGGGGCTGGCGGAGCGTGGCCATTTTCCTCCCCCTCCGGGCGCCTGGTGAGGCGTGGACGCCCCTCCTCCTTTCAAAGCAAGGGCGGTTGGACTGGAGGGGTGGGGGGTGGGAGCAGCGCCGTTGCCTCCGCCGCCATCGCCCCCTCCTCCCCGCTCTTTCTCCCCCCCCCCCTTACCCCGGCAACGCGTGTCCATCTCGCGCAGGAGCGAGGCCAGCCTTTGCATGTCCAGCGGCAGCGACTCGACGCACTCCAGGTAGTCCTGCACGTAGCGCGCCAGGATCCTCTCCGACACGCCGCCGCCTCCGCCGCACGGGAAGCCGGACACTCCGCCGCCGCCGCCGGCCCCGCCGGCTGCAGTGGCAGCAGAACCGGCAGCCGCCGCCCCAGACCCCGCCCCCCCAGGCTGTTGCCCCGGCGACCCCAACATCATTACGCGACGTGACAGCGACCCTGCTTCCCCCTCGGCGGACCCGGGGCCCTCGAGCGATGGGGAGGGGGGAGGGGAAGGAAGCCCCTCCGGCCGCTTCTGTTAATCGGCGCAGGCAGCCTAGGCGAAAGAAAACCTCCTCCCTCACTTGGAACTCCCCGCCTCTTTTTCCCTTCCGCGCCCCCCCCTCCTTCTCCTCCTCGTTTTTTTTTTTTGGTACCGCGGAGCACGCATGCGCGAGGCCTTGTCCTTATAAGGAGCGGCCGGTTCGCATTCTCCCGCCTTCCCCTCACACCCGACGCGATTGGTCCGGACAGATGGGACGTCAGGAGGCCAACGCGGAAAACGAAGGGCGGGGTCTCAACTTAAAGAGACACCGCTCCATGCCATTACGGTTTCCACTCCTTCGCTTCCTGCCGGTGCCTGGTCTCAACGGAACGATCACTCTCTCCCTCTCTCACACACACACTCTTTATCAGAACCCGCCTACTTTTTTTCTTCCAGCCAATCCGCTGCCGAGAGGGACGGAAATGAAGCCGGAGAAACCGAACGCCCCCCCCCCCGCCTCCCTCTTTCACTTGTGTCTGAATCTGTTGACAGCGGCGCGTGGAAGGGAGGAGAGAAGGGCTGGGGGAACAAAAGGGAGTTGGCGCGGGGGAGGAGAGGAGGGAAAGTGACACTGGAGCGCCCACGTGGGACTGGGAGGGGGAAAGGAATGTTCTGCTTCAGGACCAGTTTGCCAATAGCAGTGTGCTCCCAAACGTTGTTGTTGTTTAGTCGTTTAGTCATGTCCGACTCTTCCTGACCCCATGGACCAGAGCACGCCAGGCACTCCTGTCTTCCACTGCCTCCCGCAGTTTGGTCAAACTCATGCTGGTAGCTTCAAAAACACTGTCCAACCATCTCGTCCTCTGTCGTCCCCTTCTTCTTGTGCCCTCAATCTCTCCCAACATCAGGGTCTTTTCCAGGGAGTCTTCTCATGAGGTGGCCAAAGTATTGGAGCCTCAGCTTCAGGATCTGTCCTTCCAGTGAGCACTCAGGGCTGATTTCCTTCAGAATGGATAGGTTTGATTTTCTTGCAGTCCATGGGACTCTCAAGAGTCTCCTCCAGCACCATAATTCAAAAGCATCAATTCTTCGACGGTCAGCCTTCTTTATGGTCCAGCTCTCACTTCCATACATCACTACTGGGAAAACCATGGCTTTAACTATACGGACCTTTGTTGGCAAGGTGATATCTGTGCTTTTTAAGATGCTGTCTAGGTTTGTCATTGCTTTTCTCCCAAGAAGCAGGCGTCTTTTAATTTCGTGCCTGCTGTCACCATCTGCAGTTATCATGGAGCCCAAGAAAGTAAAATCTCTCACTGCCTCCATTACGTCCCCTTCTATTTGTGGATCGCCCTTGCTTCGAGGGTCTCTGGACTCCTCCTCCTTCTCCACTTCCCGTTTTATGCTCTCGATTTATGCAGAGTGAAAAGTAACTTGGTCATAGTGTGCTGCTCACCTTGCTACATGAGCTACTGTGGCTTTAGAAATTACCCCGCACCTGAAATGAGTGGGACTTGGAAGTTTCCAGCTACACATAGTCCAGGCACACAGTAAACTCGAGTGAACCGACTATGGAGTAAACTGCACGAAACAACACATCAAATCAAACAAGTAAAGTACAACACACTAAAAAAAATCAAAATCAAACCAGCCGTGCTGTAGCTCGCCTGCCCCAATCGAGCAGGAATTGAGACAAATTACTGCTGATGGTTGGGAGGCTCAGGCGGTCAGTCCTACGGAACTCAGTAAGGCTTTTTTTCTGAGTAACATACTGATGCTGTTATTGCTGGTGCTGATAACGCCATTTGGACTAGATGACACAAGTCTACTGTTGCATTTGTAAAAAAGAAAAAAAGGCGTTCTGAGAATGAGCCCCGTTCTGTTGGTGCGGCGATCTCTGTGAAAGATACACATGCGCACTACCTGCGTGACTATGGAGGTGACGAGAGGCCCCTCCCGCGCCCACCCGCTCGGCCCTGAGGGCTTCTTGGCGGAATCAACGTGGGCTCGCGAGACGGGTTGTTGCGCGCTGCAAAGCACGCGGCACTCTCTGCCCAAGGTCCGGGGACTTTCCCCTAGGCGGGCTCAAGGGCCCAAGAGAAACATGCGTTCTCCGCGCGTAGCCTAGAGAGCAGGTCTTTAGAACACCCTACGAAAAACGACGCAGACAGCGGCTGTATAAAGCCTTGAAGAAGCGCTCTTTTTCTAGGTCATGGTGAGCAGCATGAAATGTAAAACCTTTTCTGTTTTATATAAAATCGTAGTGCGGAGGTTCTCTCTCTTTCTCTCTCTCTTTTTTTATGTGGGGGATTGTGAGGGGCGGCAGTTCTTTACTACAGAAGCTCTGGTTGCGTATGCTAAGCGTGCATGCAGATAGTATGCAAATATAACTCATCGCTCCGCCCATTACTAACTGGAATTTAAGAAGCGGAGGATGAATTCCGCCAGCTTAAAACTTCTAGGTTGTGGCTGTATAGACTGAGGAGTTGAGCTCGCTGCAGCATCCACGGGGCGTCAGATCCCGCCCCCCTGCTCCTGATGTTCTCCTTGCACATCTTCCCTCACCCCATTTCCCCTGGCAGGGGCCGGGTTGGAGGGCGCCAATCCGGTGCCAAAATTTATTGGGCTGGTCCTGCTGTTTTCCCATTGCAGGGTTTATTTGAATCCATGCTCACAAGGTTATATTGTTCGAGATCCTGGTGGTTTGTAAATGGAACATTCCATTTACCACTGTTCCAATGTATTAGATAAGGGACGCAGGTGGTGCTGTGGGTTAAACCATAGAGCCTAGGACTTGCAGATCAGAAGGTCGTCGGTGTTGCTCAGTCCCTGCTCCTGCCAACTTAGCAGTTCAAAAGCATGTCAAGTACAAGTAGATAAATAGGTACCACTCCGGAGGGAAGGTAAATGGCTTTTACGTGCGCTGCTCTGGTTCGCCAGAAGCGGCTTAGTCATGCTGGCCACATGACCCGGAAGCTGTACGCCGGCTCCCTCGGCCAATACAGCGAGATGAGTGCCGCAACCCGAGTCGGTCACGACTGGACCTAATGGTCAGGGGTCCCTTTACCTTTAATGTATTAGATAACCATCTGAAGCAACAACAGTAGAACAGCAGTCTTACCTTATAACTTTTGGTGGAGCAGCAGCACGGAGCAGTCACTTTTGTTGCCCACCCACTGAGCAGCATTGGGCAGGAGGGGTGGGTTTGGGGTGAGCAAAGGGAGAGTGCAGGCAAGAGTGTACCAAAGAGGAGCTGCTGCCTTCTCTTGCTAGCACTCACCCAGTGGTAGCGCTCAGGGAAGGCCAGGAGGCAGCACAGCTAGGATGTGTGTGTATGTTGTCCTGCCAGGTGAATCCCTCTCCTTAACCTGTTGACCAGATGCTTGCCCGTAAACATAAATTGCTTGAGTGTGAAGAGTGATTGTAAGTTATTTCCTAACCTTCTACTGCAAATGTGGTAGCAGAAGCAGACACGGGAGCCCAGAAGATGTCCCACGTAGCAAACACTGGAGCCAGCTGCGTCTTGTATTGTTTGACTTCTCGCAGAACCAAACACCAGCTTTAAGGCCAAAAGGTAGTTTGCCTGTACATCATACACCCTCCGCTACCGATGCCCTTGCACTGCTTGTTTAGTCCAGCACATATGAAAATGCAAATGTCCAAAAAGCTAAAAAGGGTATCAACCTCCCTGGATGTGGGGGCACACCTCATGAGTCTAGTAAGAGCTACAATAATTCTGTATGCGATAAGAGTTATATTTGCATACTAATTCTGTAACACAGTACAACCACCCTTGTTGGACAACCACCAGAATTGTTAACTAGTACTTTAAAAAATGTATTGTGGGTATTATTCATCCTCACTACTTCTGCTTGGCTGAAGGTGGTTATGCATTTCCAGCAAAATCAATTCAGAACAAAAAGTACCTCAGGTTGTAGCAATAAATTTAATTAAAACTGCCAACTACCGTGGCTACTTCAGCCCGCCAGAGGACGTGGTTGTGCTCCACTCACTTCCATACAGATGCGTTGCACTTTTCTGTACCAGTGTAAAATAGAGACCCCAAATTAAATTGGAAGTCAAAGGATGTGTTAGTCTAAAACTGCTAACTCTATGGGCAGAATGATGCTCGTAGCCAAAGCTTTACCTGAAGTTGATACTGCAGTTCTCACCAATGACAACTTTTTTTCTTTTTTTTTAAAGTGGAAACTGCTAGATCATATGCAAGTGAGAGAGAATGCCTGGTCAGAGAATAGAAGGGTGTGTAAGGAAGTGTGTGGGGTGACTCTGCCTGCTCCTGGCAATATAAGGCTGTCAATGGCTACTAGCCACAATCAGTGTTTTACTTCCACTCACAAGAGGCAGTATGCCTCTGAATACTAGCTGCTGGGAACTGCAGATGAGCAGCGTGTTGTTACGCTCATGTCCTGCTTGCAGGGTTCCTACAGGCATCTGGTTGGCTGCTGTAAGGGCAGGCTGCTGGATTAGAGGGGTCAGTGGCCTAATCCAGCAGACACTTATGACCTTGGATAGGAATGGCAGCCACAAAGGGATGTGACCTGAAAAAGGTTATTCACCTCCATAGCAAAATGCTGGCTGCAGATGTGCTTTTTGTTTAACAAGCAAATATTACTATACAAGGCCAAATTAAAGAAGCACAAAGAAATACACATTTGATGCTACTTTTTCTGCCACTCTTCTCTTCTCATAAGTGTTGTGGATTGTACAATCTACCATGCTGTACAAATAAAAACTGAAATCAAAATTGTTTTCCCAATAGTTTTTTGCAAGAAGTTTAACCCATTAAGTTTGAACAGGAGCCAAACAACTGAAAATATCTTTATTTGAATGAGTATTTTTTTCTTACAAAGGAGTCTACCTTTCTTTAACAAACAATCAGCTGCCACATATTCATTTTTACCCACTTTTGCTGAGGAACAGGGGTCACCAACATGGCACCTGCAGGTGCAGATGTGCTCAACAAGGCCTTCCCTTCAACAGAACCCACACTCATTTCTCAGGTTTGCAAATGTGCTTATGGGCCCTAAGATGTCAGCAACCCCTATTACACAATATTCTATTAAAATGCATTTGAAATCGATTTGCAAAAATTTGAATAATGAGTTGGATCCTAAGTCAACATAAGGAAGTTCGTGAAAGGAGTGTTTCCTTTCTTCCTCCCCTATCACTCCTTGGTATCCCATCTCACAGTTCAGGATGGGCTCTCCAACTCTCCAGAGACTTAGCAAAGGGTGAGGCAGGTGGCCGCAGGAACAGAAATGTTCCTTCCATAAATTTCCTTTAAGTTTCCTTAAGATTAAGCTATTGCGTGTTCTGTTGCTGAGGTGAGAGGAATTATTTAAGCAACTTCAGGAAGGGCTCTGTTGTCATTCACTACTTGTATTTCATTCAGCTGCAAGAAATGCTGTCTTGCTTCCCATCTTACAGCTTTGGTCCAGATCCTGGAATTAGCATAGGTAGTTGTTGCCTTGGGATATTTATTAAATGCCACAGCAACACTCAAAGCAGTGCTGTGTGAAGAAAATTAACAGACGATGGGAAATGCTCCATCAGTGCTGTGAGAACATTTCACTGTTCAGAGAACATTTTACTAACATGGAGGAACAGAACGATGCCTGTACATGTAGACCTATGTGCAGACATCACAGCAGTGCAGAACTTTAGATGAGATTCAGTGTGTGAATGCAACACCTTTTAGTTAATACTTGTTGACAACCCCAAGTCATAATGCAGTGCAGGTTTTAATAAAATTAGCACTTAATTTGAGTGGTTGAACTTGCAAATTAATACTAGTGTGTTTAAGACTGAGCAAATATCTAAGTTATAACCATATATTGTTAGTTAAATGAAATGGAAGCAGAATATTTCATAAAATCTTTAAAAATAATCCCAAATTACACAGACATAAATAATTGCTGAATATAGAAAGCTGCATTTATTAGAAAAAAAGCAAAGATGGTATTTCTCACAAAATATAAGTCAAAGCTGCTTAGAGAAGTGTTTAGTGATAGAAGTAATTTGGTGATTATTGACTGACAATTTGCAAGTATGATATTAAATAGGACCAGCATATCATTTTAGTTAAAATTTAAAATATTACTACTTCATTAAAAAACTTAAATCAACTATCTTCTTTTTTTAAAAGAGGCATATGAACATTCTGAGCAACACATGAAGCAGGTGATTAAAGGTTTGATTGAAACTTTTAGACAGCCTTCTACAATCCAGATACAATGGTTCTTGTCTACAAATCAGTTCGCAGCTAAAAAGGATGAGTTCTGAAGTGAGCATTACTGATACTAAATTGTAGGATTTAGAAAATTAGACTGAACAGCAAACTGTACCTTAATTGTTCCTTAAAAAATAGAAGACCTGGTATACTATTTAGCAAATAAAACAGCACACTAATGTGCTATATATGTTAAGGCATACCTCAGCACGCTTTACATCTATAACAAATTATTTACATTTGCTACTGAGTGAAAAGAACAAGAATTCCTCAAAACTGAAAAATACAAAATATATGGGAGTCTAATACAGTGTACAAAAAGTAATCGAGTTATTTGTGATAGAACAATATTTGCTAATATAAACAGTGACTGTTTCACTGTTTTATAATATTTCTTGAGGATTTCTTAAAGCTGGAGGTAAATTTAATGGTTTTGATTCTTCATCAAGAAGCACCAAATCTTCAATCTCCCTTCCTTTGTACTTCCTTTTACATAATTTCACAATTACCTTTTTCTTGAGAAACAGTTTCAGTGCCTCTCTTGAAGCAACTGCTTTGGCATTTTCCTTACTTTTTCCACAGCCAGTACCCAAATACACCGATTTACATCTCAGTTCACACACCACATTTTCCTGAGAGCTTTTATTCTGAGGTAAATCCGCCAGCTCTTTCAGTGGGACAAATTCAACATCTAATGTTGCCTTTACAGACTGAATGGATGAGTTTAAGAGTTCGACATGATTGACATTGGGACTAAACCCTCCAACAGCAACCAACTTCCAAGCAACAGCTTTGTATAGTCTATTGAAAAATGGTTGCCTCTCTTTTGCATCTTCGCTTGTTAATAATTTGCATGGCACTTTGGCAGGAACCACACTCGTGTGTGAGCTGCTTTTTGAAGCTAACGCTGCCATATCTTCCAATGTGCCTTTCTTTTCAGATGCTAATGTGTTTTCAGATTTGGATTCTGAAGGTTTATTTAAAGAGTAATTCAGTTTTGATTCAGGGCCAGGCAAAGAAGAAGCCACAGCTGATTTCTGCCTAGTGGTTGCTGTAGATTCATAATTAGCAACTCTGGCTTCTACTCTTGCTACAGTTGAGGATGCAGCGGGTGCTACCTTCTGCGCTGTGGAGACTGGAGCTGCAGTTGCTACCTTCTGGACTGCAGTTGAGGATGCTGTGGGTGCTGCTATCTGAGGTGCAGTCGAAGAGGCTACAGGTGCTACCTTCTGAGCTGTAGAGACTGGAGCTGTAGGCGTTACCTTCTGAACCACTGCTGCTGATGCTGTAGGTGCTTCCTTTTCGGCCACAGTCGAAGATGCTGCAGGTGCTACCTTTTGGGCTGCAGTCGAAGACAGTGGCTTCTCTGCATTTTTTGCTGCCTCTTTTCCTGGGTTCTTCACAGGATTACTATCTGTTTCCATGGGCTCTTCTGGCTTTGCAGACTCTGCATCACTGCCAGTAATTTCAGAAGCTTTTTCTGTGCCAACAGCACGCTTCTTGCAGGGCTCTTCTGGCCCTTCTAAAAAAAAGTTAAAAACAAATTATGTCTGTAATTCAGAGTAAGTGTAACTGTCCTTATCACAATCAAACACACACTTTAGAAACAGAGTCAAGGAAACTGAGTTACCTTAAAGTCTTACAATTAATGGCCTCTGCAGGAATTGTATAGGTATAGAATTAATAACTGTCTGCTTTGAAGAGGTACATTTAAAGCATCATACCCTACTGTATGTAGTTTAGATCAAAGTTCCTTGCTCACTGCTGCCATAAAACTACTAGGAAGGCAAATTGACAGTTAACACTTCTGCATGAATTAAATCAAATTCACCTTACACTTATTTGATTGTAAGATTTACCAAAGCAAAATGAGTTAGATCAAATATTAATAATATTATCAACATAACTGACAATTTAAAGAATGTTGGCTGACATTTTTGAGAGGATAACATGTATTCATTTATTATGCTCCTATGTGTATTTGCACAGCTATTATCTGCTAACCATTGCTACTGGATATGCCTCGTTTCACCTTGGCAACCAGTTCATCTCTCAGAGTGTGGGTTGGAGCATTGGTCACTGTGATGCCTGCAGCCATGTCCATCACTTTTTCCATCACTTGCAGAGGATACCTGAAGGGAAAAGGCAACTGCAATTAGCATTTTGAGGAAAAATTTAGTTCGCATTCACTGATCCTCAAGACAGCTACTAACACATACATGTTATTTGGATTGTAGATATTGCCAATTCCACCTTCACACACCCCAAGCAGTAGTGTAGTAAGAACTCAAGAGAAGAAGAAAAAGGGGGCAGCTATTTTCAGGGTCAGAATGTTTTCAGACATCTGGCTGCATGGGTGCTTGGCTCTAAAAAGCAATTAAAATACTTTAAATAAACTTTTGATGCCTCAGAGTTTGAGGCACTCTCCAAACCCCAGATATCTGCGTTGTGGAATAGTAATTCCATTTTTCAATGCACTGATATAAGAATGGCTCAGATCAATACAAAATTACTTCTAATTAGGCCTCATTAAGCCCAATGTGAAAAGATAATGATTCAACTTAAATCTTATTGATTTCAGTGTCAACTAAATGTGACTAGCTCCACCTGGATCCAGTTGATTGTGTAAAACTGGAGACGTCTTATGTTCCGCTCAAAAAATGTTTCAAGAAGCAAATAGCAATTTATCTGCCATTCAGGGTGACTTGTGGAAAGACAGAACAATGAGACCTAGACAAGAGGAATTCAGTGCTCTAAGATTATTAGAGTCTTAGCACTGTTTAGTCACAGAATGTGTATTCAGAGTAACAAGCTTGCCTCTCATCTCAGAATCTAGATTAACAAAAAAAGGGGGGGGACACAGTCAAAATAGAAGATACATTTGTTTGGTTTAGCTGGCTGTTACAAAGTCTTAAAAGCACCACAGTTCTGAACACAGGTAGCAAAATTAAAGTAATTACAGGCTTTAGCACAATTGGCCTATATGGTAAAATCAGGACATGATCAACATAATGAGTGTGTTGTGGGACTACAGCAACTTACAGGTACACCAGGCAACTACCTTGCTAAAGGTATACAAGTCTGGTCCTGGTCAGTGCCTCAGTGGAAATCACCCGGGAATCCCATGTATGTCAGCCTGAGCTTCATGATAGAAGAAACATGGGATATGAATATGACAATACGTACAGTTAATACAATTAGGCAGAAAATGATCTTGTAGTTTTTGCTCAAAAATGGGGGATTAACGTTATTTTAGCACATAAGCCAGCTGCAAAAATACGTGCATTAGCTTGTAAAGAAAAAACAAAGATTTATAACAACATTCGGAGAATGCCTTATTTTCCTTCTTAGGTTTATGACATCTTAAGAAACTCCTCCTCCTCATTGTGAAATTAATTACCCTTAAAGTAACGTAACGTATCTCACGCAAACGAAACGCTTTTAAGTTTCACTTCTCCCGCCAGCGACTCACCTGCATCCCAGGAAGACATGGTTGGCCCACACCATAGACAGAGAGGTCAGTCGCCGTAATTCCACGCTGTCTCCGTCCCCGCCACCGCCGTCTTTCCCGCCCGGCGACAAGGGCAGGCCTTCCGCGTTGCGAATCAAGAACTCCCGGCGGTGCTGCCAGTGGCCCTCGGGCTCGCACTCCGCGCGCAGCTTCTCCACCCAGCCCGTCCCAGCGTCGCCGTCTTCCCCGACTTCCTCACCCCCTCGGCAGGGCTCGGAGTCGGGCCCCGCCGCTGGGGCGGCCTCCCCGCCGGCCATGGTGCTCGGCGGGAAGTCGCCTCCTGCCGCTGCTCGCTCTCCGCGACAGGGAACTGTTCACGGCAGGCCCGGGAAGTAGCGCTGGGCGAGGGCCCAGCTTCCGCCCGAACTGGCTTGCGGCGCCTGAGGCGGACACTCAAAATCCCCTCACCGGAGATGATCGTATCAGAAGAGGCCATGCCCACAAGACCCAGTTCCGGCGAGCCATTATGACTTCACTTCCCGCGCCGACCGCTGGCCCCTGAGGATGATGATAAAAAGCTGCGTTTTTCCCCATAGCCCTTTGCTGATCCAAGAGGGCGGGGAAGGCAAGGGTGTTATCACCACTTCCGGCTTTCAAACGGCTACCTCTTGTGTGCAAGGCAGGAGCGTAAAACAAACTGGGAAGGGCTCCTTTATCCCTTTAAAGCAGTAAAGGCCAAACTTGGCCCTCCAGCGGTTTTGGGACTACAATTCCCATCATCCCTGACCACTGGTCCTGTTAGCTAGGAGTGATAGGAGTTGTAATCCCAAAAACAGCTGGAGGGCCATGTTTGGCCATCACTGCCTTAAAGTGACAAACACGGCTGCCTCACGTTACCAAGTCTCTATGGTGCCTTTTCTTTTCTTTTCTTTTTTGCATCAACGCGCTCCTCACACACGCAGAGACAGGGAAAGGCGTTGAGTGTCACGTAGGTGTCGCATTCCACTGAGAGCCGTGCCTCTATACTTTCCATGGCTGCCTGCCCCGCCCCTTGACTCGGCGATTGGTTCGTCGTTGCCCTTCTCGCCCTCCGGAATTCCGGCGCGAGATATCATTGGACCATTTTCTCACCAATGAGGAGGCTCTTCGCTCTCGTTGCTGTCTCGAGCGAATGGAACACGGGAGCCCAGCAGCCACGGAGCCCGCGGGCGCGGTTCAGACAGAAATCCCAAGCTCAGCCGCTTGGCCGGTGCTGAGCTTTTCGTTTAGCGCCAAAGCGCTGCTGCAAGCAGCATAGCCAGCCTCAGTTGCAGCAGCCATCCTGGTCCTGCGCTAGGAATACGTGGCCAATCCTAACGTTACCTGAGTGTCTCCTGGGAACACGGGTTCTTCGATAGCCTGGAGTTGGGGCTAGCAGCACACAGCGAAACAGCGAAAGCTGTCCATCATGGATTTGCAGGCCGTTCCTCCCATTTGTAACATTAGGATAATAATGTAAAGGTTGACCTTTGAGCGCTGTTGTAAGAAATACTGAGATAATTATTCTTTTTAAATCTGTATACTGCCCTTCATCAGTAGATCTCAGGACTGCTGGCAACATAAAATACGTATAATTTTATCCCCCATGCTGTTTAACATCTACATGAAACCACTGAGTGGTGTCATCCATAGTTTTAGAACACAGTGATGGCACACAGCTCTACTTCTTTACATCTGCAGGTCTGGTGGTGGAAGTGCTGTACCGTTGTCTGGCCTTGGTAACCTAGACCAGATAGATGGGAGGTTGCCTGCTCTTGATGGGGTTACATTCCCTCTGAAGGAGCTGCTACATTGCTTGGGGGGTGCTCCTGAATCCTTTGCTATCACTTGTGGCACTGTGATCTAAACCACTGAGCCTCTTGGGCTTGATGATCGGAAGGTCTGCGGTTCGAATCTGCGCGACGGAGTGAGCTCCTGTTGCTCTGTCCCAGCTTCTGCCAACCTAGCAGATCAAAAGCATACTAGTGCAAGTAGATAAATAGGTACCGCTGCGGCGGGAAAGTAAACAGCGTTTCCGTGTGCTCTGGCACTTGGCATGGTGTCCCGTTGCACCAGTAGCTGTTTAATCATGCTGGCCACGTGACCCAGAAAGCTGTCTGTGGTCAAACACTGGCTCCCTCGGCCTGAAAAGCGAGATAAGCACCACTCCCCAGTTGCGTTGGAGTGGATTTAACCGTCCAGGGATCCTTTACCTTATCTGTCACTTGAGGTGGTCTCAGTGGTGCAGAGTGCCTTCCATCAGCTTCAGCTGGTGACCCAGCTGTGCCCCTATCTGGATGGGGATAGCCTAACTCCTGTCACCTATGCTCTGGTAACCTCTGTGTCAGATTACTGCAGTGGGTCTTGCACTGAAAACAATTTGGAAATTTCAGCTGGTGCAGAATTCAGCGGCCAGTTTGCTCACTGGGCATATTACACCAATCCTGGCCTAACTGCATTGGCTGCCAATTACTTGCTTGGTTCCCATACCCATTTAAATGAACTGAACTTTAGTCACATACAACTAAGTCTCACTGACTGTATTATAATACAGTGGTACCTCAGGTTAAGTACTTAATTTGTTCCGGAGGTCCGTTCTTAACCTGAAACTGTTCTTAACCTGAAGCACCACTTTAGCTAATGGGGCCTCCTGCTGCTGCCGTGCCGCCGGAGCACGATTTCTGTTCTCATCCAGAAGCAAAGTTCTTAACCTGAGGTAATATTTCTGGGTTAGCGGAGTCTGTAACCTGAAGCGTCTGTAACCTAAAGCATATGTAACCCGAGGTACCACTGTATAGCTCATCCCTCCATTTCTCATAGGCGCAGCTGTCTTATACCTAAGTACTAGCATACTCACACTGTGTTGGAGAAAGTATGGGTGCAATGTTAGTCCCACAATACAATGGTCTAGTGACACCTCTGAAGTAACTCCCTCCCTACACGAGTGCTATCAGCCCCCAGAAAAGGGCAGAATTATCTGATGGGGGTGACTAAGTCATGCACTGCTTTCACAGGATCTCCCCATAGCATAGGTTACTATGGGGAACAACCATTGGTCTGCTAAGGTAATGTGAAAACATTCCCGTATTGTCCTGGATCATCTTAGGGATTATTTTAGCCAGATTTTTGAAGGAAATACATTGCCATTGATTGGTAATAGCTGCTTTACACAAATTAATGGCATTGAATTTTTGTCATCACCCTGCAGAAGTGAGAGCTACATCTCTCTCTCTTTCTGTGTATGCATGTGTGTGTGTGTGTGTATTTTGGTTGGTACCCCAGGCAAGCATTAATTTGAATGCATTGCTATAAAAAAAATGACTGGTTTTGAGTGTTGTTTTAGCTGTCACCCTGACAACCTTTATTTACTTTGGCATCCTGAAAATAAAAAGATGCTTTGTATTCTACATAATTTATAACTTCCCCTTGTATAGCTGTGATATTCACATTAATTCCACTGGATGGCACCGAAGGAGGCTAGATCACATGTAAATAGCTCTACAAGCCTAACATAATTTTGAAAGTGAATTCAGGGGTTATACTTGATTTGCATCACTGCTCAAATATCAGGCAAATGCTACCTGATTTGTAATTCTGTTAGATTTGTAATCATAAACATAACTGAAGCAGTATTATGGAGCATTATGTGACTGTGTGCCTCCAGTATATCAAAGTATGTGTAGTGCCGAGTTTTGGGATTTAGTTTTGGCAGAATGCCTAGATTCATGTTTAAAGATTAGTAGAGCATTGCCTAATATTGTGTAGTAATTCCATGCTGCATTGAAAGCTCAAATATCTGTCAGAAACTTTAGAGTCCATTCCTCAGCGCCAGCCTATACATTATGCCTAGCCTGCCCATGGGATGCTGCAGAAAAACGACACCCCTATAATGAATTCTCTCTCTTCCTCTTAGAACTTCTAGAAATACTCTCCATGCATCACAGAAACATCTCCAGCTTTTTCACTATGCTCCAGACTGCCTCCCCTACCACCCCAAAGGTCCAACACTCACAAAAAGATGTGTGTCTCTGCCTTCACTTCGAAAACTGACCCTACTGTCAGAGATGCCTTATTTTTCTCCACCCTCCACCCAAAGTCCCAATCATTGTGTTGTCATATTTAATAGCATAATTGTAGCAGTTAGCAGAAGCAGGCTAGTGAGAGACCTAGGGACAACGTTGCCATATTGGTGAGTGTGTGTTTTCAGGAAATACTTGTAAAGTTGGAACAATGCATACAAAATTTTGTATTTTTATGCTGTGAACCACCCTGGGATCTTTGGATGAAAGGCAGTATACAAATGTAATAAGTAAGTAAATACAAGCAAGATTCCTTGGTAAACATCTTTTTGCATTGCCTGACAAAGCTGGGATGCTAGGTATCCCAAACTGACATGAGCCCAAGAAATTCCTTTATCTCAAGCCATTGAAAAAGGTTTCAGAAGTAACATAGGTTACTTAAAGGTAAAGGTAAAGGGACCCCTGACCATTAGGTCCAGTCGTGAACGACTCTGGGGTTGCGGCGCTCATCTTGCTTTATTGGCCGAGGGAGCTGGCGTACAACTTCTGGGTCATGTGGTCAGCATGACTAAGCCGCTACTGGCGAACCAGAGCAGCGCATGGAAACGCTGTTTACCTTCCCACCAGAGCGGTACCTATTTATCTACTTGCACTTTGACGTGCTTTCGAACTGCTAGGTTGGCAGGAGCAGGGACCGAGCAACGATTCAAACCGCCAACCTTCTGATCAGCAAGTCCTAGGCTCTGTGGTTTTAACCCACAGCACCACCCGCGTCCCTAACATTGGTTACTTAGATTCTGCCAACTTCTGGTAGCTTGTGAGACCTTGCAGACTCTTGGTTCAACGACACATCAGCAAATTCACATTGTACAATTATAGTTGATTGGGAGATCTGGTGCAAAAAAACCCCATTTCTCCCAAAGGTCAGACTTTTTTGCGACAAGAAAAGTAACTGCATTTAATAGATAACCAATATCATCTAATCTTCCTGCAAACAAAACAGGATGATGCTCAATAAACAGGTCATTTGGAAGTGCCCTATGTGACACTTCTTGGGAATTGAAGCAGAGGGAAGAGATTTAGCTGATTCGCTTTCCCTCTGTATCTCCCAATGTCACCTTCTGTGGAGGGTCCCCCAACCCCCTGGAGCAGATTTGGGAGGACTGCAGCAGGGGAAGTGGTGATTAACTCAAGTTGCCTCCCTTTTCTGTTAGCAGGAGCAGGGAGGGCTCATTCTGTGAGTGCATTTATAAAATCCGAGAGTCCAACTCCTTGATATTAGGATAAAAGGGGAAACTGAAGTTTTTCCGAGATTTGAGTCCCACCTTTGTACAGAGAGAGCTCAGCTATTAGGAAAGAGCATCAATGGCTTCTGAACCAAAGAATAGCTGAAAAGTCATTGAACTATAAAGGGAAGGGCTTTTGAAAAGCAATTGGGAAAGGTTAAGTGTGAATGATATTGTCGCTAAGGCAAGAAATTTCTGTCAGCAGCACAATTAGCATTTCACTCTGTGTGTGTGTGTGTGTGTGTGTGTGTGTACTCATAAGACATATAGGCAAAATCCACCACACTTTTTGATC